CGGCTCAGGAGCTGCTCCCAGCTCTGGTGCTGGCTCTGCTCCTGGCACTGGCTCCGGTTCCGCACCTGGCACCGGCTCTGGTTCTTATCCCGGCTCAGGTGCAGGCTCTTACCCTGGCTCCGGCTCTGGTTCGGGTCCTCAGCCCTCCCAGGTGTCGACCTACCCTGCTTCTCAGGTCCCAACGCTGCCTGGCTACCAGCCCCAGCCTACGATTACATTGACGACGACTGTTCCCGTCACTGCCTCCCCCGGCTCCCCTGAGTGCACTACAACTGCTCCCGCTGCTCCTGCTGGTCAGCCTTCTGGCCAATCCTCTGGCCAACCCGCTGGCCCCGGTGCTCCTACCGGTCCAGCCGGCCAATCCCCTAGCCCTGCTGCTCCCGCTGGTCCTACCGGTCCTGCTGGACAGCCATCTGGTCCTTCTACACCTGCTTCCCAGCCTTCCGGCCCCGCTGGTCAGCCCTCTGGCCCTGCCGGCCCATCTGGACCGGCCAACTCTGGCTACCCTGGCAACCCTAGCCCCTCGTCCCCGTGGGGTGCACCCACCTCTTCGGTTCCCGCTGGATCTCCCTCTCAGACTCCCTCATGTGAAAACGGCCACTGCCACGGCACCGGCCACCTCCTTCAGGATCTGGGCGTTCAGGCGGATCACCTTCTGACTGTTGTTGGTAATGGCACCGAACAGCTGCTCGTCCAGCTCAGCAAGCCCGTTGCGGACGTTCTTTCCAGCCTGGGCCTGACCGGCCTTGCTAAGCCCGTGGGCCACATCATCAAGGATGCCGGCAGCATTGGCGAGCTGGTCACGGATCTGGGCGCCCCCGTCGAGCAGCTTCTGGTCGTCACCGGCAAGGACACTGGCTATCTCTTGATTCAACTGGACCAGGATGTCAAGGGCCTCCTCGACGGCATTGGCCTCGACGCCTTGGGTGAGCCCGTTGGTGACCTGCTGGGTGCCATTGGCAGTAGCTTGAAGCGTCGCCAGAACTGGGACTACAACCCTGACGCCAAAAATCCCAACGGACTCCTCGAGAAGCTGGGACCAGTGATTGACTGCATCTTGGTGATTACCGGCGAGGACGCCAAGGACCTTATCGTTAAGCTGAGCAAGCCCGTGGCTGAGCTGTTCGAGAAACTGGGACTGACTGGCCTGGGCAAGAGCGTTGGTAAGGTCATCAAGACGGTCGGCGATGCGGGCGACTTGGTTGCGGATCTGGGTCCGGTCAGCGAGAGTTTGCTGACGGTAGTTGGCGATGGTGGCAGCAAGCTGGTGGTCCAGTTGGCTCCTGATGTTGCGGACTTGGTGAAGGGCCTGGGACTCCCCAAACTTGGTGATGCCGTGGGTGAAGTTCTCGGAGCTGTGGGTGAGAACTTGTAAGAAGTCTCGACTATTTCCCCTCTTTTTCTTTTCCTCTGTCCTATGAATGGGTGATGGAATTGCATTGCATTACATTTTCTGGGATGCGATGGTGTTGAGGCTACTTACTAGTACTATATACTATACAAGATGTAATTAGTGTAATTGTTAATGATACCTAATCAAGATATTTTCAGTTGACTTCAAGTCTGCCATTTCCACGATTCTATCTATAGTAATAATGTCTTCCATATCATCCATCCACTCTTCCCCTTCATTTCCCCATATTCTTATCCCCCTTCCATTTATCCGCCGATTCCTCTCCGAGGCAACCTTCCTTTTCCCCCCTCTTCTCTCTCTCTCTCTCTCTCTCCATAGGCGTACGTAATCCGCATTCCACAGCCTCTCATTGCTTTGCCCCGGATGTAAATTGATTCGCCCCACGGGGTTGGACTGCCGATGTGGAGAAGCGAGCCGCCAGACTTGGCAAGGCAAACCGTCATCCAACTGGAGATTACTGGCAGTCTGGCACAGCGTGCGTGTGAGGGAGAGAGGGAGAGAGAGTTTCCCGGGGGGAAACACAGAGTTTCGCCTCCCGCGTCGTTCCCTCCAGCAATGAAATCATGGATGATTGTGGGACGTGGGGAGGCCATTCCCCCCCCGCGGGTAAGATTATTCCCGCCGTGCCATTTCCGATTGCCGGTCAGAGTTCACTATTTAATCCTCCAGTTTTCTCTACTTTTTCTGGCTCTGTTCAGCTTCAAAGGTTTTTCAATTTGTTTCTCATAGACACATCTCCTCTCTGATTCTCCTTCGTTCTTATACTATACTATCATCATGGCGCAAACTCCGCAAGACCTTAAGATTGCCATTCTGGGTGCTGGTACGTACATCCTTTTTTGTTCTTCCCCCTCCCTATAATAGGGTTTAGTATAGAGTATGGCAGAAAACTAACGGGTGCGTGGATGTATAGGCATGGGTGGCCTGACCTGCGCTTTGGCCCTGGCAAAGGAAGGTTTCAAGCACATCGACGTTTATGAGAATGCACACGATCTGGGCTTCGTTGGAGCTGGTATCCAACTGGCCCCGAACATGGCCCGCGTGCTGGATCGCCTGGGCGTCTGGAAGCCCATTGAGGCCGAAGCTGTTAACATCACTTCCACTAGCGTTAGAGGTATGTGCTATATTCCTTGCTGGAGATTAAAGATCTACATGTCTATCTATGTGAAACACCGAGCTCAAACGCTAATAACTCCGAACAGTCGGTGCCTCGGACTCAGAATTGGCCCACGTTCCATTGGAATATATCCACGACACCTACGGATATCCTCACATGGTTGGCCACCGGTCTTCCCTCGCCGGCCACCTGTACCAAGGTTGCCTGCAGCACCCTGACCAGATCCACTTCCACTTCGCCACTACCGCCAGCGACACCACCTTCGGCCCCAAGTCCTCCTTCACTGCCACCCCCCGCGACGCCCCCGAGAAGGCCTACCGCGTTGAGGCCGATGTCCTCCTCGCCTGTGATGGCATCAAGTCCCAGGCCCGTGTGGCCATGCTCGACCTCCTCAACATCAAGGCCAGCGTCAAGGACACCCACCAGGCCGCCTACCGTATCATGATCCACAAGGACCAGATCAAGGACGACCCGGAGCTCCTGGAGCTCATGAACGGCAACCGCGTGACTCGCTGGATCGGCGAGAAGCGCCATATCATCGCCTACCCCGTCTCCAACAACACCATTTACAACCTCTCCACCACCCAACCCGACACTCACTTCGCCGCCGCCACCAATGCCACCTACACCACCCGCGGTGACAAGTCCGTCATGCTGGGCGTCTTTGGCGACTTCTGCCCCATGGTCCAGCGTATGCTGAACTACGTCCCCGAGGGTGAAGTCTGCGAGTGGAAGCTGCGTGTCCATGAGCCCCTCCCCACCTGGGTGCACGAGACCGTCGCCCTCGTCGGTGATGCCTGCCACCCTACCCTGCCCCATCTCGCCCAGGGTGCCGCCCAGGCCATCGAAGACGGTGGTGTCATTGGTGCCGTGCTCTCCAAGCTCCCCGATACCACCCCGGCTTCCATCCACAAGGCCCTCAAGGTTTACGAGAAGGTGCGCAAGGACCGCGCCTACGCTATCGTCGAACTGGCCGCCGCTTCCGGTCGTGCTCTGCATCTGGGTGAAGGTGCCGCCAAGGAGGAGCGCGATCGCCAATTCGCTGCTCTCCGCCAGGGCAAGGGTCCTGTGCCCGACAAGTGGGCGGATGCCGATGTCCAGAAGGAGCTGTATGGTGTTGATGCGACTAAGATCGCGCTGGAGCAATTCGACGAGCTCTTTGCTTCTGTGTAAGCTTTGGCCTTTATACCTTTTTCATTTATTTTTTCCTTTTCCCATTCATTGCCTGCACGATTGAACCCGATGTATATTGTATATAGAGCTGATTGGTTGTATTGATGATTGAAGGTCGGGTCGTGAGGCGAAGCTGGCTTGATTGATTGATTGATTGATCCATCGGCCGGAATTAGTGTTCTTTTATCTAGCATTGCAGCCCCTTGCATATACAATGATGATGTTATGATTGTTATACAGAGTTATTTTCTTTGTTCCTAGATATACTCCTTTTCGTAGATGCATCCATTGTGTGAATGTATACATTGTATACACGCGTAGTTGTACCAGGACGGAAGTGGCTGGTTGCATAGTTAGTCTCGTTTGTTAGTGTCATGCGCTGGATTTTACCCCGGATTTTCAGCCCCTCCTTTAGGTTTGAAAATCCTACCAAATTCAAATCAAACCCGAGGGGTTGGACCCCTTGGTCCTTGCACTCCGGCCAGGCAACAACAATTGTATTGGTTTACCCCTCGAGTTTGTGTGCGAGATACACGATTCTAACGCTGCACTTCCAAGACAAGTCAGTATCTGGGGTCTACAATTTTCCCCCCTTCCCCACCATTGCGGGGATGCTAGTTTGAAAAGAATCTATCCCAGATACACGTGAGTAGCTGATCATTAGTAATTATGTGATGTCTTATGTAGTCTACATACTAGAGCACAAATTTTGGTACCCGATCATATCTGAAATCGGGATTTGAATCAGACGTGCGGGATTAGCTGGGATCCATTTCTGCCTTGATTTGATAGATCCAAAGAATAGGTACCGGACAAAAGGGTTTCGACCCAAATTTGGAGGAAGGAAAAATCTACACTAGCGACGTTCTCGCATGTTAGTGGTTTTACTTAGATCGAAATGTATTCACGGGAGCAAAGTCCATGATAATGAACTCTATGTACTTGGCATAGCCAGCTTATGCACAAGCCTCGGCAGCAAAAAGTAACCTCGTCTAAGCTATGATTTAAACTTCTTATCAGATTGTTGGTGACGGTGGCAAATCGAAGAATCCAGAACAATTCCAATTGAAAAAAACAGCAAATCATGCTTTGGGGAGACTTCCGGCTTGGCGCGCCGCGCTGAATCAGCCAGTGACGGGGTGGCTCTTGCCGCATCGGGCAACTAGCAGGGGTCCTGGTTGCCTTTCGTCTTTCGTCTTTCTTCCTGCGGCGCTTCTTTTTCTGTTTCTTCTTCTTCTCTTCGTCTGTCTGCGTGTCCCCGGCTTGTTCTTTCCCCTCCAACCAGTTCAGTTGGATATGCAGGGTTCTTCTGATGCCAGCAGCGCGTCTGACGACCTGTCACCATCCCAACCTACTCTCGACTCCGCCCCGTCCGACAACCGCAACAACTTGAAGATTGCCATCCCTCGGCTGGCGCCGCCTGCCGTCAAGGCTAACCAGCAACGCACGCCACGTGCCTGTGTCGCCTGTCGCGCCAGAAAGACCAAGTGTGATGGTCGCAAGCCCGTTTGTCGCCAGTGTCACCGTCTTGATCTCGTCTGCAATTATGCCGGTTCTAAGCGCGAGCGGCAACAGTTGGAGCTTGAATCCGTTCGCAAGAAAGTCGTCGCCTACGAATCGCTTCTGAGCGACATCATAACCGATACGCAGCAGACGGGCGCTTCTTCCATTGGGGACATTCTTAATGTGCGTAATAGTGCCTTCTATGCTGCCAACTCCATCTTCCCATAGTGTGAAAACACTGCCATACTGACCGGTTGCCACCTCCCCCGCAGAGACACTTTGAAGCATCTCCAGATGTCTTTGCGGCGCTGCTAGCTGCCAGATCCATTTCGGATCCTCAACTCTCACCGCGGCCAAAACCGGGGATTTCTCTAAATCGCATGCACATAACATTGGCCACTAAACCTAACAGCACCCTGCATCCTCTCACTGAGACCCCTTTAGTACAGGTCAGCAACATCCAATCCTGGACCGACCTTGTCGATAACACCACAGCCAGTCACCTTCTCAGCCTCTTCTTCGCCTGGGAGAACCCGACATGGCGCCTAGTCGACCAGGAAATGTTCCTCCGCGACCTGGAGAGCGGGAGTAAGCGGTTTTGCTCGTCGCTGCTCGTCCACACGCTCTTGTTTTTCGGCTGTGTAAACGCCACTGCAGTCTGATGTCGAGTACTGAACGTCAACAACTAACGTTTCTCAATAGAGCTCTTCTTACCATCTGGGGCGCATCACTGATCGGCGGGAGGAGAAAGCCCTGGGCAAGAAGTTGTACTCTGCCTTGCAACATCTGTGGCAGTCGGAAAAGGATGATGCTGGTCTTCCCACGGCCCAGTCCAGCATCATGATTGGCCTGCTTTGTTGCACATTTGGCATTGACCGCTTGGGGACCCGTTACATCATGCATGGCGCCCAGCTCAGTCGGCAGCTGGGGCTTCACCACGAGTCGGCTCCTTACTTTGCTACCGACGTAGAGGCTGAAGTCGACTCGTTATCCCGGTGTCATAAGTTCGTTGCTTGTGGCGTTTTCGATGTGCAGGCGTAAGCGTCGACCCCTTATGTACACTTGGGCCCTGACTGATGAGACACAACAGGCTCGCGGCACAAGTTTATCGAAAGACACCGGTTTGGGATCAACCTCCTGCTGCGAGCTTCTCGCAAGAAGAGGCTGCGTTGTTGGACGAAGGCGAAGAATGGAGGCCCTATCCCTTTCAGACCCCGGTTTTTCGGCCTTTTCATCACACGGCGTTGTGTTTCCGCAACAAACTGGTGGCGATTGTCAACGAGACCGCCAGGTTCGCACTCAAGTTTCCGGGCGTCAAGCTCACTCAAGACGATTGGATATACGGCCGTCAGACCTATCAGAGGCTACAGGAGTGGCGGGCAAGTTTACCATTCGCCATTTTGCCAGATGTAAATCCTGCGCCGAATATTCTTACACTTCAGTGAGTCTTGGCATTAATTGACACAGGGTGTCTTACTAACGGCCGGCTGCAGCATGTACTATCAGGCAACGGTCGTTGCGTTGTGCCAAATTTTCGGTCTGAATGCCGACCCGACAGGTAACCAGCCTCTCGATCCAAAGTTCGACCCAGAATTAATCAAGTTACAATCCCTGGATACACTTGGATCCCTTGTTCTTCGGTTCCAAGCATCCCATGGGCTCAAATCTGTTCCCATCGTGATGCTACATTACTTCCTCGTGGGCGGCTTGCACGCTATCTCGCAATTACGTCCTATGGACTTCAAATGGAGCTTTGTACTAGAGGCATGCGTGGTCGGGCTGTGGCACCTGAGCCTGGGGTGGGGGCGCATGTGTACGGCATTTCTGCGGACGATTGAGCTTGTCTTGCAAGCTACCAAACCGGACCCAACCCTGGTGCCGCCCAAGGTGACCGCTGTTTTGCGGCTCCTTAAAAGCAATCTTTGGACAGCAACCGATGTTACTTCTCTGTCGGCCGACTATGTGGTGCATCATGTCCCAGCTGCTGCTGCAGGACAATCCGGGCCGCAGTTTCGGGCCGAAGGGCTAGAACAGCTGATCCGCTCCATGGACAATTTCGCCATCAGCTAGTGGGCGGTGAGGACGGCATTCTGCCGTTTCCTGAATCATTCAAACGTTCTCCGTATACGATCGTCAGAACTAGACCGTATTCGGCAAGCTCTGCAGCTCCAGCGACCAACCTGGAGTCTGCCTCTCGGCCTGCTTGCGTCAACCATACGATGGAACATCAGCCAGCTCCGACAAACAGAGGCTACCATCGTCACCTTCTGACGAAGACCCACAGTCATCCCGCGCTTATGCATAACAATCCCGCCGTCAGTGACAGGATCGCTAAGTGGATACATTCTGCGAGGAGTGTTGGGTAGTTGAACTCTAGCTATTGCACGGGTTGTGATGGACAGGTATATGGTACATGTGTATACCTTGGTAGTAAATGCACCAGAGTCCTGTCACTTTGATGTGATTATCTTTCGTGTCATACACCGGTTGATAATATGCTGCTTGATAGTGAACAATTAATTCTCAATGCATATTAAAGCACATAGTTAGAATCCAGTCATCTACCTTGACGATTCAAATCAAACCATAACGCCATCCAAGCTCCTGATGCATCTAACTCCTTTCAAACATACCAGCAAACCAGTGAACCAACCATTCAATCATCAAATACTATAACACGCAGACACCACTTTCCTCCCCTCTCTCTCATCCCTCCCCCAACCCAAAACACAATAAATCACTTACTCCCACTGCCCCCTCCCCAACGCCCCCAACCGATTCCTAGCATGTTTCTCCAACAACGCCTTCATATTCCCCGAACTGCCTCCTCTCTCCTGCACCCTCAACTGCCTCTCCCTCTCCCTCTCCCTAGCAGCAGTATAATAATTCACTGCTCCGCTCTTGCCCCCGTTTCCAGAAACATTCCCCCCTTTGCTACCCGTCGACGACACCGAACCGCCACTCTTCGTTGTCCTAGACGATACACTACTGCCCACAGACGATGTAGATGAAGCTGTAGTCTTCCTGATGAGTGGCGGGCGGGCGAATCCGGAGAATTCGGAGCCTGCAGCGCCTGAGCTGCCGGAGTGGAACGCCATTCTGTTTCCGCCTGGCGCTGCTCCGCCGCTGGAGTTGGTATTGGAGTTGTTGGTGGCGGAGTTCGAGGATGCTTGGCGGAGGAGAGCGAGGCGGTCGACGACGGGGCCGCGGGTGCGGCGAGGGTGTTGGCGTTGGGAGGCGGGGAGGGGTTGTTGTTGTTGTTCTGTTGATGGTGATGTAGATGTTGATGTTTCTTGGGCGCCGTCTTGGGACTGTTGTTGGTGGTGGTGAGTGATGGTGGTGGAGAGGGGATCGTCGCCGTCTTCGTCTGTGTCGTTGTCCATGTCTATATCCATGTCGTCCATGTCTATGGATGCGTCCTCATGGAAGGAGTCGTATTCGTGCGTCTCCGTGAGGAAGGATAGTGTTTCGCGGATTTCTGCTAACGTTGCGGGTTTCTTGGACATTGCGGAGACGGGTTTGGTTCGGCGGAGGTGCGGTGGGGGGCGGGGTGGGAGGGAGTGGGTTTCGGATGTGGGGTCGTGGTCTAGGGGGCGTTTGCGATTGTTGCTATTGTTGTCGTTGGGTTGGGGTGTGGTGTTGTCTTGTGAGGATGGGTCGTCTGTTTGGGTGGATTCCTGTGGCTCGTCGAGAAAGTCGAATCCCACGTCGTCGTCTGAGTCGCGGTCTTCGACGGCGCGGAAGAATGCTGCTTTCTTGGGGTTCTCGGCGATTTCGCCGATCTTCTCGTCTGCGAGGAGGGCTTTGCGCATGCGTGCGAACTCGCGCTGTTTCTCGCGCCGGCGGGCGAGGAGCTCGTCGTCTGAGTCGTCGAGGTCGAATTCGTCGTCGGCGTTGCGACGGCGGCGGAGTGCACCTGTGGTGATGTCTTTGAGCAGTTTGGCGACTTGTTTTTCGTCGTTGGTGCGTTGGTGTAGACTTGAAAATTATTTGTTAGTGTCTGAGGAGGGGTATATGGTTGGGTTTGGGGGAAGCTTACGCATTCAGGGCGGCCAGCTGTTTCTCGTCGACGGTTTCGCCGCTGTTGTCGTTGATCATTTGTCTGTCGTAGGCGTTCTCGGTTTCATCGTCGTCCTCGTCGCTGGCGCCTCCTAGCCCGGCGTATTCGTCGTCGGACTCTTCGGCTGCTTCTTCGACGATTTCCTTGGCTTTGCTCTTCTTGCGGTCGAAGGGAACGGCAGGCTTCTTAGATGCCTTCTTCATTACGTCGAAGGCACTGGCGTCGATTTCAAAGTCGCCCTCACCTACGTTATCTTCTTGCTCTTCGATCATGGACAGGTCGGCTGTCCGTCCGCGCTTGAGCTGCTTCATTCTGCGGGCGGGGGCTGGAGAGCCATCTTGGTTGTCGCGGTTGATGACGACGGTGTCGATGGTTGACTGGGGAGTCCCGAGGAATCGCTTGTTAGGATCGAATGGCGAGAAGACAAATCCGGCATCCTGGGTGGGATCTGGCACCTGGGAGAGCTGGGTCGACCGCGGAGCAGGAGACTCGGAGATTCGTGAATCGGACTGTGCATAGCCTGCTAGCAAATCGACAGACTCCTTTCTTGGCTCTTGGCTGTCTCTGATGATCGTCTGCGAGTCGGACGCTTGACGGTCTTCAACCATAGCATCTGGGTCAGGAGCAGAATAAGCAATCGTAGAGCCGCTTTGTGCGTTATCCTGGTGGCTGCCAGCGACTGTGCCGGCAAAGGCCTGCGTTAGACTCATCAAGTTGCTGGAGCTCTGTGTCGGGAGTTGCGGCCGTTCAACGGAACGTGTAGTAGGCGTAACGATGGATTTCGCAGGTGTCTGGAGATCTGTCTCCTCGTCGTCATCCTCATCGTCATCGAGGACGACTCTGGTAGGCCGCTTCCGTCTCTGTGTTGGCGCGTCGTTCTCATCAACCGACATGACTTCCGTCTGGTCATCTTCTGATTCATCGCCTTCACCTGCTTCGGAATCGACAAGCCCGTCTTCACCGGCAGGCTTGTCTTCGTCATTCTCTTCCTCATCTCCCTCCTCGCGTTCTTCCTCAGAACCAGAGTAGTCCCAGTCCTCGTCGTCCTCATCTTCGCCCTTAGCCGCTTTTCGTTCTATCTTAGCGATATCTTCAGCCTCTTTCCGGGCCTTCTCAACAAGATTCTCGAGCTCATCCTCCATGGCAGCGCGTTCTTCGGCTGTCTCGATATGGATACCCTTAGCTTTGAGTTCCTCGATTCTCTCCTGTCTTTCTCTTGCAGCTTGTTGCTTCGCCTTCAGCAGCACCGTGGCGGACAACTGGGCGGGGTGCATGGTGGATTTCCGTGTAGGAGACGTAATATGCGCCAGAGCTTTCAGCTTCATCATAGATGCCGGTTCCTGAGCCTTTCTGGCGGGGACATTCTCGAACGCCGCAATACGTCGACACTTGGCGGGGGAGGTGACAATTTCGAGCTCACTGTCCGAGTCGTCCTTCTGTTGCCGGGCGACCTCCTCACGCGTGAGACGCACGCGAACAGGTGGGCCCGTTAAAATCTTCTTCTCCGTCTTGGAAGGTGTCTTTCCAGGCTGTGTGGTATGCGCTTCATCAATTTCCATCCTCGCTACAACAGGCTGTTCGGGCTGCGTGCGCGGATTCGCAAGAATATCCTCCAAAGGACGGAACTCGGTCTCCGCTTCTTTGCCCAGACCTTCACCAGATGCCTTCTCGACTGGTCCAAGGACAGGCGAAGTACGCGGAGTCTCCTTTTCCTTCTGCGCCTCAGCATCAGACGAGTTCAACGAATCAGCAGTTGTCGACGAGTTCTCCCCGGACGCCCCAGGCGCAGTCCGCTCATCAGGCTTCACCGCATTAAACCGAGCAAAGAAGCTCTCTTTCGTGATCTTTTTCTTCGTCTGAGCTTGATGCGCCAGCTGCATATTACGACTCATCCGCTGCGTCTCACGATTCATCTCCTCCAGAGCCTTCTTGCCCGCCTTTCTCGCAGGACGAGACGCCTGCTGCGACAACTTCCGTCCAGATCCATTCTCGCCCTCGCTCTCACTACCAGACAGAATCTCCGAACTGAATTGTTCTTGTTGCTTCATTCTCGCCGCTCTCTTTTCAGCCTCTGCTTTCTCCTTCTCCTCCCGCTCCTTGCGCTTCTGAGCAACTAGCGCCAGGAACCGAGAATTAGCCTTCGGCTGTGCCTCCTCCTCCTCATTACCAGACCCTGCTTCATCTTCATCATCCTGTTCTCTCCCAGGAGACGAGACAAACAAAGGCGACTCCGAGCGCGCCGGAGACGGCGACCGATTCTGTTCATCCATCTCAAGCTCCGGGACGAGTTCAGTAGAATTCCTCCCTCTCCTCCTCGGTCCAGCCGCAGGAAGATCATCCTCATCCTCATCGTCCATCATCGCATCGTCTTTCTTCTCCGTCCGCAACGTCTTCGAAACCCGTTCGAAGGCCGTCTGCCCCGCAGCAGACTGGCCTTGTAACCGTGCAGCCATTCGCCCCTTCGGCATGACAATATCTTCATCCGAATCGTCATCATCATCTGAATCAGCCGTACTCTTAGGCTGTGTGGAGATAGTGCTGTGTTTCAACGCATTGCTGAGGGTAGTGGTAGATCGATCGGGTTTCTGTTGTGCTTGTACGTTTTCTGTTTCGGAGTCGCTGTCGAAAGCTGCCATCAAGGCTTTGATTTTTCGTCCCGGGGTGAGCATCATGTTGTCGTCGTCGGCGTTGGGAGAATTTGCGCGAGACGCGGTGCGCGTCGTGCGCGGTGTGGAGGGTGTGGATGACATTTTGTATTGAGACTGGGATTGGGACTGGGGTATTGAGGGGGTGTATGTATTAGTTAGGGGTATGGGTAGAGGACATGTCTATGGATATTTCAAAATATGAATTGAGGTCAATGGAGATGTGCACGGTGGTGTCCACAGTGGGAGGAACGCAAGGGCGGAGAATCTACGGGGTGGTACTAATTGACTAGTCGGGATAGCAGAGTATAGTAAGTAATCGACGCGCCGCGCACGCGTTGCTATCACACGTGATCTGCCGATAAGCCGCGTTATCGGCCACAATCTACGGATTACTACGGAGTATTGCGGAGGTCCAGAAGCTGCGAAGAAAAGCGTAGATTTGTACAACTGGTGAAGCCAATTCATAAAGGTGCTTTATTTCTGTATCGTACAGCGCCCATGATATGTTTCTCGTTACGCCAATAAACACCGCCCCCTGGAATCCGACGCTGTCTCAAATGCTTCCCGAATAACAAAATCGTGCCATTTCCATCAGAAGCCGTCGGCAAGATCGCATATGCTGTATGTAGGATGCTAGTGGTGTGCTAGATGTGCCCAAAGTTTTTCCTTACCCAAGATCATATTTCAATGTCGAGCTCCAAATCCAAGGCCGCAATGTTTTCGTCATCCATGTTCCGATGCCGGATGGAGGCAACGCCACCTTTGCTGGTTTTCTTCTGGGATCCCGCCGGGGTGCCGCTGGCCGGAGTGCTCGCTTTGGACGGTGTCTCTGAAGCAGTATTTTCTTGGCTCGCGTTATTCTCAGCCGTCGGGGTACCGTTACCATTGACGTCGTAATGGGTCCGCGCTTGGGTTCTAACGCGCATGAACGGGTTGTGGGCGGCTTCTCCACGAGCGACAGCTGCAGCCGCTTTACGGCTGGCCTTGCGCTCTTCTATCTGCGCCCGGCGCACGTTCTCGTAGTTGAGCTTCTGGTTGCGTATGTTCAGCTCAGCAAGACGTTCATGTTCCGAGGGCTTGTCCACACGCGGCTTGGAATGGCTGCTAACTGCGAGCTTCGGTGTCGCCATGCTAGCCAGCTCAGCCTCCAGTCGCTCCATTTCCGCATCATCACCAGCTTCTCGAGCAAGCTTCAACTGCTTCTCGACCTCCACGCGCTTGAAGAACTTGGACTTCGAATCCAACGAGCCTTGTTTGCGGAGTTTCTCGTTCAATTCCTCGTTGGTGAACTTGTGGTTCAGCAACCGGTTGATATCTGTCACCTTACTGGCAACCATTGACTTCGTAGCCATCTTGCAGTCTTCGACGGCCATGGTTTGACGATAGCGGTTGAACTCCGCCTACAGAGCATCAGTATATGTTAACCAAGAGACATGCCAAGTAGCTTACCTCTGTAAACGGAGAGTCGGAGCATGCAACAAAAGGAAACTCGCGCTCAGCCTTTCCATGTGCTAATACGGCGTACTGATTCGTCACAAAAGACCGGCCATTTTGGCCCTCCATCGCATAGGGCTTTCCCTCGGAAAATTCTGAACAAGTTAGCGACGAATGCTCTAACGCGACCGTAGGAGGGGTGCCTTACTCTTGATCAAGCAAAGACGATACTCATTCTGACCGGTCTCACGGTTCGGCCCAATATTAACACGAGCATAGCAGCCGGAGATCGCGTCATCAAACCCAGGGTAAAAGCAGACCTGGGCAAAGTTACTTCGACCCACCCGAGTACGTTGGATATCCCGGAGTTCAGCAGGCGGGTCGTCTTTCGGGGGCGACGGTGAGCGTTCCCTGTCATCCCACTCGACTTCACTTTCGCCCTCTGCATCTTCGTCGGAGATCCGGTCATCACGAGAACGGGCTTTATGATCCTTGACTGGTTCACGACGACGAAGCTCGTCACGCTTTCCCTTCTGCTCTCGCTGCCGCTTGTAGGCTTCAATAGCATCGGAGGTCTCTCCCACCTTACGGCCACCGAGCGTCATCTTCTGACGCGAGCTCTTGCGATTGCCCTCATCAAGATTTGCCACACTGGCCTTGCGTTTGTTCTTCTTCGCTTTGCGGGCCTCCTCGCGTTCACGGGAAGCCAGGAGACGACGAAGAGCAAGATCTTGATTATGACGATCAACCTGCTGCGCACGCTCGGAGAGCAGCTGCTCTCGTTGAATCTCGGGCATCGCCATGATTTCCTCCTTGTCCTTAGCAGAGTAGTATAGTTTCTCGTAAGGGAAGATAGGGCCCTCATCTTCAGCCTCAGGGGCTGAGCCTTCGGAATCCGATCCTGAATCCGATTCGGACATGCTAGCAGAGTCGAGCGATTCAGCAGCGGACCTATAGAGAATGCCATATTAGTCGAATCCTCGAGTCGCAGTGACGGCCACATCAAGCGGCATCGCAAGCACGCGTGGCAAATCAAACATACAGTTCGCCATCCTCTTCATCATCGTTCCTTCTCGACTTCCGGCCCCGTTTAACGGTCCTAGCAGTGCCTTTGCGACCCATAGCTGATGCGTCGGGAGACTGAGGGGATGATGATCGACTGCGAGATTGGACTCTCTCCTTGGCAGGGGGGGATGCTTCCTCGTCGGAGGAGTCTCCCGCAAGAGCGAGGAGCTCGGCGTCGAGGTCGTCAGCCATAGTGAATGATGGTAGAGGTTGCCTTGAAATTCAGGTCCTAGTAACACCAGTAACAAGGAAAGCGGCGCTAGACTGCTCAAGGAAGGAAGCCGCCAGCAGGAAAATGGATGGCTTCCAGGGTAACAGATGCCACCTGAACCGCAGTCGCGCCGAGTGAAAAGGGAGTTAGGTGGCCAGAGAGCGCTGACTCGGACGAGGTCGCTCTATAATAATAGTGGAGAACACCCTCAGAGACTAGTATTAATAGAGTCGCGTTTCGAAATAGAAGGTGGAAGAGGCAGGAAACCAGTGAATCCTGTCGGGGGCGGTGTGTGAAGGCGAAGGTGGTTAGTGAAGTGAAAGAGCAAAGCCGGGAAGTGAAAAGAAGCGATTGGAGCGATTCTCGACGCTCGTTCATGACGTTCCGGTCCAGGGATGGCGTGCCAAGGCGTGTAAGCGCGCGGCTGCGGCTTATCGATCGGGTTGGACCACCTCGGAACTCATGGCTGCTGGTGGCATTCCTCCGCGGCCTTAAACCTCGCCCTGAGCCCTTGAACGACCTTTCAATTGACCGTTGGATATTTCATCTTTATCATGAAGGCCCTCAGATTGCTCCGAAGGGCTCCACTAGCCCCTTCCCTTCGGCCTACACCTCCCGCCGTCCTCGACTTTCTCGCGCCTTCCACTTTACAAACTTGTCGCCAGTATAATTCTACAGCTACACGGCAGTCCGCAGAGAATCCCTCCGTGTCACAGCAGACATCCGGATCATCGAAACCAAAATATGTTCTTAATCAGCAACAACGCGAGTTTCTCGACCGAGCCCTCCGCGTCAACCAGGCCGGCGAGCTAGCGGCCACCTTAATTTACACGGCGCAAACACCACAAGTCGTGCGCTCTCATCCTCACCTACGGCCCTTGATGAAACATATGTACGATCAGGAAGCGGGGCACTTTGATACGTTTAACCATCTCATTGCGAAACACCGCGTACGGCCGACGGCGATGTATCCGGTATGGGAGGTTGCAGCGACGTTCCTGGGCTGGTCTACCGGAATGATGGGACGCGAGGCGGCAATGGCGTGTACTGAAGCTGTAGAAACCGAGATTGGGTCCCACTATAATGATCAAGTACGGGAGATCCTGTCCTGGAAAGCGGAGGCTGAAAGTCGGGGCGAAGAGCTGGATGAAGAATTGGAGGAAATGCTGGCAACTTTCCGACGAATTCGCGACGAGGAGCTGGAGCATCTGGATCATGCTGTTGAGAACGACGCGAAGGAAGCTCGTCCATACGATCCGCTGGTCAATGTCATCCGCTACGGGTGCAAGGCAGCCATCAAAATCAGCGAACGGGTGTGAGCACACTTTGGGAGGTCCTAAAGCAGGACGGTCAAAAATAGTAAATGTACGATAAATTCTGTATTATTATCATCTTGGTTTGTCACACTTGTATAACTTCGTGTAAAGGCCTGACTATTCGCTCAGCGAGTCTATAACTGGGTATCTACAACCAAACGCGCCCGACTGCTTCTATCACACGGCACACTCTATGAAAGTCAAGCTCTCTATAGCCCCCTCTAACTTAGTTCTCCGACTCCGAGCTCTGGTTCTTTTCCAAGTACTCCAGGAAGCTTTTCGAAAAGCGCGTCACCTGCTGATAAACCTCCTCGAAGCCGTTGACCCCACCATAGTAGGGATCCTGGACAACCTCACCTCCGCCGACGCGCTCGTGCAAGACACCACCGGTACCAAAGTCGCCGAATAGACGGACCTCCGCAACCTTGGCGCCTGCTTCCCCGCTCGCGGCAAGGGATGCCGCAGTCGCTGCCCGGGTACCCTTGGTGCCATGCGATGCGGGGCCAGACTTGTTCATAGATGCCAGAACCGACTCACGAACATCCAACAGATCGCGCAGGTTATATTTATCCATTGCAAGGAGGTAGTCAAAGTCGAGGAAGTCCTGCTTGGTGACTTTGCGGGCGGCATGGTTGTAATTGCGAATGTTGTGGCGACGGAGCGTGGACATGGTGCGAGAATCGGGATCTTCGCCGGCGTGGTAGGCACCTGTGCCGGCGGAATCGATTTCATTGATTAGGGGATGGGAGGCTGCGACATTGCGGAAAACCCCTTCTGCCATGGGAGAACGACCTGGGTGGTTGGGTTAGCTTGCGGTGCAGTTTACACCATAATGCGGGGAGACCAGTACAGATGTTGCCGAGACAAACGAAGAGGACATTGACTTGCCCGCCAGCGGGGGTAGACTTTGTGACAGTCATGGTGGTTCTATTTGTTGAAATTTTCTATTGGAAAATCTATAACTTGAAAGAATGATGAATGAGTTCTGGTTGAATGTAGAGAGGAATTGATTCAGTAGTGGTGATTAATTATTGATGGTGGCGGGGATTTGGAGCAGAATCTTTATCGATAGCGGAGGGCGGTGGTCCGTGCCTGATTCCTGAGGCGACCGCGCATTGTGATTATGTTGCGCCAGATTCCTCCCACATCAAGTTTGGCTCTGTCTTTCCTTCGTCTTGGTGCATGTTGTTTGCATATGCAGTCTAGTGCGCGCTAAAATATAGACAGACATCGTGGAAGGACTGCGAGAATTCAGTAGAGACGTGCTAGCATGGCAGCTACAAATGCCGACCCAGCAGGCGTCGCATTTGAAGACGTAAAAGTCATATGCTATAGATTCTAGTAATGTTAGAAGTATATCTAGTCTAAATATTTACTCACATAAAGCCATTTGTGCTAATCTTCTCGCGAACTCGTAGGATCCTGTATTTCAATATTCTTTCGGGGCAGCTTTGGCTGCCTAAGAATGATAGCACACCGGGCATTTACTATCTACTACATGAACAAAGCACGGGAACATTCAGGCAGCATCTACTTAAAATTTGATGAAGCATTGCGATGTTACGCGTATCTGTGCCGTCGATGGCAAATGATATGCCTTGTCAATCCACCATTTTCACAGTGCTTTTATATACCCACACCACAGTCTAACTAGTAACTAGACTGTTCTTAGTCCGATGAATTAAAGTGAGACCCTCCGCCAACTATGACGTCGCGCAGGGCTGTATGATCCGAGATGCAAACAGGCAGCTGCTTTTCCCACCCCATCAGAGACAGCCAAGCTGCCTGCAGGTTATAAAAAGAACATGATCCATAAGCGCGACCATTGAACCCTGCTGTCTAACGTGTTCAACACAAGAATTGTCAGACACCGCCACGCAACCCGTGGCTGTGACACCTGGGGGCCGATCAGCTGTTGGCCCAGTGATAGAGTGGAGTTCCGATGAGCCATGGAGCCAAAACTCAGTATCCATGGGTGTTTGGGCGGATTGTTTCAGGGGACAGAAAGTCGGACAATTGTCTTGTGAGGTTCTAGTGGGACTCAGGTACACCATGAAAATTGATAGCATGTAGTTCATCAATCCATAGCTTAATAGCCAGAAAAATCATGCAATATCAAAGGCGCCGTGTGCCTCGTGGGTGCCTGTAGAAACGCGAGTGGAGACACACATTCTTTTGTTATGACCCCAACTTCGGTCGGGATGGCCCAATAAAGGCAAGTAAGAGAGCGAATCCACTTGACTAGAGAGGCTGATCCTCGCGCTGATTCGTACTTTGTGCTCTGCCGGACTCTTCAATCTATCCCAATCTGCTCGTCGTCATTGATCGTCCCCGCGGTTCCTTGGTCAACGGGCTTCATCTTTTTCCCACCCTCATCCTGCAGTGTTAGTTATTTGTTAGTACAACGGATTAGTGTTCCTGTCCGTGGCGCTGCGGCGACGAGACCGAACCGCCGTCACGAGCAAAGCCCACAGCCCAAAAAAGCTGTCGTCTGCCAAAGATCGGTTCAACCATTCTTTCTTTCTGACATCCTGACCTCGTTTATTACTTTGATCATTCTTCATTTCCCCTCTTCCTTCTCCTGTCCCGTCCGTCCCTTATTTCCCCATAATTCAGACTCGCCTATCCGAATCTGAAACTCCCGTCAGCGACGGAGCCTCTGCGCTATCGCAGCGACTTGAACGCTCGCCGATTCCCACATTCCCCCAGTCCCTCCTGGCGCAATCTCCAATCTCGATTTCCCCCCCTTAGCCAGGAATTCACAAAGGGGGCTGGTTTATTGGAACGCTTAATTGTCCGAGGCACTATCGGCCATAATGTCCTATAATCGCTTGGGTAGGTTCTTAATCATTTCTCCGCTGCTGGTCTACTTGGGACAGATTGCGCGGCTGTGAGTTGTCGCGCATTCTCTCCCTTCTCCGCATCAATTTCCCTCCTGAAACCCTAGTGTCGGGAGCGAGCCTTACTATACGAGGGAAATTGCTCGTATCTGCATGCGAGGAGCTACAGACATTTTGTGTCTGTTGTGCTGTCATCGTCGCACCGCCATTCCACTCTCAATTGCGCATCCCGCATAAGGCGTGTACACTGACCGTCGAGTGCAGGAGACCCCTACGGGGAGGAAGACAGTCACACCCCCATGATGAATCCTCACCATCTCGATGCTCGATCCCCGTCACCGGGCCGGCCATTAAACGCCTACCAGCTTTCCGATAATCCCTATGCGCCTCGCGAACACCTGGAGATGCCCTCTAGCGATCGGCTGGCAGAACAACCAACGGTACGGATGTTTTCTGGAGTTGTGAATGATGATGATGATGCTGATTTCCATGCTCGTTAACTAGTACTCGGTCGAGAGACTCCCAAACTCTTATGGTCATAACGAAGTCTACGAAGATCACCACCACCCTAATGCCTACCCTGGATACGAATACTCCCTTGACCCAGAAGCGCATCACGACGCTTACTATACCCAACCTTACCAGCCGGCGGTAACGCCGCATGAAGACTATGACTTGGGGCAGTATCCCGAGCATCAGCAATCATATACCGACGATCGGGTCCCTATCCTACAACCAGATAACCCATTTGGGCCGGATCCTTATGCCGATGAGTATGAAGAAGAGCCCACGATCGCACCCACGCCTAGTCCGGCGCCGGTTCGTCGATGGAAGACCGTCAAAGAGGTGCAACTCTTCAACGGTAACCTCGTGCTGGATTGCCCGATTGCGCCCGCTCTGCTCAGCCAGGTCCCTCACGCCGAACCCCCAGGTCGAGATGAGTTCACGCACATGCGTTATTCGGCCGCCACGTGCGATCCAGCCGACTTCTTCGAGGAGCGCTTTACTCTGCGTCAGAAGCTTTTCGCCAAACCTCGGCACACGGAGCTTTTCATCGCGGTCACCATGTACAATGAGGATGATTTCCTCTTCGCTCGGACGATGATCGGTGTATTCAAGAACATTGAGTACATGTGCTCCAGGACATCAAGCAAGACGTGGGGCAAAGATGCCTGGAAGAAGATTGTGGTGTGTGTCATCAGTGACGGTCGTGCGAAGATCAATCCGCGAACGCGCGCTGTCCTTGCTGGTTTGGGATGCTATCAGGATGGAATTGCCAAGCAGCAAGTTAACGGCAAGGATGTCACAGCACACATCTACGAATATACCACGCAGGTGGGTCTAGAGTTGAAGGGAGGCCAGGTTAGCCTCAAGCCTCGGACTGGATGCCCCGTTCAGATGATCTTTTGTCTGAAGGAAAAGAACCAGAAGAAGATCAACTCGCACCGCTGGTTCTTCCAGGCGTTTGGTCGCGTGCTGGATCCCAATATCTGCGTTCTGTTGGACGCGGGTACCCGGCCCGGAAAGGACTCGATCTACCATCTTTGGAAGGCCTTCGATGTTGACCCGATGTGTGGAGGTGCTTGTGGTGAGATCAAGGTCATGTTGTCGCATGGAAAGAAGCTGCTCAACCCGTTGGTTGCCGGGCAGAACTTCGAGTACAAGCTCAGTAACATCCTTGATAAGCCGCTGGAGTCTGCGTTCGGATTCATTTCCGTCCTTCCGGGTGCCTTCTCTGCCTACCGATACGTTGCGCTGCAGAACGACAAGAACGGACAAGGTCCGCTCGAGCGGTATTTCCTGGGAGAGAAGATGCACGGTGCTAATGCTGGTATTTTCACGGCAAATATGTACCTGGCCGAAGATCGTATTCTTTGCTTCGAGATTGTCTCGAAGCGCAACTGCCGCTGGCTGCTGCGATACGTAAAGTCGTCTAACGGCGAGACCGATGTTCCAGACCGGATGGCCGAGTTTATTCTTCAGCGTCGTCGTTGGCTGAACGGCAGTTTCTTCGCTGCTGTCTATGCCATTGCGCACTTCTATCAGATTTGGCGAAGCGACCATAGCTTCATGCGGAAGTTCATGCTGTTCATCGAGTTCATCTATCAGACCATCAACATGCTGTTCGCGTGGTTTGGCATTGTAAGTAGCCCAACCCTCTCAGATGAATCATCACTAACAGGAACAGGGCAATTTCTTCCTGGTTTTTCATATTCTTACGGCGTACCTGGGCGATGACGACCTGCTGGGCACAGTTGGTAAAGTGCTTGGCGTAGTATTCGAATGGCTATACCTCGCGACCTTGGTAACTTGCTTTGTTCTGGCACTCGGTAACCGCCCCGGTGGATCGAACAAATTCTATATGACGATGGTCTATTTCTGGATTGGCATCATGATATACCTGGCATTCGCAGCGGTTTTTGTGACCGTAAAGTCGATCCAATCACAAGTACAGCAGAACGGATTCACCTTCTCGGATCTTTTCACGAACTACCAATTCTTTTCGATTATCGTGTCTCTCGGTTCCACCTACGTGATGTGGTTCCTCGCCTCGTTCATCTTCATGGACCCTTGGCACATGTTTACCTCCGTAAGTATTGCAGCTCTACCAATGTCTATATCTTCTAACCGAAACAGTTCATCCAATACATTCTCCTCACTCCGACCTACATCAACGTGCTCAACATCTACGCCTTCTGTAACACCCACGATATCACATGGGGTACGAAAGGAGACGACAAGGCCGAGAAACTGCCGTCCGCGAACCTCAAGCCCGGCGGCAAGGTGGACGTCAACATTCCCCAGGATGACGGCGATCTGAACGCGCAATACGAAGCCGAGCTGGCCAAATTCGCAAATAAGCCACCTAAGGAGGAGAACATTGTCTCCGAGGAAGACCGCCAGGCCGACTACTACAAGGGATTCCGTAGTGCGGTCGTGCTGGTGTGGGTGTTTTGCAACTTTGCCCTGGCCGCGGTGGTGCTCAGCGCGGCTGGTCTCGAGGAGTTCAGCAGCGACCAGGAAACGACGGAGAACACGCGCGCCACGATCTACATGGCGGTGGTGCTGTGGAGTGTAGCGGGATTGTCACTTTTCAAGTTCTTGGGAGCGATGTGGTTCTTGACTGTGCGGATGGTAAGTTTTCCAGACTCTGAAGATGTGAATCTCGCTAACGAGGGTTTAGTTCCGCGGTGTTTAATCTGGCGTTCTACTAGTCGGCTTAGATGGACAAACAAGACAGACATACAGACAGCATACCGCTGCAGGCTCGGTATGGTATGATGATGACAAGCAATGATGGTTTCATGATACACGGGGCGATGGAATACCCGATTGTTGATATGATAGATAGTTCTTTAGTTTTATGTAACATATGACATATGATGCGAGGATATTGGCACTTACAACGATACAACTACAATAATGTACTCTGTAAGGAAGAGAAGCACATGGAGACAATAGCCTTGAATAGCCTTATTTAAAATTGCCCCTGGCTTATTTGTCAAAATCTAGCAAACATGATATAACAGCAGCATCATTGGTCTAGTGGTAGAATTCATCGTTGCCATCGATGAGGCCCGTGTTCGATTCACGGATGATGCACATCTTTTTGTGTTTTATTTTTTCCTCCCTTCAACTTCAACCAATCAACAACCACACCAACTTGAGATACTACTATACGATAACACCCCTACAAACCCATAAAACACTTTAAGCACTAGGTAAAAAAGAAAAGCTAAGCCATAACACAAAGCGCAATCCCGCCCAACACCAACGCCATCCCCAACCACGTCTCGCGCTCAATCACCTTCCTCTCAACATACCATTCCCCGAGCACCGTGAACAAAAAAGCACTGGAGTTGGCGAGGGGAACGGTCAACGATAACTCTATACATCATCATTAGCATATTCTCACATCCATACCACCCCATATCACCTCAAAAATAAATAGATCTATGGAATAATGTAGAAAACATACCATGCTTCCCCACCAACAAGAAGAACCACACACTCCCCGTTAAATTCACAACGAGGGGGATAGAGTACGCAGGCGTGCGAAGCAAATTCACCACTGTCCAGAATAAAGTAGTGATCTTTTTGCGCAGCCAGGAGGGAGGTTTCTGCTGGTTTTGCTGCATCCATGCTGGTTGTTGCTGCTGCTGTTGCTGCTGTTGTTCTTGGTGGGTGGCTGGGGGAGGATTATCTTCCTCGCTTTCTTCTCCTCCTTCTTCGGGACGTGCTTCATCGGTGTATTCGGGAGTAACAGGTGTCAGAGGGACATTGTCATTACTGTTGATGCTGATGTTGTTGTTGTTGTCGTCCTGTTGCTGGTTTTGCTGTTGGCGGGCTGCAAAGTCCGCGGCTGCGCGCCGGATGAAAGGGGTTGTGAAGCCCCAGGCTACCCCGACTAGAAGGAAGGAGAGAATGTAGTTGATTACGGGGGGGGTGGAGGGGTCTGTTTCTGGGTCCATTTTGGGAGGTTCCTTTTTTATCTTGGGGATGATGAGATGGAATCGGGTTTCGGGGATGAGAGAGATTGGGGTGTGGTTAGGTAAGTTTAAGGAGGTGTGGGGATGATGGTTGATGCATGCATGCGTGCGGCTCGGCGGGAGGCGGGACGGGCAACTGGTGGGTGGAGGTTAGGTTAGTACTTTGGTTGTTCGTTGTTCTGGAACTTTTTTGCTCTGTAGGGTCGAATTGGTAGAAGATGTAATTGAATATTATTGTAGAGGTTTGATTGGTTTGATTTTTTGTTGTGGGAGTCTTCGTCGGATATGCATAGTGGGGATACTGGGTTGTTGTACGGTATCTGGATGAGCGGTTATAAATAATTCACCTTACTACAATACAAGCAACCACATGGAGAAATCTGAGTTCTAAAGGTCATGAATGGGTCTCGCGAAAGGTATACTACCACTGCAAGGACCTGCAGCTTAATGACTGAGTTAGTGTTCGGCCTGAATTGTCCTGAGCGGTAGCAGGCACCTCAACTTTCTTGAATGATCTCTGCAGTGCCCCCACAAGGTTCAGTACTACCCTGAGGATACTACTGCTGTGTGGTGTATCTTCTAAACTACCCTTTTTTCCTAGTAGAAATACTCAATTTACTCATAACGTTTTCATGTTGCCTACATTTATGATAGGATATGAATATAGCTTGTCAGACCTTCTAGACTACACTATTTGCCTAGATATTTGTTTGAAAGACTTGATTTACAGCTGACGGGCCGACAATTAAGACTCTCTCCAAAAACAGCAGTATGAAATAGTAGTAAATTCGTATAAGTTTTGCTTTGCCTATTCATCCCTACCCCCGGCCCCCCTCGAACAAATGAGCTCTTATATGTCAACAATATCATCATAACCCAGAATCAATCTCATATACAAAGCCTTTATTGCTAAAATCATTCCAACCCCGGCAGGTCTGTGATAGGGTGTCAGGAATCGACATATTATCAATTTGCTCAGGGTGCTCCTGTAGAATAATCAGCCATTTTTTCATAATCCGAGATTGCGCGACGCAGGAGACAACGAGAAAGCCAAGTCCTCTAATGTTGTTGGGTTTGGGGGAGTATTAATCTTACCAGGATCAAGATCACAAAGCCCACGCTGGCATGATTGGACATCATTAATGAAACGGGGACCGACGGGGGAATAGCCTGCAGTAGTCAAAAGATGGCTGTCTCTTTATCATCGAAATGGGCTCCTGGCTAGCCATGTTTAGCATCATGTCCGGAACGCTAAGCGTCGCTAGCTAGTCAAACTTGCTAGTAATGCATGGTAAATTAATGGTTGATTGGCTCGATCATTTAAGACATTAGCTGATTGGAACCTAGCTTGGATGAACCAATTAGCGCATCTGGACTAGCCGGATTCTCTTTGTCTATAACCGAGTATAAGGGCTACTATACAAGTTTGACGTGAAAATCAGCACTAATTTAGCGCTTCGTCTTATTGCTCCTCGAGTCCTTGGAACCGTATTGTTACTTGGTGCGGTATGGTGAGCAGAATGTAAAGGCCACATTCCAGAGAGTAGATCCTGGTTATAAGTAATTCCTCATTATGGGTAAATGCGGTATCTTCTTGACTCCTCAATATAGGAGTACTTATCTAGCATTTCCTTGATATGAGAATCTGAACTGAACTCGGCGTCCGAATTTACTGTCCATAACACGGTCTTACCGTAATATTACTATAATATTCCGGTCAAGAAGGGTTCGATGGAGCGGCGATCCAGACCACCCCAGCCCGGGGTAGTAGATCCACAACAGTTCCTTAGTCAAGCTGACATTAGATAGTTGGCTACGCCGCTCGGTCCGAGAGGATGAGGGCCACGCAGAGAGCAGACCCGCCACAGCCGACAAGAAAGCAGGGCAGAGACAGCCGGTGCAGGACCCCGACGAGGCCACGGTGGCGACAAAGGCAAACTAGGCCTTGGGCACAGCCTCAATGATACTATCCCGCAAGCTCACCGTATAGGTGTAGACTTTGTTGATAGACAGCCCAGCCTCTTCTGCCAGACGATACCACTGTTCCTCCGTACGTTCCCGGGCACCTAGGGTAGCCATCATCAACATATCCAATTGCGCCTGCTGCCAGTGAACCCCGGTGTTGGGCAGTACCATCTCGTCAATCAAGAGCAATGAGTCCGGTGCCATGGCCTCGATTGTGTTTTTGATAATCTCTAGGACTTTATGGTCGGGCCAGTCATGGAAGATGTTCCGCAGATAGTAGAATTTGGCACCTGGATTGTATACAGATCAGTCTCAATGAACGTGGAAAGGGGCTCTAACAGAGGGACTGTACCTTTCACAACCTGGGGTGTGAAGAAGTCATACACCTGTTTCTCCACCCCAGGGAACTCAATAGCGTGAGCTAGAGTTTGGGCAAGGTCCTGGACGATCACTCGGCCCTCAAGCTGGGGGTAGCGCTGCTTGAAGCTAATCGCTTGGTGTCCCAAGCCACCTCCAATATCAACGAACAGGGCTCTTTCAGGGCTTAGGCCGGTAGCCTTTTCCAAGACTGGATAGGCGTCCAGAAAAGTAGGCATACCGGCGCGGTTAGCCATCATATGCTCAACAAAATAGCCTAGAGCTTCAGGATTTTGCTGCATATAGATAAAAGCAGGTACATCGGTGTTGAGAGCTTTTTGGAAGGGAGTTTTGACATTGTCCTGAATATCAGGATAATTGTTCTCCTTGAGCCAACTAGGAAGCACTTGAATAATCTGACCGCAGTTGTTCCACCTGACCAGTGTAAAGTTAGGTCTTATTGTACATGATAATGAGGGGTTAGACAATCGACTTACATATGACCAACCGCAGCTTGATGGCCAGACACGGAAAATGTCTTCGAAATACCCGATGCAGTGAAGGTATCTTTAGAGACTTCCTCGACTGCATAATAAGATGCCAAGTAGCGCAAGAGACGAGCTGAAAGGCTTAGTTCAGATCCAGTTTTGAAGAGATATTGAGCAGAGGCTTACCAAGGAAGACCGAATTGGCTCCCGTCTTCTGGCTCAGCTCATCCACAGTAAGGGGACCCTCAAGCAATAGCTCGAAGAGCTTCAGGTCAATGCCAATACGGATGCCGGCCAGTTGCATGTTCTTAACGAAGTAAAATTAGTTTCAGAACTGTATATCTCAACTTGTTGTTGTGATTGTTTGGAATGGGGGAGGGCATTGCGCAGAAAGACGTACGTAGAATGTAAGTCGCTGCACAGTGTCGTCCGGAGTCTCAATTGAGACACTCAGCTTCTGTAGGGCATCCAAGACATCTTTGCGAGTCTTTTCATCACCAGCTTCGACCAGTCTGCGAACTTCTTGGGCAAGAGCTTCCATCTTGGTTCTTTGTCTAGGAGCTTAAGTCCTTGTTTTTCAAGTTCAGGAGAGAGGCTCTTTGAGAGAAAGAGAAAAGTACATCGAGATCGCAATAGAGGCGGATGGAGGGAAGGATTTAAAACTTCAAAGAAAAAGGGAACCGGTAAAAGAAAGAAGCGGATAAAGCCGAAGCGAGCGTTCATTGATCAAGGATCTCAAATGTCTCTATCACACGGCCGTAGAAATAGTCCAGCTAAAATCTGACAAGCAGTTGGACACTAAATTAGTGTAAGTTTCCCCCACCGGAGGTTTGTGATTAACGTAGTGGAAGTATTTGACTGCAATGCGTTGTACCCCTGCGCCACTAACTGTACGACTGATACAACACTATAACGCATGTTACATGGGGGCGTGTGCCTTTTAATCTGAGATGCTTTTGGCTCGGCGCTGCGCCCAAACTACCCCCCACCATCAAGGCAGACAGGCGTCAGTATTAGTCTAGCGATACTGTGTAGGGGCCATATATCAATATCTTCTGTCCGCATCACTTACGTCGATGTCTCATTCTCTAGACTATTATGAATATTTTCGTACATTGCCAGCGTAGTCGGTTCAATCGGCAGCCCAATAATTGCATCCCCATAGGTCTTGGTATATGTAAGTACATCAATTCCAAAACATCAAGAACCATTTAATCTGATCAAGAACAACATTCTCAAAAGCCTCAGAGATCCAGACCTGAATCGTTGGGACTGCCAATACTCTACGGGACCTGCTTGGACACGACTCGTGTTGATTGGCTAATACTGATCTAGTAGCAGTTCATTTAATTCTCAACCAATCAGAAACTATACTCTCATAAGCAACTAAATTTCATACCATGGCACAGTATCCATGATGTAGCCAGGATGCTTTCCAATCAGGGCTTCACTCTCCATCACCGATCACCATATAAGCACTTCCATATAGTCAGGAACATGTTCGAGATATCAGCTGGACAGCAATACGCTAATCTTTGCATAATACCCTGCTCAGCTTCCCAACATGAACCATGCACTAAGCCCTACAGTGACTCCACTCCACTGCACTTAACATATGCAACTTGCAACTCAAAAGATAGCAACTGGGTATCACATTCATATCTGCAATCTATCCTCATATAACGATAACTATATACAACGCAACACAACATTCATCACCACTCCACCCGGTCATCATGCACCAACTGCACATCCCACCGCTCCTCCCCACGCCACACCCTTCCCGGTCGATTCCGCCCCGCCACCGCCGTCCGCAGCGTGGAAATCATTCCCGCCGGACCGCTGGCGAGCACCCGTGTCGGACCATCGACCACCCGGTCCAGAAAATCCTCGACAATATTCTCGAGGTTGGGATGCTTGTGGGCCGCTGCCGCTGTCCCAGTGACTGCAGTGTCTTCAGATGAGAGGGTATACTGCACGGCAACCCCAGAGTCCGATGCACTCGCTCCCGTACAGCAGGGTGATTTCTCGACGTCGGAGACCTCAGGTACTGGCGCTGTCTCCCGCGTCACGAAGATGCGAACTCGAAACATGTTCGGGTGGGTGGATGCCAGGCGCTGCAGGATGTCGAGCTCCGGGGCGATCCATTGCGTGTCAGCCTTGCGGCGGATGATCCAGATGAGCTCGAGGAGCTGCGTCGGTTGGGATTTGGAGGTGGAGGTGTTGCTGAGTAAATGGAGTAGTGGGGGAAGCACGAAGGTGATGCCCGTCCCGCCGGCAATGCAGAGGAGGTTGCTGCTTCCAGCGGTCGTAGTTTCCTCCATGATGGACTGGCCGTAAGGCCCACAGAGAATCACCGGGGTGGTCGGGCCGACGCTCGTCATAGTGGTGGTCTCACCGTCACTCGGTTGAGAATCTTGTGACGAGATGCGTGCGATTTGGGCCAATTCCCGCGTCAGTCCCTTCCGGGCGCGGATGATGTAGGTGTGCGGCTGGCCGGTGGGTAAAGTGTCTGGCACGCTGCAGGGGGTGAGCGGGTGGGCTTGCCACAGACTCAATTGCGGGAAGCAGAGGAAGAAGTGCTGGCCGATGTGCCAAGGGTCGTGATTATGGTGGAAGTCAAGGCGGATGATGTCGCCATCGTCCGGGTTGGGGTGCAACTGGATGGCGGCGTGTGGGATGTGCAACCCCCCAGTGGTGGACGATGTCGTGGTCGGGACGTTCAGATGATGCAGCACGAAGACGCGAATGAGGCGGATCCCTCGGTCCAGGAACCAGACCACCAGCGAGGCCAGCATCCAGCAGTACAGGTGTGACCAGTGCGCCCAGCAGGCCCCGACATAAACCATGGCGACTACGTAGTGGGCCTTGCGGAAGAACTCGTAGCCCGTCAGCTGGATGCCGCGCTTAGTGCTGTGGAAGACTAGGAAGGAGAGCAGGATCATGGCCACGATGCCCCAGATAATGTACGGCTGCGCGATGAAGCTGTTCCATTGCGCGGGCTGCGGCTGGTAGAGCTTCCCCTCAACGATAGTCCAGCCGAGGGTGTGCATGGCCGACTGAATGTAGATTACCCATCCCAGCCAGCGGTGGAGGAAGTTGAAGTGGTGGTAGGGAACGCCCGTGATCAACGAAAGCAATGACTCCCGGCTAGAGAGCAGGATGGACAATGGCGTGAGGGCGAACGCCAGCACGCCGATGCGGTCTGCCCACGGGCCCAGTCCACTGCGTGTGTTGTTGAGCGAACTGCCGCTAATGGGAGTGACCCAGGTCTTGTAGGTGATGCCCACCAGGGTGAAGACCAGCAGATACCCGGAGAGAATCAGGAAGATGAGGACTTGCAGACGTGTGGTATGTCCAAACACCCAGGGCAAGGTTTCCGGGAGCAGATGTCGCCGGACAAGCGCCTGGATTGTCCGCGAAAGACGGTAGGGAGCACTCTGGCGGATGGGCTTGGGCGAGGAGGACCTGGCCACAGATCGATCAAACCGAACGAGGCGTCCTCCCAACGCCCAAAGAAACAATATCCCCGCGATTACCGCCCACAGAATGAAGCTGTAGAGCATGCTGACATCGTGGCCGTGATACACCGCGTCCAAATAGGCGCAGGTACCGGCATCTTTGGTGCAGGGGACCTGGCGGGCAACATACCCCCAGTGGTATTCCAGGGAGGAATCCTGGGAGAAGTCCTGAATATGTCCCATGGTGGAGGAAGTGTAGCGGGGATGGAAATTTGCAGTTGTGCTCGAGCCGGTGGCAGAGGCCATATCTATATCCTCATGATTGGGGGTGGATTCGGCGCGGTGGAGTCGCCAAGGCCAATATCTGCTCATCGCCAAGCATCGTACGTGATAATCTGCTCATTTCACGCCTCGTATAAGTAGACCGTGCGATTCCCCTCTCCATTGGTCCCCCAACCTGCAACACCATCACCGTCACCATCATCATCACCACCACCATGGACATGCACATGTCCAGCAGCTCCAACTCGAGCGCCTGCTCGGTAGCCGTACGTCGCTTCTCACCCTCTGCTTGACACCTGATGACTAATCAGCATGGCAGATGTTATGGAATTGGACCACAATCGATGCCTGTATGAATCCATTTTAGGACTCTGTATAGCTCTTATCCATCTTAACCCTAACAATTGCAGGTTTCCTCTCCTCCACCTGGCACATCAACACGGCGGGCCAATTCGCCGTCTCATGCATCGCAGTCGCCTTCCTCGTCGTTGTGCTCGACTTCCTCCGCCTCCTAAGCAAGCAATACGAGGAGCATCTCCAGCGACAATTCCAGCGCTACGTTGCAGCGCAATCAACGTCGGACCGCATGCAGTTTTTCTGCGGCGACAGCCTGGAGCACGGGCCAACGGTGCTTACCTTCCGAGCCAGTCCCCTGCAGCAGCTGGCGCGGGCGCTACTGCACACGCTGCAGTTCGGGCTCGCCTACATTATCATGCTGATCGCCATGTACTACAATGGGTACATGATCATCTCCATCTTCCTAGGCGCGTTTCTGGGGAAGGTGTTCTGCGACCGGGGCGAGTACCGTGTCGTCGTGGCGCGGCCGGGGGCCAGGACACCGGATGCGACGAAGGCAATGGAGATGGAGCCGGGGAAACAGACAGAAGAGTGGACGACGGGTTGTTGTGGGTAGTTAGGGTATAGTTTATTTCATAGTGTAACGAAGCCCATCTTGTCTTGAGATTCAAATTGTCTCAGATTAATTTAACTGTAAAATTGGAGGGGGCCGTTGAGTGCTTAGTCATGATTGGTGTTGCTGCCTCATTATCATAGCCTTATTGCCTGGAGATGCTTCTTTTGGCAGATCTTGTCAGAGCATGGCTATCTTTTGGACTTGCTAACTTGCTATTCCGAGGTACTTACTCACATCGCCGATGGTTATGGGTACCTTACTACCATCACGACAGCCACAGAAGAAGCTCTCGGTCAATGAAAATTCATTGACCACCTCATATAAGCTTACTGAGTCTGGGGAATGTCCAGATCTTGGTGGGATGTCCGGATCCTGCGCATCTACTAACATTACGTTATGAACTAAGAAAGATACTATACAGAAAATGCCTACCAGAATAGTAAATTTCGAAATGGCAAATACTATTAGCACGAGCGTGGTCGGGCCAAAACAAAGCATGTCTAGAAGATATTGAACTATAAGAAGGCAGATCACCAAGCATCAGTAACAGAAACACAAAACCCCGAAATGAATACCAATGAACTAGAACTTCAGACGGTCCCGCACTTAAAGGCGCGTCTACTCAGTAGGCTGAAGCTCGCTGGTGTAGCAGCTCCTTCAGGCAGGTAATGATCTTGTCCATGGAAACGCTGAGATCGGAGTCACTGGGGCCGGGTTGACTCTTGTAAACCTCGAAAGTGATATTGCGGACCAGTGTTTCAACATCCCGGGCATTTGCCCAAGACCTTGTCCTCTGCAACTGGGCAAACAGGTCCAGCACAGTTGCAAACTTCCCTTCACTAGAGCTAAGTCTTCGATCCACTCTGATCTGGAGCTTCCCTAGCTGCATTTCAAGATATTCAACACAGTGAGCTGGGCTCATCGAGGGAAAGACAATATCAGTCGGAAACCGAGACCGTAACCCCGTGTTAATATGAAGTAGCCTATCCATCTCATCAGAGTAGCCAGCAAGGACAATCACCAGCTTGCGAGCGTAGCGTGGCTTTGTCATACAGTCGACCAACTCTCCAACAGCTTCGCTAGCAAAGCTCGAGCAGTTTCCAGTGGACTCTCCCGCCAGCCGATAAGCTTCGTCGATGAATAGTACCTTTCCCAGAGCCCGTTCCAGAAGTTTGACCACCTTGGGTCCTGTCTGCCCTACATACTCGCCTATCATGTCTGTCGCAGAGCAATCAATGACTTCGGACGTTGAAAGAAACCCCGTTTCGTAAAATATGTCGCCAAGAATGCGAGCCGTAGTAGTTTTCCCGGTCCCTGGTGGGCCCTTGAAGACATATGCGAAAGGGATATATGGACGCGGATCTACCCCCTGCAATCGCATCCCGGCCGCTACCTTTTGATAGTTCCTGAAAAGGGAGATGATACTGTCCATACCGATCATCGACGAGAGGAGTGATTCACATGCCTTGCTATTCCTGAAGGCCCTATCATACTCAGGATCGAAATCGACGGCCTCAATCTTTCTTCCGTTCCGGTCCGTGACACCCCTTAGTCGCTTGTTAAAGGCCGCTTTCGCTTTACCAAGCAGATTCTCGACATCACCTCCATTCCCGAAATTGGGCCGGTCTCGAGCCTGCGCAAGGACTTCTAGGGCAACTTCTCTGGCATGATCAGTAGCCTCGATTCCATCACGCGACATCTTCAGGTCAAGGATCATGGCGAGCTGATCAATGGTATAGTCTTGAAAGTGAAAAGCCTCCTCTAGTGGAAATCGACGTCGTAGACCAGGGTTGCTGTTGTTGAAGAACTCCTTCATCAAGTCCGGATACCCGATAAGGATAATACAACGGTCATCCCCCGGTCTATTCGAAATGTTTGTGACTAGCGTATCCACAACAGCGAGCCGGAACGAATCTGAGGAATTAGCTCCATGCCCTGTTCCCTGATAAAGCATATGCGCATCATCGATGATGAGGACCTTGCCCTCAGTAGCACGGAGTATTTCCTTGGTGTTTGCTTCTGAGTCGCCGATATATTGTCCGATGAAATCAGATGGACTTTTCACCACAACCTCGTCACCAGAGAGGAGACCAAGTTCGGCAATAATCTGCCCATATAGCTTGGCAGCCGTCGTCTTGCCAGTACCTGGAGGACCCAGAAACACCTTGTTCAAAGGCATATCAACTGGAGGTAGGTCGTAAATTTCACGGTGATAATTGGTGTTTGCTCTATGCACAAGTTCATCGACCATCTCTTTGACCTCTTGAAGCCCGATCATACTTTGCAGTTGCTTCCAGGCCTTGCTGTCTTTCCACCTGTTCCCTGGTTCTGGCCCGAGAAGGTCGAATTTTGTCAGAAAGTTATAGTTGGGGGCTTTCCCACGCTTGGCAGCCGTATCTCCTATTGACTGGCGGAGCCGCAAAGCTTGACGATTCATCACCTGTTCCAAAGCAGCGCGCAGAGCAAGCATATTACTGAAGTCTTTTTCTGATCGCATACGACAGATCCGACGGGTAACGATCTTGAGATATGGTCCATCCCAACCTCCGTCAACGTGCAATTTAGTCTTCTTTAGTATGCGAATCAATAGGCGATGGATCTCTTCATCAGAATAGTCCTCGAGGGCCAGCTTTAGGGTAAACAGGCGAGACGCTCCAGTGTCACAGAAGCCTTTGTGCGGTCCTATAAGGATCACGGCAATATCTCCAATGTAATTCTGCATGAAGGTGAAGAACACGTCAGTTGCTCTTGAATTTGTTGTAAGCTGGTCGGCCCGGTGAATGAACATGACCTGGAGAGTATCAGTACTCGAAGGATATGTTTTAGAAAACAGAAACACTGAACATACACCATGTTCTGGGCACCAACGGGTAAGACTAGAGCATTCTAGACGCCACCCTAAATACGGACTTTCATTTCGCACCACAAGGTCAAAACAAGCAAGAAACTCTGCATACAGCTTGGCCACAATTGTTTTTCCTATATTCTTCAGGCAAAGTTCTCACAGGTGGATGAGGAAGACTGACCAGTTCCTATATTTCCAGTGATAATTATACCATAATGGACTTTCTTAAAGTCTTCACCCCGCGATTTACCAGCCTCGATCCTGGCTTTGATGGCCAAAAATTGCGCCTTGACACTCTCCTGACCAATAAGGCACATGACGCGGTCCATCAACCTTTCTAGCCTCTTTTCATTCTTGGAGGGCTGCGGCCTGGCTGGTAGCCTTTTCTGTCTAAGCCATTCCAAGCGGGATGGCGAGTCATCGTCCATGTCGTACACGTTGGCTTGAAGGTCTTCAATGGCTTGGTCATCAAACTTCAGGTCCATATCACTCCTATCAGCATTGTCTTTGTCTTCTGGTAGATACGTCCATGTTTTGAGAAAGTGGTCGCTATCTGTGCTAGAGACAGATTTGGTGTCTTCGTCATCTTCATCGCGCTGGTTGTTGTCTTCTTCACCGTAATTTCCGTCATTCCGATTGTCGTTACTTTCATCGTCACTGTTGCCTTGACTACTATTATCACGGTTTTCTTCAGCTTTGTCATAATCGACTTGGTCGCCATCCGTTTTGTCGCCAGATTCCTCGTCGATCTTGGGGATTTGGTCGTAATATTGGCCGTCGACTTGGATGTCGACGACTTTGTTGTCTTCAAGTTTGTGTGTTTCGCCATCTTCTCCGTCTGCATTGACCCTCTGCTCTTCGCTATCAGATAAATTCACCTCTTTCACCTCTTCGTTCAGTCCTTCGTAATTAGCACTCGAATTGCTTTGGTTGACGTCTTTCTTCTCGCTGGGCAAACTTGGTGCTGTTGGTCCACCCTCATCAACGTGTGTTTCAACAGCTTCGTCATTATCTGGTTGACTTCCTTCTTTTGCTGTATTGTCCGTCTCCTCGTTTGCAAAATCGCCGCATGATGCCGTGTCTTTCGTACTGGTATTTTCTTCCGACGACTGTTCCTGGGGGTTGTCTGGCACAGTGCCCTCAAGATCTTTGTGCTCAGTACAATCAAGCGAAGAAAATGCCTCGTCTAGAACGGTGTTATCAAGGTGCTGCCATTCATCAGAACTAGAATCCGCTCCCGTTGTCTTTGGTTGGTTTCCTCCAGCATTTTGTTGGCTGTCGCATTCTTCCTTGCTTGTAGGGATCGGTTCCTCGATGGTGGTCTCCACGTCAATGTCCTCATCTGATGGACCTTGTTGTTCTCCCATTTTGCCGTCAGCTATCTAAATCCCGCAGGTAAATAAATAGATGAAAGGCCTGATGAACAAACATACTTTCCAACGAGGACGTTGGAAATACTTATAGGACGGGTCAACATTCATCAAGGCCTATATTTCTGTTTCTTTGAGAAGATGAATAGAAAAGCCTCGTTACTTGTTGGGTAGGCAACGACGCTGTAGCCTTGAGTGATTCAGTGAGAGCCGTCACCTCACGGCGCATATGTAATTAAACTGAGATCATCTCATAACCTGCATGATTGGTGCACTCTCAGAGCTATTTACGCCGCATACATGCAGCAAGCACGCCCGTAACCTTATCACAACCGGTGAGGCTCAGTGTGCTCAGTCAGACAAGACACTGTCATTGGGATCAGTATTATGGCGCCCTCGGGGAAATAGTTGATCTCCGACACATACGTATGATGGTGTAGAGTGTTGGTTGGTGATTCATGTCTCACGCGAAATGCGTCCGGTTACTGAGCAGTATAGACCTTTCGACCTAACTATTGCGTAACAAATCTGTGCGCATAGATCATGTATGGTTTTAGCCACCAAAGCAGGCAGCATTGTCTGCCTGAGCCAGCAGAACTGGTCGCAGGTTCAGGTGGATCCACACCCCTTGCGTGGCCGGACTGGGGAAAAACAGGTAGAGGGCCTCTTTGGATTGTGATAGGTTCCGCGCCAGTTGCGGTCGTAATCTATGAGGTTCTGGTGGGAAGTGTGACGAAGGACTTTTGGTAGGGATGCTGAGTTTCATATATTCGAGTGTCGGGTCCAAACAAAGGCAGCATTTCACCGCGGTGGGATTAGTCACTGTAGTAGGAATACACTTATTCTTGTCTCAGTTGATTCAGTGAAGAAATAGTGGTGAAGCGAGTCAACAGCGCAGCCTAGCCATCTCTAGATGTTTGCATACCTAACTCATGATTCAGATATCTGTAGGCAGAATAGATGGGAAGAGCAACTGGCATTCTTTTTGATCGATCATGAGTCTTCGCAATCCTCCTCACTGCGGGTGGTTGGGGAAGGAGCACCTCACATTCTCACAGCGGAGGCAAGGTAGTTGGAGGCTCCAGCTCCCTCGTACCACTTGTACACACTCGCAACCTCTCCCCACCCGGTCAGAAGCTTCTTGCTTACCTGCCATGAGGCTGGCGCCACCGTTGGCGACTATACATCTCTATTGGTTAGTTATAATGCTTGGACTCGGTTATTCAGCCATTTTACTTTGATATGATGAAGAGATTCGAGAATAATTGCATAAATGTCTGCAGCCCCAGACATAACATCACTTCATATACCTTGTTGGACTATAACTCAGCGCCTGTGCACTCAGAGGTGGCTAAGCTGGTTCCGAGGCTTCTGCCCAATGACAATGTTCAGCTGAGGCGCATATCCATGTCTTAACACCTCGTCCCGCAAATCGTCCAAGAAAGCATCGAACTCAGCCGGAGTCCTCGCCACCCCAGGAATACCACCAGGAGGCATCTTATGCCCGAGGCTGCGGTATCCTTCCACCAATAAATAAGCAGAGGTCACTTTCCACTGCTCCTCTCTAGCTACTGCACCATACCCTATAGCGAACGAGGTCTTGGTGATGTTCACGAACCCAGAGTGTCGCAGCAATTCCTCCAGCTCATAAGCAATATAGGCATTCATTCCGAAAGCATCAGTACTCCACTTTTGCATTTCCGACATCTTAGCGAGGTTAGGGAACTCAACAGGGTCAAATGGTGCGTCACGATCTACCCATTGGGCTTCCACGAGCTGAATCCAGCCTCCAGGCTTCAACACTGAACGCAAGTTTCCCAAGACCTGTGGCCATTCCGCGCTTCTCAGGCCCCATACAAGATAGCGTTGATGAATGATGTCGAAGATCTCTGGTGGGTGCAGGTGCTCGGGAATTGGCTCGCGGATATCATGTTTCTGAAGATCCACAATCGGTCCATCCGCAGATGGGGGCGGGAAAAGCGCGGAGCCAATGTCGATGCCATGAAGGGACCATTTCTGATTGGGATAGTGCTCTGCTAGAGAACGAAGCCAGGTTCCTGCTCCAGACTCATCGATCAACGCAATTCTATCGAGGATATATGGGCTCTCTCCTTTCCACTTACCGTCCGCTGCACCAGCATCCAGAATCCTCAGGGTTGCATTGGTCCCAGCGGTATGCCCAGGAGAAGACCTCCTGTAGACGACAGAATTAAGTTGTGCTGCCGTTGCAGACGGTCGATCTCCCGTTGGTGGTGAGGGAGGTTATAAATCCCTTCGGTTCCAACGAAAGCGTTGCCTTTTGGGGCGCTGGAAGTGGATTTCACAGTGGCCATGATGATCCGGGTTGGAGACCCGATGAGAACTCTTCCTGACACGTTTCCAAGGCAGTAGGGCCTATTTCTAGCCTTCAAAGGAAAGCGGGGTTTTCAGCCGGGTGGAGCTGTTGTGATGGATCCTGGGCCCTTAATTCGGTAGTTATAGCTGGCGTAGCATGTGCTTCATTCAACAGCACCAGCGATCCAGCTGGGGAAGCTTTCTGTGTCGTATGAAAGGGACGATGTAGCAGGTAATAACCAGGTCACTATGGGCCTAATCTAGAATGGACTACATCATATGTCAAATGCTGACTGCTAGACTAAAACGATATATCGGACAGCCGATGGAGGAATATGTCCCAGAATCATACTACCTATAAAGGCGGCAATTATGCTCCACTCCCATTACCCCCTTTTCTACATACTCGACCACAGTCTTCCTTCTCCAACATACTCTCCTCCATCAAATCCATACCCAATCCCATAAACCCAAGATCATCATTTCCCCCCAATAAGACAAAGACAATATAACCCGAAAGACACCCTCATCACTCTCCTCCCCTATCCCTGTCAACTCCCAGCAATCTAATATAATCTAGTCATCTACCGACAATCAAACGCCACCCTACAACACTGCCAATCCTTCAACCCGCCAGCACAATCCTTACATGCCATCTTCTTCCCCAGATCCGTTTTCCGTCCGGCATACCAAGCGTCGCCCTCCGGCTTAATCCCACCGCCCTTAACATCGACTTCCACCGTCCACGGCAGCAGCGAATGCAAAGACCAATGGCCCGTATCCATGCTCTGCGGGAGAGCTCCAAGTCCCCTGCAGGAGCGATCGTAGACGTAAGTCTCGCGCAGCTGGACTCGGCCGTTGGGTGCATATGTGGCGATTCCCAGATTGCAGTAGTTTGCGCCTGTTGGGGTGCAGAGGTCGGAGACGAGGTTGTAGGGCGCAGCAGAGGAGATTATGTTGGGGGTGGAGTTGATGATATTCGCGGCGGATTGGGTGGCGTCGTGGGCGATGTCCAGGGCGGCGGTTAGGGGGTTGGTTGGGTGGGCGAGGGTGAGAGGGAGGAGTAGGGGGAGGGTGATGAGGAGGAGGTTCATTTTGGGTACTATTTAGTATTTATGATAAGGTAGTAGATTGTGTTGTTCGTTGTCTGTTTGGAATTCCTGATCTGAGTTGTAGGTGATGAGATGGAAGTAGATTGTGGTCCTATATATAGGTTGTTTGTCGCTTATGGTGGTTCATGTTGGGTTCTAGCTCGGTTTCAGTCATGTATCTGCCTAGTTCTCAGTACTAGGTCAATTGACCAACTCGTATATGCACGAGGTTAGGCGTATACGAGGAATGTACAAGTTCAATCTGTCTGGGGGATTGCAAACCTGTCTATCACAATTGACGGGGCAGTGTGGGGGTATACGCGCACAGCAGAGAACTGAAGGGCTGAATCACCCTCCAAAAGGTAATACAGCCGTTCGGATAATGAGGTCATGTGCATGTGGACGTGAATGACCCCGATATGTCCGGGGTCAAGTCTCGGTTGTGAGATCAATGAGGCGCCGGCTCCTAGTCTGGGATTCAATCTCGGGTAGTATAAGAGAGAACTCGACCATGTGTGCCTAATTTGTACTACAGTTTACTGCTCGGTTGTAGATTCTTGATGGTGATTGGACAGTTGCTGTTTTCTTTTGGCCTTGGGCTTTACGCGTCTGCATCCTGTGTCGAGTTACTTGTTTTCAGTGCAGTTGCCTGGTCTGATGAGACCAGCCAGGCGTTCAAGGGAAAATTTAGGGGAGGAATTGGTGAGCCTAGCTCAGGGGATTGATGAACTTTCTTGATGCTGGACATCACCTAAATGGCTTTGGTACCCTAGATTGCGTGACATCCTGGTGCCAGGGAGCCAATGGACGAGAAGTTGGGTAAGATGTTTACAGTAAGTGTCCTGCATATACTCGAGATGATGTATTTTCTTCTCCAAGGGAGTGATGCTTATGTATTTAAACATGTTTAAACAAGTGAAGCACCCGAATCCGTACTCACTATCCGCCCGGTAATGTTCGTATCCTTCATCAGATATAGATAAGCCTCTGCCACTTCTTCCGGCTGAGCGATTCTTCCCGTTGGATTTTTCGCTGCGGAAAACTGGCATATCTTTTCTTGCTCCTCCACTCATCAGAATGTTCCATAGGGGAGTTTTCACCAGTCCAGGACTCACAGCGTTAACACGTATTGGCTTCAAATCTACCGCTAGATTACACGCAACACTGCAAGTACCACCTAAGTATCCAGCTACCGCCGTCCAGTTGGGCATCGGATGTTTTCAATTAGTTCCTGTCGTTAAGGTAATTGATGAATCCGGACCCGGGGAGAGGTATCGAGAGGCAATCTTGGCGACGAGTACGGCCGCGAAAAAGCGCACTTGACCGGCAGCGATGAGCTTCTCCCGAGTGATTTCTTGCACGGGCATGATGGCTGGCGCATCAGTCGCGGTGAAAACAATGTGATCAACTTGGCTGGTCTTTTGGAATAGCGCTTCGAGGTCTTCTTCGATCGTGTCTTTGGAAAGATCGCAGACGTGTCCTTGGAGCTGGGCATTTGGGAATTCCGACTTGAGATCCTGGACGGTGGATTCAATGCGTTTGCTTGAGGATGAAGACACAGTGACTTTGGCTGATGCGGCTAGTGAAAGCTTGGCCACACCCAGGCCTATGCCGGAGGTGCCTCCGAAAATCAGGACATGCTGCCGGAGGACATCTTATCTGGCCGAGGAGCTTGATGATGGCAACAACTAGTTCAGGTCTAGGGGAACTGAAGTTCAGGCTGGTATGATTCGCTATATTAATCGCAGAATTGCTGAAGATGTTGACTCCCATGACGTGTATGCCCGCTTAAGTCCGCGGCAGCCGGTGGGGGCATCTGTTTCCAGACGGATACTATCCCCACATGCCCGGTCTCCGATTATTATCTCCTTTTCCCGGGGTTAGAACTAGCAACGAAATGCGAAAGATTCAACCTACCAGACTAATGATGAGCAAGAGACCCATACATTAGTGCTTACTTTGCATTCCAGCGAAAGAAATCAAGTAATGCCCAGCTGCGGTCTCATTGTCAAACCCGAGGATCCAAGCGCAAACATGGGATTTGTAAGATGTGTTTGCATCTGATGTGATCATGCAAACAAACAGCCTAATCACCACCTCGAGAAGCAAATCACATTCCAGAATACCCCTCTGACAAACAGAGCAAACCAGACAAATACTGTTATGTCCGACATGCCCATCCAACAATATGATCTTTAGCAGACCATAAATATGGCCAATTTCCTGCTGAAACGATGCTGCTGCCTACTTCATCGCCCTCTCAATCATACAGTGCAGCTTCTACTTGAAATCCTGACAGAATGCAGTCACCCTTGGCGCAGAAAAGACTGGCCGGTTTTGACTTGGTCCAAACCAACTATAAGACAGTCGGCGATCACCATCTCCGCGCCGATCTCATCATTCCCCAGTCGTCATACAACACCGGCAAGCGGCCAGTTATCATCCACTTTCATGGCGGCGGTTTCGTAAGTAGTCCACTCACTAGTCCGGCACATTCAATACGTTCAATACTAACTTGCAGTAGCTAACCGGAGACTCGCTCTTCTTTGAATGGTTTCCTCAATACCTCTTCGACATCGCGAAACAACACAATGCGGTGATCGTATCTCCGAACTACCGCCTCTTGCCCGAGGCTACCAGCCTTGACTTGTTCGATGACATTGAGGATTTCTGGATCTGGCTGCATTCGCCCGTGGCGGCAGAACTCCTATCATCTCAGCCTAATCCAACAGAACTTGACCTGGATCGCATTATCACTGCCGGCGAATCCGCCGGGGGCACACTGAGCATCTGTCTCGCCCTGGCTCACCCAGAGGAGATCCGGGCTTGTACAGCAGCCTTTCCTGGCATGCTAAGTGCCCCCGTCGAGGATGGTTTCCCACGGAAAGACCGACCCCGTCCGAGCGGTCTGTCTCTGGAAGAGGCCAATCGACTTGTGGATGAAGCGATCAGAGACAGTGAACAGGGAATAGTTAAGTCATCAATCATGCCACCTGGACGGCTGCCTTTGATGCTTGCTACTATTGAGTCTGAACGCCTCTATGAACTCTACGAGCGTGGGACTGAGAAAGACCCCCGACGGGCACTGCGGCACCCTATGGAACGGCTGGATGAGCCGGACGTCAAGTTTCCTCGTGGAGGTATCTCTATCCGACACGGCCTGGATGATGACATCGTGCCTCCGGGGATTAGTCAGGCCTTCGTGGATAAAGCAAGGAAAGTAATGAAGGGGAAGCCGGGAGGGGATAAGATTGTTTTGGCACTGCGGCCAGGGGGTCATGGCTTTGAAGGCGAGACTAGAGGGGACGAGGAGTGGCTGCAGGAGAACTTGCGGGCTGCTATCGAGGCATGGCTGGAATAGACCCCACTGGACATGGTATACCACGGCATATATATGTTAGAAGCCTTTCCGGCCTGCATATTGTGCGGGGCTTCAGGTCGGACTTAAGCTAGAACATCTCCGTTTTCTTTGATAGATCAGATGATAATTTAACTACTACTAATGTACCAAAAATTGGGTCCATTCCCTTCTCTCAATCGACCACAATCCGATGCTCAGCACTTTACAAGAGTACCAGCCTAGTATACAAAAATAGTACCATTCTAATATAGACAAGTACAGTCCTGCGGTCCAGTTCGATCGCCCCTCTCACTGTAGCTTAGTTACTAACATAACTTCCCATCACTCTCATCATCTTTCAATTCTTCAACATTCGTCTCAAGCATTTTCTCTCCCAATAATATCTGTCAGTTCTGCTCTCCCCAGCTAAACGGCGGCGCACCGCGCTGGCCTGTGAGGAATGTCATCGGCGTAAAATTCTGTACGTCACATCCACCCATCCACTATTGATCATATATCCCCCAGATGCAATCGAAGCTCACCTTGCGCATCCTACGATCAGTTAAATCTCGCCTGCAAGTATCCTGCTGATGAGCGCCGGGAACCTCGAGACACACCCACAGTTCGATGCACCCACCCGTCCGAGTCGCATGGTCTGTCAGAAGGATCGAGTCACCATTTATCAGAGTAGTCTGTCCAGGTGTCCGCGCGACGGCCTAGACATCCACGCCTGGCTTAGGCAGCTGGGAACGGTATAGCCCATCATCAATTCGAATAGCCAACAATCACCACATACTACGGTACTCAATATTCCGGGATATCAATACAATCACATTTCATTACCATTACCATTACCATCAAATGAAACACACATCATCCCCTCACTAAAAGACAAGAGAAGACATTAATAAGTCCCATCCTCCCAGTCCCCCTCATCAGCATCCTCATCCAACTCCCTAATAGCCCTAGTCCCGCCTGCAGCACCCATTCCACCCTGAGTATCCATCAACGCGGCCTCCCGACCCGCAGAATCGAACCTCCGTTCTTCGAACACCGGCTCCTCGCCTAGATTTTGGTATCCGGTGCGGACGGTAGTAGCGCCGGTGGGATCGGTGTGTGAGGTAGTGGCGTAGCGGTGGCCAGTTGTTTCGGTTTGGGGGTTGTTGTTGTTGGTGGTAGAGGAGGAAGAGGAGAAAGAGGAGTAGGCGGATGAGGAGGAGCTGGAGGTGCGGTAGGACATTTTGTTTGTGGTGGTGGTGGTGTGGTTGTTTCTTCGGTGGTAGGATGGACGATAATAACCGAGTATATTGAGATAAGATTGTATCAATTGATAATAAAACAATGATAATAATAGAGTAGGATAAGCTTCTGCAGAATAATAATTCAACAATAAGCATTGTCCTCGAAAGATCCAAGGGTACTTATACCCACAGCTCCATCCCAGTGGCAACAAATGTGATGTCATCCCCTCCTCCCCCAATAACAACAACTATGCGATCCATCCGTACCATGCAATAAGAGAGCATGAATGAGTCCCCGCACGGGCTATATGTCAATCAATGGTTCATCATGAAGTCAATCTGAATCATGGTACCTTTGTTATTGGTCCGTGATTGTCTCATTTGTTTCGGGTCTTGGCCTTCGATTCTTCCATTGGGGTTCTAGAACTGCTGGTGGTTGCTGGGCTTGCGTAGGTGGGATGCATGTTGTGATGGGGACTTTCCCTTCCTGGGACTGTGTGTACTGGAAGATGTTGGTTTTGGCTGTTTGTTAATTGCTTGTGTGGATAGCTGATATCATGGCTCTGGAGGTTTGTACTGTCTATCCGCTTGATGCCCCTACTAGCTGTTACATGAAGACTTCAGGCTTGGTGTTCCTGGGTCAGAGTCTATAAGCTTGTTCAGTCAATTATTATCAGTATTGCTTCATATGCTTTGGACTTTTGATGAGTAACATTGGTATCATAAAGATAGCTAGCTATCTGACATAAGAATGAAAAGCTACCTAAACCGAAAGAAAACACATAAAAGAAAGCTATCTAAAGCAAACACTTGAACCTGCCAGAGACAAGAAAAGGAAATCATCCTATCTAGAGAAAAGAAAGATGCAGCACATCGCTGTCATCAAACCATAACACGCAAGAGAAAAAGAGAAAAAAAAAAAGTATCTATCTAAGACACGTAACTAAGGGCATATCTTTTCATGCCTCGACCAGATCCTCCAATATCTATCGTATTGAGCTCTCGGCTCAGAGCATCGTAGCTTTGATCAATGTTTCCATAACTTTTGGTTGGGAGGCCGACAGGGACCTTAGATGGTATAGGTGGGTTGTTTGCCTCGGCATATAGCCTCGAGGGAGAATTAGAGTATGCTTCGGTCATGGACTTGCGATGTCCGTAGTCCTTGGGTGGACTGTCTCGATGAACGGGGCTGCGGAAACGCACAACAACTCCCGGCTTTTTGGTTTTCCGTTCGGGCTCTGGGGCCCAGGTATTGGTAGGCAAGTGGTCGGAAGGATCAATTTCTCGACCATCATCCCCTATAATGGGGCCTGATTCCCGCGCTGCTGGCTCTCGCGCCGCTTCAGGCAGGTAGGAATCGGGAGAGAATGGAACAGGAGACACCTCCCGGCCCCTCATCGAAGGGGGTCGGGGGCTGACTGATTTTCTTCGGGGGACAAGTTGATTATTCGGGGCTGTCGAAGTTCGACTCACAAGAGACCGAGTATCATGAGGTTTCTTCAGAGGATTTTCGTCGTAGATACCATGAGAATGCCTCCTGTGGTCATCAACTGGCTTATGAACCATTTGCAGCGGATTCTCATCGAAGTTACCGCTCCTTCGTCTGATTTCTCGCTCATACGCCGCGCGATCCGATTCGGCTGCTGCAAGTACTGGATCAAAACCAGGGACTAGACTTGCTGGCACCGCGTTTGTTGTGGCCACGGCCTTTTCCTCCCGTCTGCCTCTGGGATAGTCCCAATTGGGATCCCACGACGGGGTCGTATACAGACTGTTGTCCGAAGCAGGCTTTTCCATCGGCTCAGGCATGGTAACCTGCGGCAGAGGAGCTGGTTGCGTGTACGCCTGAGGGACAGGGTTGGGTACCACTGGCACTGGTTGGCTGGTTGGCACCAGTCCTGAGCGATGGGCGGGTGGAGGGGGTGGAAGTCCGTCTTCTTCTTCGTCCTCAACACGGGGTTGCATCATCGCGTATGACAGGGAAGACGGCTGACTGTCGGTGAGAAGTGGGGGGGTATATCCAATTTGTGCATATTCACGATAATGCCCGTAGGCCGGCTGTTGCGCACTTGAGCTTGTCGAGGCAAACGAACTGCTGTCTGGTATTTTTGTGTATTCGGCGTGATAAGAAGGACATGAACTCGTATTGTACGAGCTCGTGGCATTGCCGACGAGTGAGTTGCTGCTACTGTGAGGCGGCGCCTGGCTAGCGTACTCAATTCGGTGAGGGTTGGGAAGGAGTGGAAGCAGGCTGGAGCTGTCGCTCATCGGCGGATTGCTATGCTCAACATGAGGCCTCGAGTACTCATTATTCTGATAATTTGGCAACGAAGTCGTGCTATGAGTGGCACCTGAACCGCTGTCCGAAGAAGTGATAGGGTAGGGACAGGGATTCGAGTGGTAGGATCCCGTGGGAGTGCCAACGACTAAACTGTTGCTATCCAGTCGTTGCGGGTTTGCATATTCTCTGTGATTGTATGTAGGAAGCGAGGTGGTGCTATCGCTCATTCCAGAGCTGCTGTTATCCACTCTTGGCTGTCTGAGGTCTTGATGGTGGTTGTGGTTGCTGTGGTGGTTGAATGATGCAGCCGAGTTCGTGCTATCATTGGCACGAACCGGTGAGCTACTCGATGTGCTTGAGTGCGCCGAGGATCTCGGGCGAGGATCTGAAGGGAGCGGGCGTCTTTTGACATCTTTCAACTGCCTGGGACCGGAGAGGGTACCAGGGCTAGCCGGCACTGGACCTGAGCTGAAAGATGCAACCTTCTTCGGGTGGTGAGACTTCTCAGCTGCGGGAGTTCTTCTTTCGATCACTGCTTCATCTTCAGGCCTCGTATCATAGTAAGTCATTTCAAGTCTGACTTCGCCAGCGTATTTTCCACGGTATTGCAAGGGATGCCAGTGGTCGTTCTGGCTGCCGCCCGGGATGATCAGATCACTCAGATCGACCCATGTCTCTCCAATGAGATCCGTCTTTTTCTCATCATTGAATACAGAGACTTTGAGTCTATAGTAGTCTGGAGATTCGTGTACGTTAAAGCGAAGTTCATCATCCCTACGTCAGTCAGCGCCGTCTATATGACGTCCGAGTTCAGATGGTGGCAAGATACATACCATTTGGGGGTTTGACCACCTCGCAGGTCGGTGCCAGTTTTCTTTGCTTCTTTTCCAAGACGCGCAGCACAGTAAGGATTCTGCTTGCCCATTGTTTTTCTATTTGGTAGGTTTTTGGCCCGGTCGGCGACGACCACCAACGTGCCAATAATTGGGCCATCCACGGACATATCCGCGAAGATGCCCGCTGCATGAGCAGTATGAGCCATTGCCATTAAGCCCCGCTTGGGGACTCTGGCGTCCATCATTTTGCTAGACTATCCTAGGGAGAAATATAATGAAGGAGTGACAAGACGCAGTTCGGTTTGGGGTGGATTGACAGAGAACGTGAAGGAGAGTAACGAAAGACCGATGAGCGTTGGTTGGATGGTTTTGTTTTTCAAATGTGGAGCAGCAAGGTAGAGCAGTAATAGTAACGAGAGACCAGTTCGTTTCGTGTGAAGTTGTTTTGCAGAAATGAGTGCAGGGAGGGGAGAAAGGGAGAGAGGACGGGCATAGTTCTGGGAGCTGGAGGATCGCGGCTTATCGATAAGCGACGGGCGCACTGATTGGGTGGCAACTTGCGGTGGGGCCAGCCGAAAAAGGGGAGGTTGGGCGGGTGATGTGGCTGGGAGTGGGGCTGTGATTGGCCCGATCGCGCCTTCCTGCTTGGAATCATACAAATCAGTACTGGTATCTTTCGTTAGATTACTCGCGCTCTCTGTCCTGATTGGTTAAAGCAGCTGGTGGCGGATCCCGGTCATCACGAGGTGACAACCTTAGGGATCTGGCCCCCATGTGGAGGCCGGGTTGGAGGATAACTTCCAGCCACGGATTTCCAACCTGAGACGAGTATACAAGACAGAAGATGCTGCACACGCACCTGGATGGGCCTGAAAATGCCACGAATAACTCTCTCGATCTCCCCTTCACAGAGTAAAGTTGACACTTGGCCGTTCATACGACACCAAGCATGCCCGTAGCCGACCACATAGACCCAAGGCCATATCGCACGAAACATGATACTTGCGGTGTCAGTGGAGATGACAGTAAATCATCCGACACTGCGGCCGCCTTGCTAGTTGGGGCGGCAGCTCCGTTACAGTGCGCCTCCACTCCTTGTGCTGTCGCTGCAGCTTCTGCGACGCCATTGCATACGTCAGTACCAAACTTGGTCGAGTACGCCTACAATGCAGGGTGTCAATAGTATACAATTCTGCTGCCTGTGCGCTGCATCGGCTTCAGCTTGATCCCAGCCACTACGATTCGGCTTGATTCGTCAGAACACCAGAAGCGAGATTGAGCTTCGTAGGCTGATGTCATGACGGGGCGAAGCAATCTCGTACGGCACCTCGAAAAGTTCTAGTCGTGCGATTGTTCCGCCAGGAACCCGCGTCAGGCTTGAAGTTGGCAGATGTCTACTCCGTATTCCGTCTCGGAGAAGAGTCAATTGAATTCGTGGGCCCGCGGACTTCTGGTCTAGACTAATCTTGGAGTCGCACCCACGTGGAACGTAGGCGGTTAGTGGTTAGTGGTTAGTGTCCGATGGTTAGCAGGTGTGGCATTCCGCCAGACGATCGGCAGCGGCAGCTGGGGTGTGGCTGATCGGCTCTGCACGGCCGGGCACGAATAAGGATGGGTCGGACGCTTCCCACGGTGTCCCGGGTGCCTGGCAAGCCGGCCAATAGCGGGTGTCTGGGGCTTCCCTGTAAAGTCAAAAGATTGAAGAGCCTGGAGAAATCAAGGAACGAGAAATCAAGGACGAACCCCACTCACGAGTAAGCAATTTGCCGCAACTGGGAGCTTGCTATGGAGCAGTGCGATATGGCATGGATCCCCATGCTTATTTCTCCCGAACCAGGCAATCGCACTGCAGACGGAGAAAATTCGGCCAGGCACATAGCTAGATCAAGCCTCCACAATTGATCCATAGCTGGACCCATTCTGTATACCCAAGTATAACTCAAATCCTGCCCGATCAGAATGAAAACGGTCGATGTCTCACTCCACAGTAGTCCTTGGCTAATTTAAGCCGTCATTGTCTGATGGTGACAGCATAGATACCGGTGTTCAAGTGGACCTCAGGTTGGTTGATAGGGCATGAGGCACGGAGGCATCGTCACATCCTAGTCACACTTGACTGTGTTGTAAGGTGGATATCAATTCTGGTAAGGCGTTGATGAGGCTGTTGAGGCTGTTCGAGACCATAACTTCAAGTTGTCCAATGCTTGGGTTTGTGTTGGTCAACGCGCATAAGCCTGTGGAGCAAACGGTGACTGGGACTCAAATTGGGGAGATAGGAGCTACCGGTCAGCAATGGTAACCGAGCAATAGTAAGAGCATTCTCTGACTGGGTCACCGATACTGACTTCGGCCAGCTTTGCAGTAGTTTCAGCTCTTGATTCATGACGTGTTTTGGCGTTCAGCGGTGAGGTCGGTCTGGGCCATCAGATGCGGTCTGGACGTTTGCTGAACTGCTGTTCAATTCTGGTCTGGGTATTATGGCAGTATAGAAAGTAGAAAAATCGAGAGATCTATGTGTTGTCTGTGGGGATTCTCATGGTATGGAGATTCGTGTAGCTGCCTCCGTTGTAGATAGTAGATACGCTGCTGTTAGTGCCAGGGAAGCTGCGGCCCGGACAGACCAGCCGAGAGGTACTTTTGTCTTCCCCATTCATCTTCACTAGGAAGTGAGTAGCAAAAAAGAGTTAAGAACTGTTTATCTGCGTAAACTGACTGTTCGCTATTGAGACAATTGTTCTTCGCCTCAATGGCTTCCAGATTCTTGTTCCGAAAACGCTTCTGGTCAAATACTATTCTACCAAGTTACTCTGGGTGTCTGTATCAGCCGCAAATATCCTTAAGGCTATCTTGCTATGTCTTCTATCTCCAAAGTGCTGAGAAATCAATGGCTAATATCCAGTTACTGACGATGGCCAAAGAGTTCGCACATATTTGAGAACTCACTCATGAGATACACATCGACAACAACTGATGAAGCACGCTGCTCATGTATAGGAGCCATTCAGAGCCACCATATTATACAGCAAGATAGCTCAGCTCCTATGTCTTAGCAAAACTCACAAGATCTTTTCTGATGGATAATGTTTTGCTGATAAAGATCAACTCCAAATGGACTATAGCAGTTTCTCGCGCTAAACCTAATCGGGCGCCGATAGACTTTTCCCGATGCGATAGAGGCTCCGTCCAAAAAATTTCCCCGAACCACTTCGACGACGCCGACAACGTCCAAGGCGCAGGCTGCTGGCTGATCTCTCCTTCTTTATACAAATTAGCAGTCTCAAAATCTACTTTCCATCAATCTATCCCGACTAGGGCCACAGCAGCCATGGCTGCCCCCGTCCTCCCTCTGCAACAGGTCAAGCTGCCGGCGCTGCCCTCGACCCGTTTGACGCCGGAGCAGCAATATTGGAAGACCTTCAAGAATCCTCTCCTCATCCCCTCGCCAGCCAATGGACCCGTCAACCTCATCACGCAACCCTCCGCTCCCTCCTCTGCCTCCGCCTTCCCTTCCCTCACCCAACCCCCCGATGTGTTCACCGTGACCACCGGCGCCCGCGTCCAGATCTACTCCATCCGCACTCGCAAACTCCTCCGCACAATCACCCGCTTCGATGATACGGTACGAGGCACAGATGTCCGTCCCGACGGGCGAGTCATCGCCGTTGGTGACGACTCTGGTACGGTGCAGGTGTTCGACGTGAGCTCCCGTGCCATCTTGAAGACATGGAAGGATCACAAGCAGCCCGTCTGGGTCACGAAATTCTCTCCCAGCGACCCTACATGCGTCATGACCGCCAGTGACGATCGGACGGTACGACTGTGGGATCTGCCCAGCGAGAACAGCCAGAAGGTCTTCACTGGCCATACCGATTACGTGCGCAGCGGTGCATTCATGCCGGGGTCTCTGGCCTCCTCCGGCCTGGTGGTCTCCGGTAGTTACGACCGGACCGTGCGACTGTGGGATCCTCGCGTTGAAAACCGGTCCGCCATGACATTCAAGATGGGCGCAGCGATTGAGACGGTGCTCCCCATGCCCACGGGCACGACGGTGCTTGCGGCGGCCGACAACAAGATCGCGGTGCTGGATATCGTGGCCGGCAAGCCCCTGCACATGATTCAGAGCCACCAAAAGACCGTCACGTCGCTGGCGCTGGCGTCGAACGGCGAGCGCCTGCTCTCCGGTGCGCTGGACGGCCACACGAAGGTATTCGAAACGACCGGGTGGAACATGGTCTCGGGCTCCAAGTACCCGTCCCCCATTCTCTCCCTTCGCGCGATCACATCGGGCATCGCCCAGGAGGACAAGCACATTGCCGTCGGTATGCAGTCTGGTCTTCTGTCGATCAAGACCCGCCTGTCCGGACAACAGAAGATCCGTGAGCGCGAGCGCCGCAAGGAGATGCAGGCGCTGCTGGAGGGCAAGCTGGAAGAGCACGACCGGAAGGCGGCCAAGCAAAAGAAGCAGCGCGGATCCGGGTGGGAGAAGCGCCTGCGCGGACAGGACTTTGTCGGTGAGGGCGTGGACATTGTGATCGAGGGGCGGGACCTCAAGAAGCGGAAGAAGGAGCAACCGTGGGAACTCGACCTGCGCAAGGCGAAGTACTCAGCGGCCCTGGATCAGGTGCTGCGGTCGAACGACAAGACAGCACAATTGACGCTATTGACGGCGCTGCGGCATCGGTCCGCGCTGCGGGCGTCCCTGCAGAATCGCGACGAGGTGACGCTGCAGCCGGTGCTGCAATGGGTGCACAAGAACATCACGGAGCCGCGACTGGTGCAGCTGAGCGTGGAGGTGGCGATGAACGTGCTGGACATCTACTCGGGCAACCTGGGCCAGTCGGCGCAGATCGACAAGATGGTGGAGCGGCTGCACCGGCGAGTGCGCGACGAGGTGGAGATGGCGCATCAAGCGTACCAGACGAAGGGAATGTTGGAGATGCTTGCTGCATGAGCAGAGAGCATAACAGATAACAGACCCAAACAAAACCAAAAAAGCATGACTGTTAAAGTACTATAGTTACTACTATTGGATACCTGGATGGAGTTTGGTGGCTACTACATAGATGATACATACATGCATGCATTTTCCTTCTCAATTATCAGCATACAACCTAGAAAATCCCTCCCCAGTCGGCTGCAACCAATTCCTCTCATCATACCTCCACCCCTCCGCCCCCTCAATAACATGAAACGTATACGCAAACCGACTCTTATCCCCGGCATTCCTCTCACTCTTATGCAAGACATTGCCATGAATCAACACCAACGAACCCGCCTTAACATCCACCACCTCCACCTCCTCCTCCCCATCATCATCACCCTCCTGCACCTCCAACCCCTTCGGAAACCTCCCCCCCGTATTCTCCACAAACCCCGTCCCATCCACCTCCCCCTTATCATCATAAACCCTAACAAACCTCCTCCCAATGCCCTGCCCCCGCCGATGACTCCCCTTCACCATCCCCAAACTCGCATTCCCCTTCCCGGCATCCTGCAAGGCAATCCACCACCCCACGGCACTCGGCGGATCCGTATACAAGAACTCGCTGTCGCGGTGAGGGGGCACGGCGCCCCCGATCCCGGGTTGCTTGCAAATCACCATGCTTTGCAAGACCCTTGGATCCTTGAAGCCCAACGACTTGGCTATCTCGGCATTTCTTTCAGAGAGAGTGATCGATTTGAATGGCTCGGAGAGGGTGTGCAGGCTATGCCCGATTTTGTTCACGGCCTGGTGCTTGGGTTTGAGGAGGCGGGAGGTGGTGGAGTCGATGGCGGACGGCTCGAAGAAGAAGCGCACTTTGTCGCCGGATTCCAGGAAGTAGGTGTCGCCGACGTGTTTGTCTGTCGGGGAGGAGTCGCCGGTGGTGAATTGGGTGAGCGGGTGGGTGTCGAGGGGGAAGGTGGTTAGAAGGTTGTTGGTCTCGGTCAGGCAGGAGGTTATTTCCGAGGGTGTTAGGTAGTCTGGGATGATGAGGTAGCCGGTTGAATTGAAGGTGGCGAGCTGGGAGGGGGTTAGGCCGGGCATTTTGCGTGGTGGTTACTATTTTCTTTTAGTGGTGAGGAAGGACTGTTGGTGAGGATGTTGGTTGTTGTGTGGAGAGAGCGGGGTCGGTGGTGGGCTTCTTATATGAAGGGGGGGCTTATCGGGGTGTGGCTTATCGGTGGGTGGATGGATGGGGTGGGGGTTATCTTTCAGTTGTTCATGTTACTTACTAGCTAACTAGTTGTGTCTGTGGATTGGATCGGCTGATGTGTGAACTGTATTTGGCTTTATGATTTAATAGAGGGTAAGTATTTTGGTATAGTCGAATATGGCATATACAGAGTAGTGATAAAGAGTAAAGGTGGCTCGATGTAATCTCCAACGCTAAAGGACTATAAGATCAATCACATTCACTACATAACGTCCACACTAGATCCTGATACATTACTATTTCAAGTCAAGGAAATCAGAAAACATCAGTTACACAAGCACATGGACTCTACACATTTATCATACCATACAGCTCACATCACGTACAACACACAGATTCTAGACCACCAAATACGGATAATTTTATGCCAGTAGGCCAGCAAGAAACAATACGGGCATGTCTGGAAATCATCTAGAAGTAGTCTGCCACCATACACAGCTACCCTGATCGTTATGACTGCTCTGCATGAGTATTTAAATCAGTTTATAGATATGCGAGTAGGTGGACGGGAGGAAAGGGTGAAGATGATAAGAATGCCCTTATTCGGGGTTTTTTTTTAGTTTCCTGAGATTGTTCGAGGAAATTTTTATCAAATAGGATCAACAGATTCTCAAATAATTATATCACGTTAACTATACCAGCTAGCTACACCGTTTTCAAGTACCAATAACAATAACATCAGGCTGAAAAGCATACTGCAATCATCCACCAACGCCACTCATTGCCAATCATAGCATATTCCTCATTATATCGTCGTATCCATCCCATCAGAGCCATCGGCTCAAAGCTTAATTAGTTGATCTGATCCGGGATCAACTCATACCCACCCTCCGAAGGCAGTGTATTACCCGCGAGGATCAACACTCCGGCGACGAACAGACTCACGCACCAGCTCACGGTGCAGAAAATCCACGACTCATCCAACACCCAGCCAGAGGCGAACCGGTCTTCATTGTCGACGAGGTATGCCTAACCCCTCTTAGCATGCCACCAGTAGGTACGAACATGAGCAGGAAACTCACCACAAGCGACATGCTAGCTGCCTGTACCACCGCCGACAGAATAATCAACAAACTAACTATCTTCCACCCCGACTCGCGCAGGCGCTTCCCCCCAGACAAGACAATCAAATACGCGACCACGCTCATTCCCTCCAAAACGATGGCGAACGACATGAGAAAGCCGACGGAGCGCCACATGGAGCAGAAATAGCGATCGTCGCCGTGGCAGTCATCTTTCTGGGGGAAAGGCTCGCATAGACCGGTTACATGGGAGCAGCGACGGTGGAGGCCGTAGGTGTAACGCCAGCGGGGCTGTATAGTTGTCATTCTTTGTTAGTGGCTGGTCGGACAGCTGGACGGGACAGCAAAACCAACATCGGAATCAGTAAAGGTGACCCATTTTGGAACGACGATAGAGGCCACGGTGAGACCAAAAGCTGCGTGGAGAGACTTGTTAGTTGGTGTTGGGTGCGCGTGCACGAATTGCATCGAGGGCAGGAGAACTGCAGGTACTAATTGCTAGCTCTGTAGCTAGCGAACAGGACGAGCGCCACATTACTTACAGGCCAGAAATACAATCAACGAGGCCGTATAGACAATGGTTTTGGTGAGGAACCCGGTATAATTGCGGTCTTCCCCTCGAGGCACCAGATGGAAATCCATCACGGCGGGGGAAGCAAGCGGCCAGTAGCGATGACGACAACAAGCAGCAGAGCCCGTGCAGGCGATCGGATGGGGCGGTGAGAGGCAACCAAGGGGGGGAGGAAGAGAAGTGAGAAAAGATTAGATTGATGATATATAAGGGAGGGAAATGAGAATCCCGACCGGGATAAGAAAGTAAAAAAAAGGGAATCAGGGGAATCAAGAAGAGAAGAGGAGAAGGGAGTTGGACTAAAAAGCCGGATTGAAGGCAGACGAAGCAGGGCTGGTCAGGTGGTGACAGTGACAGTTGCGCTCGGGAGCTTATCCCCGAAAGCATCAAATCAGTCCATTCAGCATCATATCATCAAGGGAAAACAAAACAAAAACATCTACTCTCGACCTCGAGGACCTCCCACCCCCAAAGAAATACCTCAGCATCGTGAAAAGAACCGAGAGGGAGGGGTGGGGGAAATAGTAAGTAGTGTATGACAAGACTGACCTGGTCATGTCCTCATGGTTCGCATGTCTTGAAGAAAGGGAGGAGGAATATCCCTCCATCTGGTATGATACTTCGTCCATCATCATCTCCACCGGTATTTCCCTCAGCCATCAGCGGACAGACATATAAAACATTCCTACCCCCGAGTGACCGTCGATCCCTTCGGTCAAAGCGCCCTCCTCCATGGCGGGGATGGACTGCCAAAAGGTGTGATGTGCACTGAATTGAAACCCTCTGGCCAACCGGTTCCCGAACGTTGCACTGCAGCTGCTGCCCGGCTTCTTTTGCTCTCTCGATATCCATCATCCATCATGCCAACTTCGGAAGCAAGGGGCCGGTCGTCCATCGGGTCACCAGAGAGCTTATTTACGGGAATTGAGTCTTCATTAGTGTTGCCTGCGGGTCACATTGGCCTATGATTATCTATCATTCGTTCACTAACTAACATCGACTGATCCCTCCTCCTGAGGAATTCCTGCAACTCCCCGACCGGTGGTGGACTTGGTCCGTTCTCAACCTGGTCGGTCCACGTGTGCTTGTCCCCATCGGCCAGGAATGGTTGGTTAGTATGGCCATACATAGCTATAGGATAACGTTATCCCTACTATCTATATTAGTAGATATACAGCAAAGATACCCCCCATCTACAACTGTACAATACACACACAGAACCAATTCAAAATAAAGAGAGTAATAATAATCTACATTCAACTTCAGCCGGCGGCAGGGTTAAGGCTATATGATAATACACAAAGCGGCAAATGCAAACGCATCAGCAAGAACATCTCAACATCAGCACTGGCCGGTAGAAGGTCAAATTCACATCACGCCAAGTCGAAATCTCTTAGCAAGTTTAGCAAGAGGTAGTAGTGGTCATTAGCAAGCGGAGAGGTAACGCCGGTTCCCGCCATGCCATCCTGTGCGCCGCGCCCCTCCCTCAGCCCGCTCGACTCCGCTGGATCATCGCTCGGAAGTCTTCATTGCTCTTTTTCGTGCTCTGCCCCTCGCCCGGGGCTGCGCTGTCGGTCGTCATCGTCGTCGTCGTGGTCGTCGTGGTCGTCGTCTGCCCGTTCGCTGAGCTCGTCGCCGTCGCCCGTTTCACTCCCAGCCCGCCGCGCTTGCCGCCGCGCGCGCCTGGCTGCGGCGGGCGCTTGATCGGCTTTGCAACCGGGAAGAGTCCGCTGGGCTTGTCCTTGGCCTTGCTGCTGCCGCTGGTACCTTGGCTGGGTCCGTTGCTGCTCTTCTTCTCCGCCGTTTGCTTCAACATCTCCGGTACCGTGCCAACGTGCAGTTTCCGCCCCGGGGTGATCTCCTGCCCTTCCAACTCCAGGGATGCCTTGCCCGCTTCATGTACGTCCGCAAATTCAACAATCGCTCCTTGGTGGTCAGGCCGCAGCACAATCTTGATCAGCTTGCCGTACGGCTCGACGAGTGCCCGAATTCGCGCATCATTGACCGTGTCCGGAACGTTCATCAGGCCCAGCGTGCGTGCTTGCCGTTCACTGTTTGGCACCTCCTCGCTCGCCTCACGCCGAGCCCCGTTGACCTCGACCGACGGGGACCGGGTCCCAACGCGAGACAAGATGGTTGTCGCGCTTCGTTTGGCCCCTTGCGGGGTGGACAACTTCACATGAAGAGGTCGCGAGCGGAACTGCTGCTCGTGCATCACTAACGACGCCTCAGCTTCCTCCTGCAGACCGTATTAGCTAAAACCCTCGCGCATCCTCCGGGACACCTACCTTAGACGAGAAGACCACGTAGCAGAAGCCCTTGCTGCCGCCGTCCACCTTGCGCGGGATGCGCACCAGCTCCACAGTTCCAAACCGTAGAAATAGCTCCTCCACGTCCTGCTCACTAGCTTTCCAGTCGAGGTTAGACACATGAATCTCGCGTCCTTCGTACATGGGTCCCTGACGGTCCTGCCTGCGAGTCGGGTCCGAGATCTTGGCAACCAGATGCAGGCCATTGCCCACTGTCGCCCCGTCTAACTGCGTGGCGCTATAAGCTTCTCCGGCCGTCTTGAACTGCACGTAGCAGAATCGCCGGTGCGTGTTATACTTGAGGGACGGGAAGCGGATATCGATGATCTCGCCGTGCTACAGAGTCGGTTAGCCAACGTTTGGATCAGTGCAACACCGGGGGGGAAGTCACCTCACGGAACAGGTCGCGAATGTATTGTTCATCAGCTGTCGCTGGAAAGTTGGTTACAAACACCGTAGAACCCGATCCGAACTGAACCTCAATTGTATGCTCATCAATGATCTTCTGGTCACGCGTCTGCGCGACAACAGCCTCATCTTTAGAGTTGAACTCGATGATGGCTGTCTCGGACTTTCCGTCATCACTGGAAAGCATTTTAGCACTATTTATCGTACCACACTGTAACTCGGTTAGCTAACACAGCCCTAGAACACTCAGTAAGGGGCAACTCACATGGCGGAAGAACTGCCGGACTTTGTGCTCAGTAATGCCATGGGGTAGATTCTTAACGACGACCGTTGCATTTTCGCGATCACGACGAAGCGCGACCGGCTCTGCGGCGACGGGAACCGATACTTCGGCCTCCTCTGCACGAGCTCTTTTGGCAGGGAGTCCGTTCATGCCCGTTTCCTCCTCCCGTTTGCGCTTTTCCGCCTGCGTGGTGGCTTGTTCCACAACGGCAGCTTGTTCGGCCTGCCGCGCGGCCAGCTCCCTTGCGTCGCGCTCGCGGCGCGCAGTCACGGCTCTCATCGCTTTGCGCGTCTCCAAGATCGCCAGCTGCAGCTCATCCGAGTCCTCGTAGTCCTCGCAATGCGCAATGTAGGTCTGCATGATCTTCTCGGGCCAATCGAGGTCGGTTCGTTTGATCGCTTGCTTCAGCACCGCAGTGGCGTAGCTGGGGTTCGGAGTGCGCCGGGCGGCATCGATCGTAGTTTCGTTTTGAACAAACTTACTCCAGGAGATGAGCTCCCACTCGTAGTAAGTCAACCAGAACTCGTAGCTATTGCCACGACGTCCCACGAGACCCTTGAACGTCTCCCGCGCGCTGTCCCAACTGCCACTCTCGCTGAGATAACGAATGTAGATGCGCTCCAACCGGAATAACGGGTCGCCCTGGTAGTTTCGTCCGTACTTCTTCTCGCCCAGTTCCTGAACGCTTTCGATAGCCGACCGGATACCAACCTCCGCCACATCGATGTCTTCGTCAGTAGAATCGGACAGGAAGGCCCGCCGACGGAGGTAGCTACACCATGCCGTATGCACTTTCAGTACTTCCTCCATACCGCCCGCATCCAGCAGGCCTGTACTGGTGGCCTTGTGCTTGATATCCGCGATTTTGGAAAACGACTGGCCTTCCCGCTCGGAGCTGAGCAGGTACTGAGACCAGAGGCTGCCGGAACAGGGGCAGTGCCGGGTCGCACGGTCGAGTGTGGAAATCGTTGTGGTATTGGTATTGCCATGCATGGATTCGTCGATGAGGAACATGATGAAATCTTCCCACATGTTCGCATCGGTCGGGAAACGCAGCACGGCGCGCTGGTATACCGCGTTAACTAGGTCGAAGTTTGTGTGCCGCTTGCGACGGTTGCGATTGAGCTCCCATTCGAGGTACTCAGTGAACACAACCCATTCCTGTCCCATGTCGCCCGCCTCGGCCGCGTTGCGCAACCGGATCTCGAAGTCCTCGCGGGCGGAGTACGTCTCCTTGCTTGCTGTGGAATATTTCCCGGCCATTTCTGCCATGATATTCTCGTAGTTGGCGTTATAGTATGTCGAGATAAACCCGGAAAATAACTGGAAGGTTTGATCCCAGGTAGCATGAGGAGTCGCGAGACGAAGGTCGAAAAGCCCTCGTACATGGTTGATCTTGTCCTGTGATGGGTTGCGAGAGAGGTCTTGCACGAGCAAGTCAAGGAAACGATCCCAAACCAGGTGGCTGTCGTGAATTCTCCACCGCGTCGACTCGGCACCTCGTTGCCACACGTCGAGGACGGACTGCCAGGAAAAGACTTCGCGACCAACCATGCGGTCTTCCTCGGTCCACTGGCTTTGGCTGGCGTCTCCGTTGGCCGAGTTGTAGAGATACAGGAGCCACTCGCCGTAGATGCCCCACAGCTTGGTGCTACCGTATTCTTCCTCGATCGAACGCTGACAGAGCTCCATCACTGCGATGCGCTCTTCCACCGACTGTGCCAGCATGCTTTCATCCTGGATCCACTCCGCCCACAGATCTTCTCCCATGGCGAACAATTTGTCCATCTCCTCTCGAGCCGTCCGCATGTCTTTGAGCAGATCGTACTTTCGGGGATCGCCATGGATGTCGGGGTTATTCGGAGGGTAAACGTGGTTGACGAAGCCCGCATGCAAGAGGCGAACGAAGCGAACGTGCGCGTCGTACGACTGAGGGTTTTCCTGAATCTGAGCGAAGAGTTCTGTCGCCTGTCGCTGGGCGTTCGGGACCAGGGAGGTATCCATATAGCTTCGACGAGCGCTTTCACGCGGGCCATCCGACATGGCGATATCGAAGGAGGAGCGCGGGGTAGGCGTGTTGTGAGAGATCGGGTTGACGTGGGGGTACATGGTGGAAGGGGACAGCTGGTGCTCGTACGACTCGGTACTGCGCAGGATAGGGGCATTGGATCGCTGCGGTTGATGGTGCTGCATTGACGCCAGGTCGGCCAGGGTGTCCATGCCGGGGGTAGACGGTTGTCTTGGGGGAGGGAGGTCAGCCGCTGGGGGAGTACCATTCCCACCTCCCACGCTAGGACCGACCTTGGGACTTATGGCGGGCGGCGAAGGTTCAGGCAGGTGGGATGGAGCATAGACATGCTGCGCAAGCGGCGAGGAAGTCATGCCTTGCTTGGTCGAGCCGGGGCGACTCTTTCGCAAGGGCTTCGGATGAGGAGCAGAGGTCGGGGCAGAGGAAGAGGAATTATTGGGGACGGAGGAAGAACCCGCAGAAGGGGTTGAGCGCCCGGACTGTGAATTGGCATCCTGGGGCGAAAGGAGTGAATTGATGTCCATCATCAAGACTGTGGCCGGACTGGCGGGGGAGGGAAGAAGGACCAGGGAACGCAAATGCCAAAGCTGATGGATAGAGGAAAGAGTCCAAGCGCCAGCGAGCCCGGTGCTGACGTAAGTAGCAGAGCCGGGAGGGAAACGAAGACCTCAGGCAGAGATTCAAAAGGGTAAAAGGAAAGGATGTAGTAAATAAAGGAATAGAAAAAGGAAACCTAGATTAAATGAACCACCGCAAGACGCCTCATCAACGAGTCCATTCCTGCACCGGTTCACAGCCTGTCTTGTTCAGACCTTATGACCGGGCGAAGGTTAGCTGTCCAGGATTTGGCCGTTCCTTGTCCTGGTCCTGGTCCTGGTCTTGAAAGGTGGAGGGGTGGCCGGAGGTTGACAGTAGAAATGATGGAGTGGAAAGGAAGTAGTCCCGAAGAAGAACAAAGACAATTAAAGTCTGGAAGGGTGTGAGGGAAGTATGATAAGTGGAAAAGAGAATCAGAGATGTAGAAGAAAAAAGAAAAGAAAATCAGAAAGAAAAAAAAGGTGTGGATCTAAAAGAAAAATAGAAAAAAGGAAAACTAAACAATTGACGGGATGTGGTGAATTATGATAGTTGTTGTTAGTTCCTCTTCCGTTTCTTTTCTGTTTTGTATTTCGATTGTCTATTTTGCTGGTTTCTGGCCCTTTTGGTAGTTTGTCTGCAAGTAGAAGAGAGCTTGACGAGTTGGGCGCTTGCGAAACGCTGCTAAAGTGAGGCGCGGACGGAGGGAGAACGAGAACGAGACACTTCTGCGTGGAGGGACCGACGGACTCCCAAGGCTTAAGGCTTAAGCTCTCCTGGTCCGAGCGATAGCGAACCTGGACGGGCTGGTCAGCGGAGAAGTTCTCGGCGGGAACGGATGGGGGAAAGGAGGAGAAAACGGGTCGATGGGGGCAGGAAGCATACAGGGCACAAAAGGAAACGTGGGAACAACACGCACGGGAAGTCCCTGGATAGCAGAGGATGAAGGGAAAAAGGGAAGGAAAGGGTGGGAGGGAGGAGAACGGAAAAGACTAGAGTGAGAAAAGATATGTGAGGCCGACGAGAGAGAGCAGTGGATCGACGCGGTGGAAATGGGAGTTGAGCTCGGCATGAGAAAAGCTGAGCAGACAGACAGCAGTAGCAGAGGGAATGGATCAAATAATATTGACTAACAATCAATCAATCAATCACTCACCAACAGCTTAACTGCACCTACTATATCATCTCTATCTATCTACCTATTTACCTACCCTCCACTTCGGACTTGAAGGAAATAACAACAGCAGATAAAAGCAAAAAAGGGAAAATACACTCACCCACCATCTGAAACGATCCAGAGCTGTGACGATCCAGCTAGTTAGGTGCTAGCCAACCATGCAAGTGCCTGGAATATCGTCATCGTCATCGTGAAAAAGAAAAGGGTGCACGGGGAGGGGAGGTTCCTGCTTTTTCCCCGCCAACGACCTCGGTGTTTCTCCCTATATCTTGCCCCTACTATTATTGTTTGTTGTCTGTTACTTCCATGTATCTTTCTTCCCCAATGGTTGGCTATACTGTGTAAGCTTGGAGGAGAATATAAGAAAAAGAAACGAGGATAAATAAACAGGCGTTGTTTACGAGCTACCCAGACGGTCAAGTCATAGATGAGTTCCTTGTTACCTATCTACTGCCCCGGCTCAACCCCCCCCCCCCCCCCCTACTACACCTCTACAAGGCTAGCGATGCAGGCTCACACTCGGACTCGAACCGAGGATTTCATCTTAACTAGTGATGCGCTCGGCGAATAGTCCCCCTGTTTGATTGGTTCTGCGGCCTGTGGAGGCTTGACGATGTCACGGAATGACGAAAGAGCAAAAAATGCTTCCACGCGGATTCGAACCGCGGACCTCATGATTACTAGTCATGCGCTCTACCAACTGAGCCATAGAAGCTAGTTGTTACGGTCAGCTCGCATCTTATGCTACATGTCCGTTTGGCTAGATAATGACAGCATCCAATGGTCTTGGGCTGTCCGCGTCTTCGACACAGATGGTTTATTACTGCTATCATTACTACTCTATACGAATACAGCTTGAGACATGTTAAGGCATAGTATCCGGTCTTGAGGAAACCCGTGTTCATTTTCTGCTCACTCTGTCATTTCTTCCATGGCCTACAGCTTGCCGCCCTTGCATGATGTTTGCCGGCTTTCGGTGCTTACTATATATACTAACACTATCGACGCTGTGCTATCACGACGGTGACCATTCATTCACAGGCCAATAAGCACACCAATTGCAATAACAACAACCACCACAATGGTGCTAGTTAATGACACACAAAGCAACAGACACCAACCAAAGCCATTACCGTAATCATCATAACGCAGTACACCAAAATCCCATCCAAGCAACACAGAACCCACAATGCCAGCAGAGGTTCATACTCACCCCGTCAGCACGCCACATGCGGCCGGTCGAGAACAAAATTCGAAAGCAGAAGCACGCAGCAATAGTCAATGCACGGTCGGTGTCTCCGCTGTGTCCATGCGGACGCATGAGAGGGGTCACCTAGCATGTGTCACACAACAGGCACCTGTGGGAAGTGAGGTATCAAAGAACATCGACGGTATATATATACTACCAGCGGGAACATCTTCCTGCAGGGTATATCGCTGACACTTCAGCAGGAAAGCACCCTCAACAGAAGTCCAAGGATACCTTGCTGAGGCCACTGCTCTCCGATATGATACCTCACGATCGGTATGGCGAAGTCACCAATACCACAAAGATCAAGAATCCCTGCCAACACCGTGCAAGGCAGAAGCGCCCACGCCATGTGTATGCCTTTTTCTACCCCGACCTTCCATACAGCACCCTTCCCACCCTCAGATCGCACCAATTGCCCCCACACATGCAAAAAGAGCACAGCCAGCCACATTCTGCAATCCTAATCTAACCTCGCACTTCCCCACCCACTGCTCGGATAGCACCCTTACTTAGGTGAGCCCCAGCATACACAGCAGGCTTTCCTTGAGCCAATTACCCCGCGTCGATACTGACTCAGTCAAGGTGACCAACCAATTACGAAGCAAACCCCCTAGTCTAAGTATACCAACGTGTATCGTCAATTGGCCCAACGTTGTCCTCCCTAGCAGACACTATTTCTTGCCCACACCTGCTGTATAACCACCCGCTGCCCACCATCACGGACATAACTCGGCGCCGCTAATATACAGCTACAACCAAAAAAAGGCCTGCGACGGCCATCAATTATTGAGACATACAAGAGAGTTCTTGGGACATTGCTCCATCCCGAGACCTCGACTGAGAACAAAGAAACAATAAGGCTCCTTGTATACCATTCGAGGCTGGCGCACGGTGTCTCAATCCATACCAAGGGCTGCCGACACCCAGCAAAACGCCACACAAAGTCACAAAGAGACCAGGAGAAGGTAGGGAACAGGCAAAAGTTAGCCACAAACCACAGCAAAGTATGCAAGCGATCCCTGAATCTCCAACTTAATTCCTATACCCATCTTACAACCGGTGCAGAAGCTTATTGCTGGTAGATCACAAGACCCGAAATATCTCGCATGGGGCGGTAATACTTCGCAAGGCAGCTGACCAATGACCACTTACTCCAGCTGGAAAAAAAGTGTACCTTCATCATCAGCACCACCCTAGAGAGATGGGCTAATATGGAAGTGACGGGGCAAAAAGTGAAAGGGCAAAAAATGCTTCCACGCGGATTCGAACCGCGGACCTCATGATTACTAGTCATGCGCTCTACCAACTGAGCCATAGAAGCTAGTTGTTGTTAAAGGGCTGCTAGCTTCCTATAATATTGAGATAGCCAGCAATGAATAATATTGCTTCTATGGATGGTAATAAGACGGGCATCAATCATCAGACATGCATGAACAGAACAGGGGGACTATCACTAAGCCGATAGGCCATGGAAAAGCATATCAAATGATAGCAGTCTGCATGCTCCAGAAACTTTTGCGGCTGGAATTCACTGCAAAAGCAGGGAATCTCGACTTTGATCGATCTTTCGTGCTGTGTAACCGGCCAGTGATTTAGCTCGGGAGACGGATAACTATAAATGGCCAGTGGCTGGAGGATCCAGACACTCAGGCGCGATCCGAGCCCTGAACGATGCATGGCCAATTCTAAACTCTGTTCTCGGCAGACATGGATGGATGGCATGTAGTACAGCTACTGTAGTGGGAGGGCCTGGCCGGCTGCTACCTGAACGGGCAAAGCGGGTTAGGCCGAGGCCACCACACCAGGCCGGGATATGAAGTCATTGTGCAGAAAAGCCTTACCCCGTGATTGGCAGGACCGGGATTCCCTTTCCAGCCAGAGCCACATGATCCCGCCGCGGCTTACCCTTCCAAAAACAGACTAGCGCCTGCCTTGCGGCATGGAATCTTGACCCCGGAATTATCAGGTGTCGAGGCAGCAACATCCGGCGTACCGGACAGACCCGAGACGCACCGCCAAGGCCCAGTCTTCATCCCGACACTTTTTTCCCTCTGATCTCCGGACCCCGTGCAATCACCTCCAGATTCATCGTCCGTCATGGCCTCAATGGGTGCTGTCCCCCAGTATGGGCAGCTGATCCGGTCCAGTAAGTATCTGCAAGATGAATAACCCTGTTTTCTCCCCAATTGTCCTCCCTCTCATTCTCACCTCTCCCGTGCAGTCTCTTCAGCCCGGACCGGCCTGACCTACGTCCCTCGCCGCACTCTGGCCTACACTGTCCCTCGTCAAGCCTCCGAAGACGGTCCCAACGGTCCCAATGACAAGTCCGAGTCCGAATCCAAACCCTCCACTTTGTCCTCAATCAAGAGCTTCTTCTTCGGCGGCAAGCCCGGCGCCGCCAAGCCCAAAGCTCGCCGCACCACCGCTCCCGCCAAACGCGAGGGTTCCCTGAGCGCCGACTCCATCTTCGCAGAGGATGAAGCCAGCCCTAAGCTGGTGGCGTCTGGCCGTACCCCCGCCGCTCGCAAGCAAGCAGGCGCCCCCGAGGAGGGCCAGGAAGAGGTCGACTATGCTGTTGACCGACGAAACCGGGAGACGATGCAGACAGTGCTGGACCCGAACCCCAAGGCGCGGACTCGCTGGGAACAAAAGATGGTTGCTCGCGAGATCCGTCGTCGAGGCCGCATCTCGCCCACCGAGCTGATCATGCGGACGGAGCGCGAGTCCCTCTCCAAGTCTCATTGGTTCAAGACCTCCGTCAAGAAGCTGGGTCCCCTTGCTCGCCAGATTGCCGGCAAGAACATCGACGATGCCATGCTGCAGATGCGCCTGAGCAAGAAGAAGGCCGCCAAGGAGGTCCTCCAGCACCTCGAGCATGCTAAGAACGTCGCCGTGGTGCGTTCTGGTATGGGTTTGGGTGCCGTCGAGGGCAAGATCGCCAACCAGAAGCCTGTCACCATCACCCTCAAGAACGGAGAGCGCAAGACCATCAACGACCCTACCTCAATCTACATCGACCAAGCGTGGGTTAACCGTGGCCCGTACGGTTACGACTACGACCACCGCGCGCGTGGCAACATCAACCTCATGCGTCCGCCGTACACCTCTCTGTCGGTGGTGCTGAAGGAAGAGCAGACACGTATCCGTCAATGGCAGAACCGGGAGTCCGAGGAGCTGCGTAAGCGCAAGGCTAAGCTCTGGACGCCGCTGCCGGACCGTAAGATCACGGCGCAGAACCAGTTCTACAGCTGGTGATCAATGTTTCGATTATAAGTTCTCGGCGTTGTTTTCTGTTCAATATTCCTAGACCGTTAAGAAGCACTTTTTCCTCTCTGGTGGATTTTCTCAGCATGTGTTTTAAAAACCCTTTTCTTGGTTACCTTCCCCCCCGTGTCTCTATCCTAACGTGCGTGTATGACGAGGGTTGCTTCGATCCAAGAATCAATGTACAATACAATATCTATCATCTACTATATACTTCTTTCAACTCTCTCTCTCTCTCTCTCTTTCTATATGCAGAACCTTTCCAAACAGCACAATCAAATCCGTAGATCACTTAGGAACCCCAAACCACGGCTCCACCTCCATGACCGGCAACGGCCCCATCACCCTCTCCCCACGCACAAAAACCGGGATCACGCCCCCAGTCTCAAGAGGCGAAAACCTCCGATGTCCAAAGACATTCAAAAGACTCGTAATGGCGCCCGAATGCGCCGTCAACGACAAGAAGATCTTCTCCTCATCCGTGGAAAAGATATCCTGCATCAGATCGCGGAAGCGCTTGTCCCGCGCAGAATCAGATTCCCGGAGCTCGGTATCATACATCTCGTCGTTCTCGGCGAACCCTTCTTCGATGATGTACGTTGGGTATTCGGTCATGATGGCTGTCTTGCTGGATCGGCTGTCGCAGGTGTGTTGGCCGATGGTTTCGCGGAGGAGCTGGCACCCAGTTATTAACCAGTCCATGACATAAAGAAAGGTATAGATAGGGGATGGATGGGTAGATAGATATACCTCCTTAACAACCGGCCTAAACGGCTCCGTCCCCTCAATCCCCGTTCCAACGAAAGTAATCCACGCCGTCTGAAGACACCTATTCAACGGACTGACGTAGAATTTCTCCGGAGTGGGGATATGTTCCTTGAGTTGCTGTTTCCAGGTATTGTGCGCGGTTTGCGCTTGTGATTTGCCTACGTCTGTGAGACGGGCGTCGACCCAGTTGCTTGTTGCATTGCCGGGGAGGAGGGAGTAATGTTTCTTTCGATTTCAATGTCAATCATTCATGGAATTTTACTTTTGGAAAAAGGGGTCTGGGTTGCAAAAATGGTAACAGGAGAGAGAGGGGTCAGCTTACATCCCACTCTTCGGTGCCGTACTCCCGCTCCGCTACATTATGGTACCCCTCTCCATGGCGGCCGAGGAAGAGCACCTTGTAGCGGACATTAGGGTCCGCGGATTGGGCGTTCAGGGTGCGGACGTGGTGGGCGAAGCGCTCCCAGGTGGTTTTTGGGTCAGGGCCTAGGTCCGCGTCTGTGGGGTAGGCGCGGGGGATGAGGCCGAAGTTGGAGGATGCCTGGGTGTATGATATTAGTTTTTGGGTTGGGACAGGGGGATTTGGGAGTGGACGTACGTAGTTGAAGGTGTTGGGGTCGGTGGAGGGCTCACTTTGGTAGAAGTAGCCTGTTACTGTGGAGAATCGCCAATGCGATTCGGTGGGGGTGGAGGGGGTCATGGGGAGGGAGGATGGGGATAGGGATGGGGGATGAGGGAGACCTGAGGGTTGGGTATGGCTTGAGTGAGATGAGAACTGGAGATGGAATGGATTGATGGATGGATCCATTCAGTTCGGGGCCCGCTGGAACGCGGATGGTGGAGGGCTGTTGATTGGTTGGTGGGATTGTATAGCAGTGGGGACGGTGGACTCTGGAATCGCAGTATGGGATGTCCCTGAAATTATGTACGCTTGATTACCAGTTACTTGAATGGTCCTGCTTTAAAAACCAGTCAGTATGTGGTTGTCTCTGCTGCTGCTGCTGCTCAGTTCCTAACATGAGAGATCAATGAAAGTTTAAATCAACTGAAATGAAATGACTGAAATGACCATTCCTAACTGTTCACCTCATGCTCTAGCATGGACGATGGTATCAAGCAAAGACAGAATATAACACCGCTAAATAACATATCAATATACATTTGAAGCAAACAAAACACGCTTATGCAACATTTTAATCTCAATCAACCCCATAGAAATCCCTTCCCCGCAAGCCAATGCCTTCTAGTCGATATCATGACGAGCTTGCCAAATCTGGAAAAGCCCCAGGTTTTGTCAAAGCACGTGCTCAACCAAGAAGCGACGCATACAGATAAATCCAAGAAGTGAGAGACCGAAAAGACGCTTTGAAGTACCCTTGACACAAGTGTCCGCGACACAGATTGGTCGTGGACATCGTTGGCTTGTACGTCCAACGAGTGGTGTGTCGACGGGTATCCCGAAGATCTGACGCGCCAGAAATCGGCGTATCTCTTGGATACGGCATCGGCCTCGGTGCCCCGGTTGGATTGCACGTTGACTGTGGCAAAGGCCTTGGCCGACGCACTGGACCTGCATGGTACGCTGCTGATGGCGGCTGTACTCGATCGGGATGGGATTGATGCCTGGACTGACACATGCATGCGGGCTGCTCCAGCCTGGCTTGCCTGTTGTCTGTCCGGAGAATGGCGAAGAGCAAGCGCTCCCCGATCTGCCTGACTCGATGTCGAACAGATCTGCAGTCCCTTCGACAGCGAATGGACGAGACCAACCCTGCGGTCGGAACCCGGTGACCTTGATGGTTGCTGTTGTCCCGAGCTACCCCGGAACGTTGTCGGAGTACGTAAACCGCCATTGAAGCCTACGTCGCCACGACAGCTTGCAGCTGACTTGACTGAGTGTGGCGAGTGGTGTCCATATTGAGGATCCATAGACGTATGGGTGGACTGCAAACGGTGGCGATGCCGAAGTTGAACGTATTGAAGCTCCTTCGAACCTAGGCCTCCTGTCGGCTGTGAAACAGTTGACTTACTGGCTGGTGTCGGCGTCGTGCTCACAAGAAGAGCTTCTCGTTCAGATCTGTGGACATGTCGTTGCGTACTGAAGGTCGACTTGAATGGTATGTTGCAAGTAGAAACGGCCTTCTGGCTGACAGCAATCTGGGAAGCGGCCTTCTCAAGACAGTTGCACTAGACTCGAATCAGTATACAGACATTCGGCAGCTCTGGCGGGCTTTACTTACCCGCTTGTGTTGCTTCCTGTGCTTCTCGCAAGCACCATGCTTTCGAACTTTAATGTAATTTTCTTTCTGAGCTTGCGATCGAGGTTTTTGCTTCTTTGGTACGTTTGTGGTCGTGTTCATGTTCAGGTCGAGCACCAGTTCCATGCCCCCAGCCGCAGACTCCGAGCCCGAGACCGGTGTGCGAGTTACATCGGGCAGAGGTGTAGTAGCTGGGGTTGGACATGTTCCAGCCTGATAAACGCTTGCTGCAGAGTCGGACCAGCGAGGAGATGGGAATGTTGTGCTCGAGTCCGACGACAGCTCCAAGTCCTGCATTGCTGCTTCCTGGAGGCGCTGCATGTGAAGCGCAATAGACGCCTCCATGCGCTTCTCTTTGCTAGACAGCGCGCTTGGATCAGCAGCAGCTTGGAACTCCACCATCTGTCGAACAGTGGTGTAGAAAGGGTCGTCAACTCCGCCCATGTCCTGTGACCATAGGTTGGTCAGCTCCGACCCCATCAGCCCGGGAGTTGGCGAAGCGGGCATATGATGGAAGGACCCGGTAGGGTTCAGCATGGATTGTGAGGCGTCCAATGCATGGGCCCCCAAGCCCTCCATAGGCGCATCATAGTTGACCAGATCAGCGAATAGCTCCTGAGTGCAGACCCAGGGCTTGGACCCCAATTGCAGTCATCAAAGTCGGCAAAAGTTAGATCCAAGTCCTTGGGGGACACAGAATCCACCGAGGTGGGATTGCTTCCCAGACCTTCGTAGGGAATGTCGAAGGAGTTGTCAAAGTCAAACCACTCTTCACCGGGAGTGGAATGAGCGATGGACTGAAGCAACTGGTCGGCAGCCATGATCGAAGGAGAGACGAGGCTTTGAGGGAGAGTTGATGCCCGGGAATTCAGGATGACCGAAGGACGGGTGGGGGAAAAGCCGGCCTTGAGATTATTGCCTGATAAGGAAAGACGGAGGAGAACCTTTCCGACGGGGTGAGTCACGTCGAACCCGGCACTTGGCAAAGCCTTTCAGAGATGAAGAGCGGCAAACAACGAAAGAAGGTAGCCCTCAAGGAACGTCCCTGGAGAAGGTGAAGAATCAGGCAGACAAAAAGGAGTGAAGGAAATCGAAGGATGGAACGGCGGTGGTACAAGGCTTACATACAATGGCCTGAACGAGGCTCATCTGCCCCAGCCTGGCGCTATGCCCCTTTCGAGACCCCGACTGCCTGCCGCTATGCCGCTTTGGGACCCCGACAATCCGCGCGCCCCGCGACTGGATCATCGATCTTCCGGTCTGGTCTCGCACTGCCCCTTTGGGTTTATGGCTATGCTTCACACCGCTGGTGTGGGCATTTCTTCACAAGCATTCGTTCCATTCTCTGCTGAATCTGAAGTCGAGGGTTGCTTATTTTTGTGCAGAAACTAACCCCATAGCTATCATGGCTGCAGACTTTCGTCATCCGGGGGTGCCCAAAGTGGCCCGCACTGGCTCCGCAAAGACAATCACATGACAGCATTATTTATAGCAATAAGCCTGGAGAAGATGACAATCACATGTGAGATATATACTATATGAAATATCTTTTTTCTATTTGATTATATGCCATATTGAAGGAGTGGAGCACTGCTACCAGGCCGTTACAACTATCTCCCACATACATGTTCTATCCCTCTCTACATAGACCCCTATTGCAATTACCTACTAACCGCAAAGCAATTGACACATGATTAGAGTCTGTTGTCACCAAGATTCGCTAGTAGACAGTAACTACTGCCGGAGCAGATTCTGCTGGTAGACTAAAAAGATATCTCACTGGTCGCCTGGAGTACTAAATGGGGTGACAAGGATGTCTCGACAATTAGTGGTGAAAATCCCAAAGCTTGAACTAAACAATATCCTTTATATCTCCATGCGGATATTACTGACACTAAGACAACCATGAAGGTCAAACATGAAGCAACCCTGCCTCCAACAACCTTTTGATTGTCCGAAAATAATAACCAATGATGACTCTAGCGAAGAACATCATACTCTCCATTATCTACCAGTATCCGCGGGATCACCAACAAAGGATGATGCATGGAAATAACCCCCAAAACAAAAAATTCTGCCATCTCCTTATTCCAAGAAAGATACTTATCCAATAGGTTCTTTCTATGTTTCATACCCCAATGCCATAATTCCATGGTTTATCTCCAGTCTTTGGCCTCTTCACCTGAAACAAACTGGTGACAAGACCATACAAGGGACAATAGTTCTCGACACAGCATGCCACCAATTCATGGAATAAAGAGATATTCGCCCAAGATGATCTAAATATGGGCAAGACAAAGCAGTTTTAAACAGATACTTTGTACCAGAGATTTACAAACGCTCATGATGTTACACCGCAGGTTGCCGGAAGAGTCCTGTTTTCACGATGGCAGCTTCCGGGTACTTAAACTCCCAGTGAGTTAGCCAACCCAGTACAGGCGGAGCCTGTTGCTACCAAAGTAAGACAGAGAAGCCTCCAGGACGTCACAATTCACCCCATAAGTTCATTTTACGCATACCATAATCGCCTGATCTATGGCTGCAAAAAGAGTCTCGGACAACGGTCCGAAAGATGCCTCCAACTTACCACCACGATCTCTAAGGAAGCGGAGGGATAAAGGAGAAGATAACTCTCCTAGCAAAAGACCCAAGACGAGTCCCCCCGCTCCAGCCCGAACAGTGCGATCCCGGGCGAAGCAGAGGCAAGAAGAAGAAGAAGACGCAAATTGTTCTCCTAGCAAACGGCCCAACAAGAGTTCCCCCATCCCATCCCAGCCATTACGAACCCAGACGAAGCGGGGGCAAGAAGGAGGAGACGCAGACAGCTATCCTAGCAAGAAATCCAAGACGAGTTCCCCAGCTTCGTCCCAAACATCGCAATCCCTGGAGGAGCGGAGACAAGAAGAAGAAGAACAAGAACAAGAAGAAGAAGCCGACAGCTCTCCTAGCAAACGGCCCGGTACAACTCCTCCCAATCCATCCCAACCCCTACAATTAGAGGAGGAGCGGAGGGAGGAAGGGGAAGACAATGCAGACAGCTCTCCTGGCGAACGACCCAAGACGAGTTCTCCCGTTCCAGCCCGGCCGTCAGGATCCCAGAGGAAGCGGGGACAAGAAGGAAAAGGTGCAGAGAATACTCCTAACAAACGACCCAAGACGGGGACCTTCCAGCCCCTCTCAATATACACAGAATTTATACAGGATAGAGACCAGATTCTGCATGCGATCATGTACGACTTATATGATGTCAACAAAATATACAACGACCGTCAAAAAAACAAGGTGGCAAGGTTGGACTACGAAGCGCGGTGTATCTACGCATCACGGGCCTTAGAGAAGGCCATTACTTGCAGATCATGGTCATGGGATGAGGCCAATATGGATTGCGAGGAGCGGGAAGCGAGCCGACTACGATTCTTCGCTGAAAAAATCGGCTGGCCCATGCTTGCGATATGTGTGCAAGCGGAAGCCTTTCGAAGGCTTTGTCAAGAAGAAAGCACACCAATGTGGCACTCTGTATGGAGAAGACTGCAAGGGTACGTGTATAATATCTGGATTCAGGCTCACTCGCGCGGTTTTGAGTGGCGCAGTTTGTTGGAGCCATACGCGGGGGTTGATGCTCCACGCGGGTTCAACCAGGCATTGGCTCACAGAAGTGGAGTGGATGGGCTCAGATATACGCATCCTCACGAGATTGTCGTAGATGAAGGGGTCAAAACAGTTCGCCCACCGATATTCCAAGGTCGTTTACAGAAACATGTTGAATTTAGCACCTTTGACCCCAAGGATTGGGAAACGGCGACGGATCCAGAGCATCGAGGCCTGAAAAAGGATCCGACGCTGCGAAAGGACCTTAACCATGGCCTTTGCGATCTTTGCGCCGCAGGGAAAATTTGCGAATGTCAAATTAAGAAGGCGCCCTTTGAGTTCGTGCAGCTGGTGCAAACCGCTATGGGCGTCGGGGTACGTGCTCTTGCGCAATTTGAGAAAGGAGATATCCTGGCCGAATTTGTTGGCCCACTCCATCCACCTTGCTATATAGGTGACCCTGTTTATGCGCTTACAATGCAGGGCAAAGTCAGAGTAAATGAGGAGATTGCTCTGATTTGCCCGATGCAATTTGGGAACTTCACTCGGTTTATTAACCACTCGTGCAGGGCTAATACAACTTTTGAGCGCCGGACAATTGGGGACCGGGCAATGATGACCGTTGAGGCCTTGCGGGATATCCAACCTTTCGAGGAACTCACAGTCAACTATGGCCGGGCTTATTGGAAAGGGCGGACTTGTGAGTGTGGAGAGGAAGGGTGTTACACTAAGCAAGAGGAGAGGAAAAAACAGCAACGAGCACGAGAAATGGAAAGGCGAAAGCAAAGGGACATGCATATCGAAGCATCCAAGAATGTTGCAACGGAAGAGAATGGAGATACAGAAGAATATTCAGATGAGGAAGAAGAAGAAGAGACAGATGAAGAAACAGATGAAGAAACAGATGAAGAAACAGATGAAGAAACAGATGAAGAAGAAACAGATGAAGAAGAAACAGATGAAGAAGAAGAGGTCGGAGAAGGGCCACCGAAGAAGAAAACCGAAGAAGAGAAGGCACCATCAAAGAAGGGATCAAAAGAAGGATCATCTCTAGAAGCAGCAGAAGGGCCATCAAAGGGAAAGCCCAAAGGAAAGAAAGCATTAGCAAAAGACGGGCCAGGAAAAGAAAGGGCAGAGGAAGAGAGAGCAGCACGAGTAATAAATCAAGAGTGGGATCCTATTCTCGAAGACTATACTGATAACTCTGGTTGTGAAGGTGAAGAAGTAGAAATGGCAAAAGGAAAAGGAAAAGAAGAAGAGAAAGAAAAAGGAAAAGGAAAGAGAAAAGAAAAGGAGAAAGAAAAAGAAGCAGAAGAACAAGAAGAATCAACGGAAGAATCATCATCATCAGAAGAGTCAGATGAATCCTCTTACGTGTTGGTCGAGGAGGAAGAAGAAGAAGAAGATAGAGGTAAAGAAGACTAAGCGTCATGTTTCTCCGCATGCAACGCATTATATCAAAGGGTCCATGTATACACTTCAGATGTTGTTTATAACCAATGCATTTAGAGCGTCGCTTTCCGCACTTAATAACTCTCCATTCCAAATTAAGTTTAGCCTATTTCCAAATAAACTCATCACCATCACCACAACTAATATTAATGTCTACTTACACCAACCAACAATCCCATCAACTCCCAAAAAAACCCCTACCTAATCCCATACCACCAACTTAAAAAGCCCCAACCAAAATGTCCCCCACCCCTGGCGAATCCAACCTCCAAACCCTCCTGTCCTCCCTCTCACCAATCCTCCACCCGGACCTCTTCGTCTTCCTCACCGTCCCCCACACCAGCATCTCCCAAGCAGGTCCAGATCTCCACACTTTGCAACCCCAACTCCTCTTCCAGGAAGCAGAAGGCACCACGTACATTGTGACTCGCGAGCGTGCCGAAGCGCACGGCTTCACCAACTATGTCTTCCCCTGTCGCATGATTACTATCAGCGTGCATTCTAGTCTTGAGGCGGTGGGGCTGATGGCTGCTATTAGCGCCAGTCTCAAGGAGGCCGGCGTGAGCGCGAATGTGGTCAGTGGGTTCTATCATGATCATGTTTTTGTTCCCGAGGGGAAAGAGGAGGTTGCCTTGAGGGCGTTGCGGGAGTTGGCGGCAGGGAATTAACTGATTGATGAATTGGGTTTGTGTGTATAGGAGACGTTGTTTGTAGTGGTTATTGATTGATTTAGTTTGTTGGCTATTACTGGAGTGGATGGTGAAATCGAAATCTCCATATTACGAGTATCCCGCAGGCTGCAACGATCGCCACCCTTGCAGCCTAAGGCACAAGGCATCTTGATGCGGGCCTTCATATATAGAACATCCATGACATTCTACTAACGATCGCTTTGATGCATGCATCTATCCTGATACGGAATAAAAAATTATCACCTAGAAGTGTGAAATGGCTTATCAGTGCCTAGAAGTGCCTTTTTTACTGACAGCTCGAAGAAATCGCTTGTATTCATGACTGTTGACTACGGCATTGTTATTGTCTTGTCGGTCAATCTACAGCAGTCAGTCCAAAATCAACACACCTGATAGCACAGAATGTAGATAGAGAGACGATTTAAGTGAAGGTGGCTTCGGTTATCCTCGGGCCAAAGTAGTCAGGAACCAATTGATGGGCAGCCCTAAATTAAGCTGGGGATCCATCCTAGTAAGCTTCATTTCCCCGCCCGGGAATCGGAACTGTTCCGGCATGAGGAACAAGAGGGCAAAGTAGCTACTTCAACATCCCTGACCTTATCCCTGCTAGACGTTTCACAAAATAGACACAAGAATCTTGCTATCTCATATTGAAGTACCGACACCGATCGAGTATTGAATGTTACTGCAGTGATGGAGCTGCAGGTACTAGTGTCCCAAACAGGCAAGCCGGCTGCATCAACCCCGCATCCTGCAGACACGTGAGTCCCGGCCACATTCCAGCTGCCTCTTAATTGCTCCATCTCTTCAGCTTTTCATTCTTCTCTCAGTCAATTGCTAAGGCTAGATTTCAACTCGTGTTCACTACTTCGCAAGTTCGCGTGGTGCAGTTCGTATCTGAAGGCATCCGCCGGCAATCCCTGGTTAAACCATTTTAGACCCAGCTTTTGGTGAAGCTAGAAGCAAGGGGAGGTACATCCTGGTGACGAATGCCACAAGCTCTGCCTGAGGACGATTAGAGTGCTATGAACATACCTTCCCAAAGATCCAGATGCGCGTGTCTTCAGTTAACTGTAGAGGGCTTCTTCACAGAAGATGTTCTGTGAGGAAGCCCCTTCAGTTGGCAGCATTGCCGGGAAGAAGGGGACTTTTAACCACAAGCTATTCTCGGGGTCCTTCAGAAGTAAGCATGCTCATGTCTTGTTTGATCAACCAGGTATTGTGGATACGTATTGACGTGACATAAGCCTCCACTGTTAGACACAGTGATCGGGGAGCACTTTGCGAAGATCGTCAACCAGTATGGCGATAGACCGGCGTACGCTTCCCCTCTGGCATCAAGTTTGTGCTTTTGAGGAGCGGTATTCTGACCGTGACCAGTGTCATCTGCAAACAACAAAACGATCGAGCGACCTATTCTTCGCTTGACGCCAGAAGCAATGCCCTTGCGCGTGGTCTTGAATCTGTCGGTGTACGGACAGGAGACCGTGTGGGCGTCATGCTAGGGAACTCCATGGAACATGCTGTTGTATGCCCAGACCCTAAAAGCCTTTCTCAGATGTCTTGTAATAACCAAATTCCTCGCAGGCAACCTATGCACTGTTCAAGCTGGGCGCGATCCTGGTAGGTAGAACGCTTGCACGCCATCAGATCAAGGCTGATACAGCATCAGGTTCCACTCAATCCATCATTCAACGCGATTCAAGTAGTCTCCGCCCTGGCTCATTTAGAAGCCAGCCATCTGATAATTAGCACCGAATCAAACCTCCCCCGAAAGGACCCAAGGAGCAATATCCCACTCCTTCAACACCTGATCCCGGACCTCTCCAAGACCCGCATCGAGTCAGAATTAGTCCCCTCACTGAAGAGTATCATCTCAGTCGACAACTCTTCTGGTCGCGTCAATACCTCCAACCTTAACTGTTTAACAGCCTACAACTCACTTACCTCCGACGCAACATCCGACAAAAGCACCCTACCACCTCGCAACCTCTCCCCAACCGACATAGTCAACATCCAATTCACATCCGGAACGACCGCAATGCCTAAAGCAGCATGTCTAAGTCATCGATCCATTCTCAACAATGGCTCCCAAATCGGCGACAGAATGCGCCTTACCCCAGAGGACGTTGTATGCTGTCCGCCCCCATTATTCCACTGCTTCGGATCCGTACTAGGATACATGGCCACCGCCACCCACGGCGCAGCCATTGCATTCCCAACAGAAGCCTTCAACGCCAAAGCAGCCCTCCGAACCGTGCAAGAAGAAAAGTGCACTGCACTTTACGGCGTGCCGACCATGTTTCTCGAAGAGCTCAATCTTCTAGACGAAGGAGAAATCCCCAACGAAGGCTTCCAGTACCTACGTACAGGCATCGCCGCCGGAAGTAACATACCCGCGGAGCTGATGAAAAGACTACACAAAGTCCTAAATCTCACTGAGCTAACAATCTGCTACGGAATGACAGAGACCAGCCCCGTCTCTGCAATGACCACAACAGACGATCCCATCGACAAACGGATCAACACCGTCGGAAGACTACTCCCGCACGTTGAAGCAAAGGTTGTGAGCCTAGATAATCACAATAATATTTTGCCCATCAATACTCGCGGCGAGTTAGCAGTGAGCGGATACCTCCTGATGAAAGAGTACTGGAACGACCCGGTGAAAACGGCAGAGGTCATGATTGCTGATGATGACGGGAAAGTTTGGATGCATGTGAGTACTAAGCACACTGTCCCAAACAAGCACCAGTTAAGTTTGCTCCTTCCTAACCTCTTTGATTCTAGACCGGCGACGAAGCTTCCATGTCCCCAGACGGCTACATCACCATCACGGGCCGTGTAAAAGACCTCATCATCCGCGGCGGAGAGAACATCCACCCATTGGAAATCGAGAATTGTCTCTTGACGTACCCCGGCGTGATCGATGCCTCGGCCGTGGGCGTGCCCGATGAGCGCTATGGAGAGGCGGTGGCTGTGTTCATTATCCACCGGGAACCTGAGAGTGAAGCTGCGGATGAGGATAAGATCCGGCAGTGGGTTCGTGAAAAGCTGAGTAACCATCTTGGTATGTTGGTTTCTATCACCGAACTGCTCTATCGACTCATTAGCTAACCGGCTGGTATAGTTCCAAAATACGTCTTCTTCCTGCAACCAACAGAGTCTTTCCCCAAGACTGCAAGCGGCAAGGTGCAGAAGTTCAAGCTCCGGGAAGATGCTCTTACGATCTTAAAGGAGAAGAATAATATTAGCTGAGTTGATGTATTTTGGCGTAGTCTACATACATAGAGAAACTTGGGAGTGGTATATAGGGCATACAATCTTATTTTACTAGGGAACATCATTCGAAAGAGCATACTGAAGAAAGGTAACTTGATTGATAACTGTTGGACAGATGTCCTTGATATTTTGAGATGATAGATGGACTACTCTTTCTGTTTTAGTGCTCATCCTTCCCCCTTTTTTGCTTACTGAGTAGATCTGAATATACCCTGAGCGCGTTCTGAGCAGCCTGAGATAATCACTGAGCACAGGGTGAGCGGGATACCAATTGTTCTGAGTAAGTAACCTTAATGAAATACTTGGAACGAGCATGCTTGGGACTATCAATGCCCGCTTGGTATTAGTGTCCCAGCCAGCCACAGTGGGATTATACCGCGGGTACAGCATGCTAAGTATGCACCTTGCTGAACGTTTGGCGATCAACGACCGGCCACTCAATCAGTTTCAATGAAGATACACGCAAGTCTCGTCCGATCCAGCTGAGGCGGCTCACAGAATTACGAATTACTTTACCCTGAACAGCAGACGTCGTGCAATTTTCCATTTTTCATGTAACGGTCGGGGATCCTGCGAAACGCTTGACTGAGGCTGGAGCGGACATGAATATCCGGCTGGAAAGGGAGCGCCTTGCTACTGCTCTGCAGGCTGCTCGATCTGCTGTCACTGAGGAAGATATCGAGAGGTTCAAAACACTTTGTTCCACGGATGATCGTGTGGCTGAGGAGGTTAAGACACTGCAGAATCAGAGAGCTGAAGTGGCTGAGCTACTTCGACAGCATGGCGCGACATCCTGATTTTATTTTTGATTCAAGGTCGACGAACAAGCCGAAGACAGACGCCTTCAATTGAATAGTGCTAAGTACAAATATCTCCTATACTACATAGCCATCATTGAAGAGAGACACGAATATCTACTATAAGGTGAGACCAATCGCATGTTCTGTAATGAAACTAGAATCTACTTTCCCCAATCTAGAGACAGAATACACACTAATGGGAGACCGCATTTATTCCACCCGTTGGTTCAGCCTTTGTATTGTTGAAAGAGCAATGATAGTGAAAATGCCGTAAGGTTAAGATTTGGTATCTAGTGCGAACTGAATAGGTTGAGCTCGTTAAGAAACTCAATCGTGCGGCCTTCAGGACGGCTTTGTACCTACGACTAGTCGCGGCCCTTGTTCAGATCATATACTGTTTCTGTTGTTGATCTGCCAACCCGCTCATCATGCTCAACCCCAGCGACTTTGGCCGCTTCCCGACTCAAGTCTCCAGATCCTCGCACCGGTTGAGATATACATTTATCAGTTCGTTCATTCCTTGCTTCAACGTGGAGACCTTATGAGTCAGTTGGGAGGCACGTGTAGCCTCGTCCACGCGGTATCTGTTTCATGTATGGCTAATACAGCCCTGAAGCTCACACCACGACCCTGGAACTTAAATCCACATCAAAAGTATAGACATGGAACTAAGACTGGCAGAGAAATCCCCTTATATTATCCCCCCATACCGAAATCACAGTATCCTGTCTTGATCTCGAGGACATATGCTATGTAGCAACCACAATGAACACCAATTGAGAAGGTAGATGAAACCCTACTGGATCCTAAGTCAATAGTTGGTGATGAACACAGTAGCAAAAGTCTGCCTGCATCAACACATGGCAATAAAAGGGGCTCATGTATGGAAATAGATTATGCAGCACGCAGGCTTGTTATTGTCTACCCCGGGTATTTTAGTATTGTTCGACAGGTGTGAACAGTTCGTTGAAGATGAAGTAAAGTAACATGGTACTTCGTGGCTTCGATTGCTTTGGCCGCCAGCATCATCTCATTCTAAGTGTACCTTGTCCTTCGTGAGTTCCACAGGGCTACAGCGCAATTAGTGCCTTTGTATGACTTTCTGTGGGTCTGTCTTTCTAAAGAAAGTGGCATCGCACAGCCTATAAGTGTCTGAGAGTATACCGGATAATGTGGTCGAAAATGACCTTTGATCACAGACGAAAGGGATAGTGATGATCAACGCCACAGAAATAAACAGGTGTCTTGATGACATTTTATTAATATTTATCTTGTCTTTCTGTGCTCTTAAGTTTACAGTAGATTATCAAAATCTGATTCTCATCTACTGCTTCCTTGCTTGACTCATCCCTCTTATTACTTTTATTTAAAATTGGTGATTCGAGGAGCTCTCTTCGTTCCTTCTGAAGTGCCTTCACTGGCTCCGACAGAGTAGTGCAGGGTGTCTCTGCATCTAATGGTGATGTGGAAAATTAATCCACAAAGTGCGACATGACCAATGATCATGTCGTGGTCGTCTTTTGTTAATAATCGGGCTAAAGCATCAACATAACCACATCGAATATTAGTCTGATGACTTGTATGGGTCAATGATGTCTGTTCTGCCCACATTATGGGCCCCGATCTTCAATAATGAAACGCAGAACTATTGCACTGCGGTTGGATCCGTCTAGTAGGCTAAGGATTATATCTCAGCCAGAGGATTCAAGAACAATAGTCCCGAGGTATATTAAATCCTAGCGAGCTATTCAGTGCTTGAATACACTGGCGTATTGAGGCCACTTGATTCGCTTGTCTCGGTCCCGGAACTTGGAACGCTCGGGGACGGGGCCTCGGTGGCCGTGTCTGCTAGGTGCTGTTGTGATGGCAGCCCATGGGTATAATAATAATGATGATGATTATCGAGAGGAGAAAAAGAGTCTGTAGAAGCTGTTTCAAGTTTCATTGGGGAACAGCATTCAATAGCCTGAACCCAAGGATCATTTAAAGCTTGGTCGATGGTGAGCCTCCGCTCTGGGTCAAAGTGCAGCATCATAAGGATCAAAGACCATATCTCAGGGCTGGGGTAGTCTTCAGGACGGAACCCTGGCGCCCATTCGTAAATATCTGGCCAATCGATAAGGCTGGAACAACGGCTGCTCCGGAATTTCATCCAGGTACTTATAAACCGATAAAAGTCCGCATCAGTATTCATATTGGAGACCTCCCATGCCAATTTCAAGTTGAACAAGCACCGTCCGATCAAGGCACAGGCCCACACATCAAGCCGGCGTGGGTCGTAGTATTTAGTGTACCATACCTCATGTGGCAGGTAGCATTTGGTACCGCAGAGTTTGCTGTTCGAACAATAGCGGACTCTGTTGGGATCTATTTCGGGGTCCCTGAAGACCACGGCGAAGCCAAAGTCAGTAATCTTGAGAACGCCCCTTTCTGTGAGGAGCAGGTTCTCCGGCTTGAGGTCGCGATGGGCGATGTCATGGCTATGAAGGTAGGATACGCCTCGCAAAAGCTGCTTGAAAAGGCACAACTGGCCAGTGGTGCTTAGGTGACCGATCGCAACAAGATCTAGAAGGTCACCCTGGCTGCAGTACTCCATGACAATGCTTAATTGTGTCTCCTTGATGCAAAGGTCAACAGTTTTGACGACATTTGGATGACGAGCATGACGAGCGACGATGAATTCTTTACGGATATCACGCACACAAACCTCGTATGGGACATTCTTTCTCTCGAAGAACTCCTTGGCGACATAAGGAGAAGTCTCGTTCTTGCTGTTGCGCTTATAGACGACGCGAACCTGTGCGTAGGAACCTCTGCCTAGAACCTCTCCTGTGCTACTGTAGAAGGAATCCTTGAACTTATACTTTCTCATAAGTTTGAGCACATCCACACTATTGGATGCTTCGGAGGTTATGCTCATGCTGAGTTTGTCGTCGACCTTCACAGCTTGGTAGTCGCTGCTTTGGCTAGAAGTAGGCTTGGAGCCTGGCATAGTCAACCTCCCGAGGCCATGATCCAGCTCGCTGGAGCCGACACTGTGGACAATGCTCGAGGAGGACGAGGAGGAAGTGGAAGACATGTATCTTTATTGATACGGGTCTTTTGAGATGAGTGGATCTTTTCCTGGTCCACGATGGGATATACCTGGCAGCAAGGTATATCCGATAAGATAGCGTTGTGTAAGTCACAACGATAAATAAGGGAAAAGAATAGAGAAGCGAGCGGAGAACCAAGATTTGCAGCCAATATAGCAAATGATCGACTGCAAGGCTTACAAAGCTGAGTTGGACTTATAGAGCTATGTTCTGCTATAGCTAGAGCCAACAGTACTTTGCAGAACAAGTGTTGAACGATGGGAAGGAGGATGCTGACGACGGAGTTTCTGCGGGAAGGAAGCGGCATCAAGGCAATAAAGCCATGTCATACTTGCGCCCTGGCGAGTTATCTCACGACATCATGACATGATCATGGCAGGGCAAGCGATGCCATCAGCAACACCGGCCTGGAGCGTCACCGCTCCACAGGCAAAAAGTAGGATGAGATGATGTAGACGTCTAAATCCTCGAGAGCGTACATTGTGGATATAAATATAGAGTATAGAAAAAGAAGGTTCACCAGGTGTTGGATGATGAGATTGAATGAGCATTCACGGGAAGCGAGTCTATGCTGAGTATTGAATGACCGAGGCAATTTACTTCAAGAACAAGATTAGGTGTAACGGAGGTTGGCATTGATGCTATAGACGAGCGTTAACACTAACCGAAGAAAGACCAGCCGCTAGTCTGACGTTCCATCCTTCCCCAACTTCCTAAAGCACATTGAAATGGACCAAGGCAACATGGCTCAACCACTTGACTATGTTGTTCCTGCATCCGCAGCACAAACGCTCAGCGCATGAGCAATAACAGACATCATATTTGAGGCCTTTAATGAGGTCACTTGGCCGACGGAGTCACCAAGATGCTGGTCCTGCGAAGTAGTGAGGCTGATGACCGAATGGGACGTGACATCACTAACGCTCAATCTGGCCGCGAGCAAGTATAGTTTCATCCTGGATATAGGAGCCTGGTTCAGTAGGCATATCCACGGAATGCAATTCATCCTTATTCAGATACAGCGAAGAGCACTGCACTCAGTTCGGCATGAGGGCGAGAGGGTCTGCTAAAGCAGGAGCTACGAGGCATTCCCATTACGGATATGGAAGATGCGTCATTAATGACGTTTTGATCGTGTGATATGAAAATGGGGTCCCAGCCCATTCGGCGAGAACAAACTGCAAACAAGCGCAGCAAAAACTTCCGCTCCCTTGCCAAAACCGCAAAGCAGCTGAACAAGTGAAGACCTGCAGGTAAGCGCATATTTCGAGGGAAAACGCAAAGCGTAACTGGCCACCAGGACTTCTAAGTCAAGCCACAACACCCAGATGAGCGACACCGGAGAGTCCTGATTTGACTATCAGAAATCCTGAATACCAGTTTCGCCTTGCAGATGGGACTTGACTTCTCCATCGTCTACTCCTTCAACAAGCCACTCTGGTTCTTCATCATCAAAGTACTTTTCCTGCTCGGCGTTCCAATCATCATACTCGTCATTGTCATCAACCGAGGCGTAGTCGAAATCGCCATCTTCACCCCTCAGGAACCGCAAGGTCATCTCCCATCGCCACGCCCTCTCCCCTTCTTCCTTATTCGGGGGAATTTCGTCTCTATCTTCCGCGAGGATCTCTCCGTTTGGACCACGAGTATAGCTGAACATGGCGTGAGGATCAGGATGGGAAAGAGCCTCGAACTTGGCCTCGGATCTACATAGGTCCGCTTGCAGCACACCTGAGAAGCCTTTGGCGCGTCCTTCAGCCTCCCTCTCGGCTGGAGTCTGGAATCGACGGATCAAGCGATCATACAGCAACGGGTCTGCAGGGCTGGCATATTAGCTTGGCTTTAACATTCCCTGTCATTGACAGAGTGACTGAATGTGAAACCAATCAGTCTAGAAGGAGCAGAGCGAGCGGACCGGCTAGCTCGAGATCAGCAGAGAAATACTCCGGGTGCATGTCCAGATAGCGCTTGCGCCGGTTTTTGATTTTCGTCGCCGCAGATGGTGACTGTGTTCTTTTCACGGGGTCTGACTCCATCTGGGAAGAGACTGCGTCAGGAGCGACACCCGTACCCACAGGGAAAAGAGGCATAATGGGCGCAGTAGTGGGATCAGTCAAGGACGATGACGATGGGAAGTTGAGGATGAAGAGAAGCGCGGCGAGACACGCGGGGGAACTAAACCCATTCGGGCCGGAAGCGCCGGGCGGCAAAGGAAATTATCCTCAGCGTCAAAACGTCGCCCGAGCGAATAATGACCGTCCGTTGATCAGTCCGACTTTCTATCTGAGAAGTACCGGTAAGACTAGCCCGGTTTCAATCTGTTTCACATCGTGGGTCTTCAGGGATTCTTCTTGGCCCACGTTGTGGCGTTGCATTGAAGCTCCCCGCCCCAGCTCTTCCGCTGTTAAATAGGAGCCAACAAACATACAGTCGCGAGATAGACCTAGACTAATTGGATCCTACAGAAGCTTTCAATTGATCGGTCCTACCGGATTCCCTCAGGGTTGGAGGTCTGACATCATGTCTTCCCTGGCTGGTCTTGTCCAGCCCACCACCAGACAGCTGCTGACTGGCGCTGCTCTGCTGTTTCTGACAGCGTTCTACTCGCCATTGACGGTGCTGATGCTGACGCCAGTATATGGCTCGGCTCCTGCCCATATCTTCCACGGCTATGGAGTGGCACTCATTGGCGCTGCTGGATGGTTTCTTAAGGACCACATCCAGCGATTGACTGGCCGCCGGGCTCTTTTCCTGCTCCCTGTTGTGGCATTCTGGGTTCCTACCGTTCAGAGTTTCTTGTTCGCATCGAGCTCCGTTATGGGAAACCCCTTCGGAGCTGTAGTCACCGAGGTCATCTCCTACTACCCTCTGGTTCTGCTCTCCGTGGCTTGTGCTGGTAAGCTGGTGCAGTCGGGTTTAAATCTGAGCCAGCACGGTGATGCAGTCGCTGAGCACGTTCCTCTCGTGGTCACCTATATCCTCTACAAGACTGGCGAGAAGTTCGCCAAAGCTTTCCTGGCCAAGTTCATTGGAACTACTTTCTTCTTTTCTCGTGCTGGTCTCCAACTCTTGCTCCCAGTCTTCTACACTGCTATTGCCCCTTCGAAGTTCCTGCTCTTTGCTATTCCCTCCCTTCTGTTCTCCATGACGTCCAATGTCCACATGAACTCTGGAGCATTGAACTCTTTCCTCAATGACGAGGGATTCGCCCTCGTTGCCCGCCAGGACTCCACCACCGGCTACATCTCCGTCTTGGATAACCTGAATGATGGGTTCCGTGTCATGCGTTGCGACCACAGCCTGCTCGGCGGCCAGTGGACCAAGATGCCCCACAACTACAACCCTGCCGTTATGGACCCCATCTACTCGGTCTTCACCATGCTTGAGGCCGTCCGTCTGGTTGAAACTGACCACGGCGAGCCCCGCGTAGATGCCAACAGCAAGGCACTTGTTATGTAAGCTCAGCAGCAACTTGCTCTCCAAGCAGAAATCTAACCTATACCAGCGGTCTCGGTGTCGGCACCACGCCCTCTGCCCTGATCCACCACGGCATCGAGACCACCATCGTGGAAATCGACCCTGTCGTGCACAAGTTCGCCACCGAATACTTCCACCTTCCCTCGAACCACATCGCCGCCATCGAAGACGCCACCGCCTTCGTGAAGCGCACTCCCCCAGCCCAGTATGACTATATCGTCCACGACGTCTTCACCGGAGGCGCCGAGCCCCTCGAGCTCTTCACTCTCGAGTTCCTCGAAGGCCTATCCTCCCTTCTCAAGGATGACGGAGTCATTGCCATCGTAAGCCCCCTCCCTCTCTCAACCCCCCACCATCCCCCAACTAACCTCGATAGAACTATGCCGGCGACATCTCTCTCTACCCCGCCGCCCTAACCGTCCGCACCATCCAATACGTCTTCCCGACCTGCCGCATCTTCCGCGAGGCCTCCGACTCTGACCTCACCGCCGACTTCACCAACATGGTGATCTTCTGCAAGAAGAGCTCCGCCACGCCGCTCACCTTCCGCGACCCCGTTTCCGCCGATTACATGGGCAGCAAGTTCCGCCAGATGTATCTGATGCCAAAGGTTGAGATCGACGCGAGTCGGTTCCAAGATATCGAGAAGGGCGGTCGTCGTGTCCTCCACTCTAAGAACACCCACCTGCTTCATAAGTACCAGGATCGGGCTGCGCTCGAGCATTGGAATATTATGCGTCATGTGCTGCCTGATTTTGTTTGGGAGAATTGGTGATGGTTTTATACTATACTTACAGTATGTAATTCTTAGTGTATCTCTGAGAGATAGATTGATTAGTTTCCGTTGTTGTGATTCGGATATCTGTATTCCTAGTACTAGTTGTGGTTTCGGGTGGTTACAGCAATATAACATTATAATATGATTTGAATTTGGTTTTTAGAGTGGATAGCATATGGTTATCTTTGATAACACGCCCAACTCGAGATATACAAATGAAGCTATTCATTTATTCTTCAACAATCACAAGACTCCAAAGCAACGCTAAAGACAAGTCTTTCAATCAACCATGTTCAAGAGCTAAAAGCAAGCAACGAGAAAAAAACAATAAAGTACTATCGGAAATTCATTCATCTTTCTCCGACTCCTAAGAAAAAAGCCAGCCTAATCCATTCTGGTATCACAAACAACAACAGCAGCAGCAACGAGAAGCAGCAGCAGTAACAACGAGATGTCACCAAGCCAGCCAGGCCACAATCCCCCGTTAGTTATAATCACTCATTCCAAATATGTTATGTATGTACTGCATCGTGAATGTGTGAAAATGAAAAAAAGAAAGAGGGAATAAAAAAAAAGGAAAGAATAAAATTACAATCCAACATCAACATCAACATGAACAATGACCGCCATAATGACAGGAATCAAACAAGAAAAAGCATCTACCACCCACCACCGATTTATCGCTTTATCTTTTACGCTGATGGGCTTCCGCGGGGACTCGCCCCCGGTTTCTTGACCAGGCCAGCGAAGAAGTTCGCTAGTGCTTGGTTGTGGGCTTTTTCGTCGCCGGCAGATGATGAGAGGGTTTCTTTTCTTTGGGAGCGGCTGGCTTCGCGTTCCTGTTTGGGGTTGGGGTGGTTAGGGGTTTTGTTGATTGGGAGGGGGGATACTAGGGAGGTATCTTACCTTGAGCTTCCGGAGCATGTCGTCTGCGTCGACTTGGATTCCTCCCATGTTGAACTGCACGGGACCGATATGCTCGTTGACTCGTCCATTGTCGTCTAATGGCGACATCTCAAGCTGGGGCACCTTTTTGGCTGCGCGGTCTTTCTCGTCCTCCGCCTTCAGCTGCTCTAAGACCTCGAGCTGCTTCGTGAGGAAGCTCTGCATGTCGGATGTGTCTACCTCGATCTTGTTTCCGTTTCGTTGGCTGCCTGTGAGGGCCATCGATGTGTCGCGCTTGGGGTCCTGGATGGTTTGCTCGAAGATCGCCACGGCGCTGGTTCCGTCGTCCACTGCGTTTGCGGTTTGTTCGTCGGAACTGCGATCGTCCACGCCGTTCGTGAGTGGCTCCGGGGGATCTTGAATCTCAATCGACCATGCTGTCGATATACCTTCCATGTCGAAGCCTTCACGGATGATTCGGATCTTGCCCCAAGAATCCCAGTTCGAGGGAACCAGGATCTTGTCCCGGTCGATCACGTTGTGTTTGAGGGACTGTCTTTTTAGGAGAGAGTGTATGCCGAGAGAGGAGTGTATTAGGCTCTGCAGAGAGTTTGCGAGGAACGGTGTGGTGTAGATCAACGATGCGCCGTCTGCTTTCTGTTAGAATTGAACCTCAAGCGGTATTGGCTGCTGTACTTACGTTTAAGTAGTAGTGTTCTCATGAACTGAAGGATGAAGTCGAATTGCTCCTCGTGCCAGCCATGGTCCTTCTCCAACTTTTCAATCTTGTCCGCCTGCATGATGCGAGAAATTGTTAATATAAAGACTTGCCGGAAGCCTTTAGTAGATCAACGTACCCCTTGGCAGACCACACACATGGGAATCCCAAGCCCCTCATCCCACTCGCCTGGTCCCAACGGTATCGTTACAGGGCCTGCGGAGCTGGTGAATCCTTGTGCCCCGCCTGAACTCGAATCCATGCCTCGTTTCCGGTCCCTCCACTCCGTGAGATTCTCTTCCATGACGATCTTCGTCTCGTCGTCGAGTGATATCAGCACGTGTCGGAGAAGACGGACCCATTCTCGGAGTCGCCGAATCCATGTCCACGGGTCCGACCAGTCCAGTAAAATCACGACGAGTGTTTCCGGAATCGATTGAGGGGTCAGGAGCGGCTTGAGAAGGGGAGCGAAAGACAGAGACGGTTCAGAGAGTAGGTATGCGGAGACGCGCGCAAGAGTATCTGTTCGCCGGAGCACCATTTGTTCAGCAACCCGTACAACGCAGAATCAAACCCCCTCCTTCAACCCAACCCAAGGAAGCAATTACCTTCGTGGTCCGCATCTAGCACATCCTGATATGTATATCCCAAAGCGAACTGGTTGGCTACTGGCGGTACTCTCCCTTTTCGCTTATCGTTCGACAAACTAGGATCGGAAGAATCTGCGGCGAGTGTGTCTAGGAATTCTCTTTGACTCTCAGGCGTGCCTCCTGAATTCAGTCCAAGTATTAGCGACCCAACCCCAAAACAGTAGAATGCCGATGCTGCTCCATGGCAGCAGAAACCAAGTCTTCGCACCTAGAATAAGCAGGTTCTTCTCAGGCAGACGCTTTCCATTCGCGACACTATCCAGCATAGAAGACCAGATGTTCTTCTTGGGCCCATCCTTGCTCGACGGCCGGCTATTGTTTCCGGTGCCGAATCTGGAGCCGGGGTTCTGGCTTGACGCAGACATTGTCTGTTCGATTTTGACTATATTCAGTTGGCGCAGACCATGCCATGTAGCGTCCGAGTAATTGCGAGACTAGTCCGACGGCTTTGACGCGTGAGCCGCGGAGTTGAAGAAGATGGTGGATATCGGTCCAGGCAAGCGGATTTGGGGTCAGGGGAATCTGGCGTTGGGGACGATCTCTTGTAACTTTAACGGCGGGTCCGTGGCCAAGTTGCCCACCCGGATGAGCGGTATCGTAGATAGTTCCGCTGTTGCTTTTCAAATCACACAGCTGGTGGGGGTTGTCAGTCCAAAAGGGAGGCGGTTTTGTCGAGAAATACGTTTAAGTTGCACTCCAGTAAACAATCCAAAGTGTCGGCGTTCTTGCGGGTGGGACCCTCCCGCGGAGCCAGCCCGTGATGAGCTGAACCCGCCAGCTTTTCTGCTGCTTCCAATCCCTCACTCTCAGCCACTCAATCTCTTGCTTTGCGGCGCGATTCAGCTGCGCTCTTATCCGGTCCTTTTGTTTTGAGGGAAATACTGGCTCGCTCTTGCGATCCTTGACACAACAATGAATAATATTCGCCAGATCCAAGCGCTCAATAAACGCGAGCTCGAAAATGCCATGTATGTCATGCTTATCTTCAACCCGACTTATTGGTTTCTCTGCTAATCTTTGTGGACATCTTAGACCCCCGGAAGCTTCCTGGCACGCAGACTACAGAGATACCGCATACATCTACATCGGTGGATTACCATACGACTTGTCCGAGGGTGATATTGTAACCATCTTTTCGCAGTACGGCGAGCCCGTGCACATCAATCTCGTGCGCGATAAAGAGACTGGAAAGAGTCGGGGTTTCGCCTTTCTGAAGTACGAAGATCAGCGCAGTACAGATCTCGCAGTCGACAATCTTGGTGGGGCAACAGTTCTAGGGAGAGTGCTGCGTGTGGACCACGTGAGGTACAAGCGGCGCGATGACGAGGAGGAAACAGACAATGTCGCAAAGCTCATGGGTGATACGACTAGCAAGGATCATGATGACAGAGATACAGATGATGAACGGAGAAGACGGAGGAAGAGAAGGGGAAGTGAATCAAGGGAAGAGGAGCCCGCCAGACGGCCTCTGCTCAAGGAGGAGATCGAGCTACAGGAGCTGATCAAGAATCATGACGAGGAAGATCCGATGAAGGAATTCCTTATTGAAGAGAAGAAAGAGGAGGTCGCACTCGCCTTGGAGAAAATGCGCAGCAGCGAGAAGTCATCTCGGAGACGTGACAGCCGTGAGAGATCAAGCCGCCATCACCGTTCTCACCGTCGGAGACACGACGACGATCGAGACTCAGAGAGAAGACGCAGAGATCGGTCGCCCAGAAGGGAAGAGCGATCTCATAGAGCTAGATCTCCATCTAGAAGGGAGAGATCCGACAGAGACAGGACGCCGGTCGCGTCGCGATCGCCCGACTCCCGACGCTACAGAGATAGACATGATCGACACCGTTAAATGTCTGGCAAAGCTATCTAAATATTAAATATGCTAATGAGGGCTAAGTCTCTTAACTGGTCCTGGGAGAAAGCCATCCAATACAAGACCTCCAGGATCTTAGTGGCCGAAGGCTGCAGTCAAGCGCCTGTTCTTGAAATGCTATATGCTGCTTCATCCTGCGCCGGCTCATGCGATGACGTGTCCATATCAGAATCAATGCTATGGCATGGGCGCATGCGCGTTTGCATCCGGAATCTTGCCTGCATCTGGAACAGCTAATACCTTGGTGCAAACCGGATAGGTAGTCCTGCGAACAATCACTCTTCATCCTTACAAGAGGAGTTCAGCTGCCCCCCAAATATCTTTTCCAGCCTTCTCTCAGGCAATACCGCTTTCCATCATCCCCATCGCGCAGAACGAACTTCTCCCACCGGCCATCCCTGCCGGCACCGATAACAAGAATCGTCCTATCATCGCGCCAACCTATCACGCCTTTCGAGGGGCTCCCGTATGAGTTACCCAGGGGCGGGACATAATGTGAGCCAGGTGGTGCTTCTTCCCCCATCTCAAAGTGGGCGCTTGCGAATGAATACACATCAGAGAATACCCTTGGCAATAGTGGAATCTTCCCGAGAATGCCCCATTTCTGGTTCGTTGGTTCTTCGGTCGGGGAAGCTGCAGCTTGAGTACGGTTTGTGGGTAGCCGAGGATGAGGAAGGTCGAATACGTGCAGGGTAGATTTATCAGATGTCACAGCCAGTAGAAGATTCGAGGGCGAAATGGCAAGCGAAAATATCACCGCATGATCAACACCGCGTCGTAGCTCGGCCATTTTGGTGCAGTTAGCCGTAGAGAAGACCCGGACCAATGTGCCCTAGATAGAATGCGCTTTGTCAGTAGTCTGCGTCGCATTCGCCATCGTAGGGACAGGGACGTACCGCTTCACTCGCCGTCGCCAACACTTCACCATCGGGACTCAAAGTCATCGCGCGCAACGGCGTGCTGTGGGCAGGAATGATGCTGACGTTCCCCGTTTCGAGCTCCACCAGTTGGACCTGGCCAGGGGACCGACCTGGGAAAGCGAGCACCTCCTGCCCTAGACAAGCCAGCCCCAGTGGGTTATCCGTTGTCTCGAAAGAAGAGAGCTTCTGCGGCGGGTTCGAGAAAGCGAAAATGTGGATGCTATTGAGGAGGGCGACAACGATGCGCGACTTGGACAGTCGGACGCCCAGGACCGAGGTGCGGAACTCCAGCGTAATTACTGCTTTCTGTCTTGCGTCATCCCAGATAACCAACTGCGACCGCTGTGTGAGTATAAGCTGCGCCAGATAGATGCAGAAGCTCGCACACCTTATTCTGTGGAAACTTTGGCTGTCTCCCTCCGCCAACGATAGCTAGGTAGTTGGTCTGGCCGAGCATCTTGACCACCCCGATGCCGGCATTGAAATCTAGATGGAGTGAACGGCATTAGTGATACGGAGCTGAAGGAGGGCGGGGCCGATGCTATTATTTATACCTCTTGATACTCTGAGCTCGCATGGGTCGGTATTGAAGACTGCAATAGAGATCATAACGTCTTTAGCTTGGGTATCCCGAAAGGGAAGCTATTGCATGAAGGGCATAGCCAGGACCTACCACAGAAGCCCGTGTCCAAGCCAACTGCGAAGCAGGAGGTATCATTGTTGAATGTAGCAGAGAGTGAGAGTGGCCCCACAGACTCATCGATAACTTGTCGGGTGTTCATTCTGACCACCAGGGAAAGAGGCCATCAGAGCTTTGGATGGTAGAAAGGTAGACAGGAAACTAGAAGATCGACAGCGGTCGCTGACCTCACCCGAGCATCAGTAGAGTAGATAAGGCCCGGGGGTCCGCTTTTGGCTGGGGGATGCCGGAAGGGCAGCGGATTCCGGGCCAATAGACTCTCTGCGAAGGGGGGTGATGTTGTTCAACGGAGATCAATGCACATCATCTTATACCCATACAGAAGCCGAAAAGGAACTTCTTAATATACTTCGGCGAAGATGATCGAGATCAAGAAAAAAGCATGTACTGGCAAGGGCGTGATTCGAACCCGCGCGGTTAGTCTACAGCTTTGCGGTTAGGAATAGTATTCCGTAGTAATAATGTCTCGGAGCCATTGTTTCAGGCCTGAGGCCTAAAATTCCAAGCTGTATGGTATTTGGGTAATTGCTTACCGCTACGGCGGCCCGCAGCGACCCACGGCGGCGGTGGAAACGCCTTCTGCTGCCCCCGACCCCTGAGAAGAACTGGGGAGAGCACAGAGGCTAGCTAGACATTGCAGCAACCACTTATGCTTTTAATCGGTTGACTTGTCGCTCTGTACCTCAGAGAACAGGTTAGCGGATAATATGTGAGCTGGACTAAAGGAATAAATTCCCTATCGAGTCATAGCACTAACCGCTGAGTGGAGACCTGGAGTGTGTCTCGCTCAGTGAAATGACAATAATTGATGATCAAGGCGTCCCCAGATTGGACAGGTATTATAATGAGTGTTGAAGGAGCACGCAAGTAGGTAGATACCCAAAGACAAGGTCCGGGCATACTAGATGGGAATCCTACTGTACATTAAAACCGGCAGCTATCTAAGCAATTGAACAAAGCGTTCGTAAGCATGTACCTTAAGTGCTTAGTAGGGTGATAACTACTAGACTCCATTTACTCCATACAGGAACCGTGCCTGGGAGCCCGCTATCCATGGGAGAGTAACTGGACTGTTTAGAAAAGTGGGAGTGGTACGACCAGTAAGGTATCGATGTATCATCGGTTACGAGTGATACCAATATTACCAGCGACCGATCAATCTGGAGAAAGAAGGAGGGCAGTGATTGGACCGTTGGGAACTGCAGGGTGAAAGGGGGCAGTTGTGGCCGTTCCAGAGCGGTAAAAACTGGTACGGGCAGGAAAACGGGAGGGAGGAAATCCCCCCTTAGAGAGAGAGTCTAGCAAATCCCCTAACTGCCAGATCAGTAGCAAGCGCCAGCCAAACGGCTCTTTAGTCCCTCCAGCTTGCCCAGAGAGTGTCCGCCCGTCGTCGAACCTCAGGGGAGCAACGCAGCCATTCCACATCCCATCCCATCCACTCCTCCATCTAATTCATTCAACCTTCATTCCACCTCTCTTGTTCCCCCCCCCATTCCTTTCCTTTGGCTCAAACCACCTTCGTCCTTGTCTCTGCCACTCGCTTTCTACCTCTATTTTCTTCAATTTCTTCTTCTCTCTTCTTTAATTTCCTCCATTCCTCCCCTATTAATTCATCATGTCGTTCAACGCGGTATGTTACTTCCTTCCCCTTTCTGGCCTTGTTGCTCTGAAGCCTATCCATGCTCCTTCCCCCTCCCATCCAACCCACCCCGTCCATTGTCCCCTGAACCGTGGTTTCTTTTTCATTTTCTGTCTTCAGGCTCTCGGCCAGAGGTTTGTCCACGATTAATTTCTTGCTCTAATTCCCAGATGAAGCTCCGTCGCAAGAAGAATGTCAAGAAGGGTATCCAGTTCTGCCTGATGGTCTGTGGTGCCAGCGGAACCGGTATGTGCTGCATCATACAAAACAACATTCATTGCAGAATTGACCGAATTCCCCCTTTTCGTTAGGACGTACCACCTTCGTCAACACTCTTTGTGGAAAGAAGGTCCTAGAAGGCAAGGACTGCGACGACCCGGCCAACGCTCACATTGAGGAGGGTGTCCGCATCAAGCCAGTCACAGTTGGTAAGTCACCGGAACATGGACCACCAGCATACACGCCACTAATGAGATCTCGCAAAGAGCTGGAATTGGACGACGAAGGCACCCGCATCTCCCTCACCATCGTTGATACCCCCGGTTTCGGAGACCAGATTGACAACGAAGCAAGGCACGTTGAACTTGGCCGCCTTCCCAACGCCCCCTACGAATACTGACCGTCCCAACAGCTTCGGCGAAATTGTTGGATACCTTGAGCGCCAATACGATGATATTCTTGCGGAGGAATCACGAATCAAGCGTAACCCCCGCTTCAGGGACAACCGTGTTCACGTCCTGCTCTACTTCATCACACCCACCGGCCATGGACTGCGTGAGCTGGACATCGAATTGATGAAGCGCCTTTCTCCCCGTGTCAACGTCATCCCCGTCATCGGCAAGGCCGACTCTCTCACCCCTGCCGAATTGGCCGAATCCAAGAAGCTCATCATGGAGGATATTGAGCACTACCGCATTCCCGTGTACAACTTCCCCTACGATATCGAGGAGGACGATGAGGACACCGTGGAGGAGAATGCTGAGCTTCGCGGTCTGATGCCGTTTGCCATTGTTGGCTCCGAGGACTTCGTTGAGATTGACGGCAAGAAGGTGCGGGCCAGGCAATATCCTTGGGGTGTCGTGGACGTTGAGAACCCCCGTCACTCGGACTTCTTGGCCATCCGTAGCGCTCTTCTTCACAGCCATCTCGCAGACCTTAAGGAAATTACTCACGACTTCCTCTACGAAAACTACCGTACTGAGAAGCTCAGCAAGAGTGTTGATGGTGCTACGCCGTACGTATACCCGCTTGCCATTGTTACAGTCTGCTAGCACAAAAACTGACCCCTAGCCATAGTACACAAGACTCTTCGATGAACCCAGAAGACCTAGCATCCCAGTCCGTTAGACTGAAGGAGGAGCAGCTTCGTCGCGAGGAGGAGAAGCTCCGCGAGATCGAACTCAAGGTGCAGCGCGAGATCGCTGAGAAGCGCCAGGAACTGCTGGCTCGTGAGAGTCAGCTGAGGGAGATCGAGGCTCGCATGGCGCGTGAAGCAAGCCAGAGTCAGATTGATAGCATCAGCGATGCTTGAGCTCTTCCCAAACCTGTTTTCCGGAGGGAGACGGATCTTGCATGTTGACCCCGGACGCCGTTTGTGCCTATGTAATGAGATTCGTGGCACGGCAGTTGTGACTGTCGACGGGGAAAAGATTAGTCGACCGTTTATTCACGTTAATAGCTTCTTATCCGAGAGGAGAGGGGAAAATGCAACGTTCCGTTTATCTTGACGACTGGCAGCATTCCCCCTTTGTTAACTCAGAGGGTTGCGGACAAGAGGTGATGGAATCCTGCTGCTGCTCTGCTCTTTCCCTCTCCTGATTTTGGCTTCTTCCCATGTCTTCTTTAATCTGGTCGAAAGATCTCCGAACGGTTTCGCGCTGCCCATGTTGCGAAGCTTGGGGTCAGAGATAGCATCTTTTTAATTTGCTGACAGTTGTCGCTGGACCTGCATAACCTCCTTCTCATTGCCCATCCCTTTTATTTTCCCATTTCTGCTTTTGTCGATGAAACCTGTCCCAATCTCAAGCAGCGCAGCAAGATTCCCTCTTTTGTCGTTTCATATTCCTTGTGCTCGTGGTTCATGTCTTAATCTTATCATCATATGTCTTAGTTGAATAGTAGTATATGAGGACAAAAGATCCGAAGTTTTTCCTGGTATGTAAGTTCTGGTGGCATTTTTGCAAATGCTCCATCTCCGGTCGTGTCTAGGCAGGGTCAGGAACATCCCATTTAGACTTATATTCTACTAGTAATCTACTAGTTACTTCAGCGCCTACACGTATACGAGACACATCATATTGTCAGATTAGAGGCTTGACTTCAATTTTACGGAATTCAGTATAATGAGTTGCATAAGTTCATGATTATGTATTATATAATCATTAGATGTCTTTCCGATGGTAAGCTCGGGTATCTTGACCGTGTTGTCAACCATCTACGAATACAATTCAACTTGAGAAGTAGCGTTAAGGGGTGTATCTAGTATAGTATTGTACTAGGACACATGAATTGGGCCTTGTCCAGCTGAAGCTTTATTGTTTTGGATACTCAGAAATACCGATGATGAACTGCTGGTTAAATATATATCCCCAACAACAAAACTGAAATGCACTCAGACTTTATACTAACTAGTACTACTAACCCACCTTGTAGACAACTTAGCGGCCACTCACCTGGGTAGATGCTAGCAGAAGGTCATTACACGTATAATGATCGACATAAGATTGCATATTGTTTCTTTTTCATGTCACAATAAGAAAATCTCGGTCCCTTTTTTTGTGCTCTAGAAAGATGTGTAAGCAGTTGTAAGCCAAACTTGTTGGGAAAGATGCAGACGCTTTCCAGTATAATCGGTGTCGAGACATCAGCCGAGAAGAGATACATCGAAGACCATGGTCATTGATCTAACTATACATCTCCTTCCCAGTGTCCAAGAAGGTCCAGTAGATCCTCATGGGATCAGTCATATAGCTAGCATTGTTTGGACGAGGGGTGGTGGCCCCGCGATTCAGCCGCACCAGCTCAGCGCCATGCACCTTCCACTTTTGAATTGACGCGTCTGTACTTAATCAACCTCATTTGACCCATCCGCTGGAATTTTACCACGTTTCCTTTCTCCATACCGAATAAGATCCGAAGTCATTCAATTCATTGATACCATGTCTCCAGGACGGGAACTCGTCTCTGATCGGACATGGTCAGCCTTTACCTACGCAAAGCTCCCTGATGAGCCGTCGAGCTATACAACACGCATGATACGCCTCCTGCCGAGTGAGGATCCAAATGCTCGCTTAGAATGCGAAATTATCGACTACGACTTAGCAGTAGACACGGGCAGCGGAGATTTACATCTCTATGAGGCGCTTTCCTACGTATGGGGAAGTGATAAAAGATCGCGAAAGATTACACTGAACGGTTGTGTCTTCTCCGTAACAGAGAATCTTTATGTTGCGCTGTTACATCTTCGCAATCGCCAACTTGAGCGATTACTGTGGGTTGATGCCATATGCATCGATCAGGATAATTGGGATGAGAAAGCCAAACAAATTCCACTGATGCGGACGATTTACGCACAGGCTCAGGATGTCATAGTTTGGCTTGGAGAGGCTTATGAAGATGGTGACAAAGCGCTTAATTGGATACGCTGTATTGATGAAGAAAAGGATATAAGTATTGGGGAATATCAAGAGGCATGCTTGAAGCTGCTGCAAAGAGCTTGGTTTCGCCGTATTTGGGTGAGACCCCAGCTGGTTTCATTTTTGAAAGGACATGACTAAACAGAATATAACACGTTAGGTGCTCCAGGAGGTTGGTGTTGCACAGTTTATCTACGTCATGTGTGGCTCTGTCCAGATAAAAGGGCATGTCTTCTGTGAAGGCCTGAGGAAATCAGGGCTCTCATCGAGATTTCAGGCATTGGTTGGCCCAGTTGCTTTCCTTATCAGAAGTGCGCTTGATCGACCAAAATATGAGCCTAATTCACGAGGAAGCCTCACTATTGGGGAACTCCTTGGAATGTATTGCAGCCATGATGCTACCGAGCAGCACGACAAAGTATATGCCCTTCTAGGCCTGAGTGCTGATCCGATCACGGATGCTTTAACACCAAATTTATGGCCTTCCCTGGGATATGGTATTCAAGCAAGTTGCCCAACATATCTTTCCAGAATGCTCTGTGGAGACTTGGCATGGGATAGATACAGCTGTCATCAAAGGTAAAGCATGGATCATAGGCCATCTTTATTCTGTTGGAGAGGGGATGTCGGCATTGTCACTACAACATAAAGGTGCACTGGAACCATACAGCGCAGTGGCTTGGTAATAGACGTGACTGGAAAACTGAATGGCAATTGCAAGCTTCTGCACGGCTCGTCCAAGACGGTGACATTCTTTGTCTTCTACAAGGGGCCTCTAAGCCTAGTATTATTAGGCTTTGCAGGGACCATTTTACCATAGTGATGCCTGCGGTCACACCTCGGAAAAGGCGTCATGGAGAGATGTTGGAACAAACCGTCCATGGAAGGCGTTTCATGAACAGTCTTATTGATATTTTGCTGACTTGGAGGGTGCCTCTAGCTGATCATTATAAGGTCGACTTAGACGCTGAATCAAAGCTCAATTATATGGCACCAGACTACAAAGAAGAGCAGTCAGAGGTGGACAAAAGACGGAACCTTATCATGTGGGTCATAGTCGATACTGCTCTGGATGCATTGGCAATGGCGAACTTGGGAAAGAAAACTCTAGAGCATCTACTTTGCCAAAGTGGCACAACACGTATATTTGCCCGAAGCCTGACAGCAGCAGCACCAAAGGATTCTGCCAGTTGGTTTTTCCAGTCTTTCTTCCATAACTGGGAGGGTGATTTCTCATCCACCGATGATATCGTCGAAGCAGTGGCGGAGGATGATGGGTCGTGTGGTTATATACTTATGGAGCTCCTTCTACAACACCAGGGAGAGGACCTCACGATTACCAAAGCAGTGCCTATGGCAGCGGCGAAGAATATTGGAAAATACGCCCATAAGATTACGGAGGTTCTCTTCCAACACCGTGAAAATGATTTTCCAGTCACTAAGGAAGTGGTTGAGGCAGCAGCGGGAAATACTAGCCAATATGGACATATAATTACGCGTATTCTCTTTCAACAGCGAAAGGAGAATATTCTATTTTCCGAAGAAGTGGTCAAGGCAGCAGCGGCAAATGCCAGACATCAGACCATGGAGCTCCTCATTCAATACCGGGGCGGGGGTCTTCCGATTTCCGAAGAAGTGGTAAAGACGGCAGCAGAGAATACCGAGTTATCTGGAAGTATGATACTGGAATTTCTCTTCATGTGCAAGCGCGACATACTTCTAGTCTCTGAAGAAGTGGTCAAGACTGCAGCCAGAAACCCTGCGAATGGACTTAGGTTCATGGAAATTCTCTTCAAGCGCCGAGGGGAGAACTTGCCTGTCACCGAGGAAGTCATCAAAGCAGCAGCAGAGAATGAAACCTGTGGAACTGAAATTTTATCTGTTCTCTTTCGACACCGACGTGGATCCCTTCCAATCTCCAAGAATGTGGTCATAACTGCAGCAAAGAATACTGAATCTTTCGTGAGGTGCCTCCTTCGTCACCGAGGAAAGAGACTTCCAGTTTCTGAGGAAGCTGTAAAGACAGCAGCAGCTAATACCAAAGCCGGAGATGCTATTATTGACTGCTTCCTCGAACTTTTTGAGAAGAACCTTCCGGTCTCCGAAGGAGCAGTCAGGGCGGCAGCAGCAAATACCGAGTTGGGGGATGTCATCATGAAAAGTCTTTTTAGACATCGAGGAAGGATGCTTCCGGTCTCCGACGGAGTAGTCCAAACAGCGAGCAGGAATGATGGATGTGGTATTCAAATCATGAACATAATTCGTGCGCACCGTAAGAGCCGCAGACGTACTGATTTTTCTTGGCTTTAATTGTAATGATACCTGTGTATGATAAGGACTAGATAGGGTGATGTCAGAGTACATAATATCAACATGAGTGTCAGACATTGGAAGATTTGCCAATCGTCACGAGATGAAATCTTATGGAACGCTCACTGGGGGGTTGGGCGGTAGCCAGTCAGTCGATGTAGTACGGAGTAGGTGTCAAGGAATCTCACATGGACAGGTCCCTCTCAGGGTTCCATATCATTATTACTAGTATTAGGTATCCCCATATCCCGCAACTTTGATGACAAGTAGTACTGATAACTTAAGAGTTGAGAAGTACCATCAGTGCCAATAAGAGAAGAATAAAACCATTAAATGAAATAATATACACATCACTCTACCCACAGAATATCAAAATATATGTTATTGAAGACGCTAAGCTCTATCGTTGTTACTGATCGAAGTAAGTATGTATCTACTAGTCTGTCGAAATAGCGCCTAAACCAGAAAACAAGTATTGTTGATTCACCGTCTTTACTACTACTATACTTACTATCGACGAGATACCATTGTCAACCACTACAAATGAAATCCTGAAACGAGATTACCACTTTATGAACGAATGGTTATTAACAAAATATAGTAAGCTGGATGACCCTTAGGCCCATGTGAGCAGTAGTATATAGTACTATGAAAATGTGGTCCGTACTGAATACAAACCATGCATGCCAAAGCGGTGTTATGTGTGCGTGTGTGTGCTGCTAAGAGCCTTCAGTTTGATCATCTGCCAGGACCAATTTGAATGGATTCTAAAAAGTGTTTATTTTAGCCCACTGGGAGGGTCAATCTTTCGATATCTAAGAAGGGACGCATATTTTCCTACTGGGTTGCCCGACAAGTTTGGCCATGTGACAGGGTCCCCTGAGTGCCAGGGATAAAGCAGGTGACTGGCTCAGGGGGTCACTGTGCTTGAGCGCGGGAGCCAAGCCAAGAAGGTGAATGAGCTAATTTGGCACTGTGATGAGTTGAGGCGACATTCCAGGCTGGGGCCATGACATATCTGGAGATGGAGTCACAGAAGCTCTACTATAGTAAGCGAGGGGAAAATAAGAGTTGGATAAGCATGTGGTATTGATGCGCTTCATTGTACAAAGATAATTTGATCAAGCTGATCTGATGGAGACAGATCGAAGTGACAACATGGAGGTATTATAAGAAGGAGATCCTCGGAACAGCTCAAGAAAGTAAAAGTGGCCGCAAAGGTCAGCGAAAACTGAGCTTCAAAGAAAAAAAAAGGATGCAGTGGATATATGCGCTTTGCGACCATCATAGGGTCATTCTAAAGTGCAGTCAAAAGCAGTCAAGGTGCATGAGATATTTCTCGTATTCCCTCCCTCTTCTTATATCAGCGGGCCTAGTGTTGCGGCTTGTTCCAGAAATCCAAGCTGGCTACCACGTCCTCGCCCGATTCATCTTCGTAGGCATACAGAATCTGAATAGTGGTTAGTGCTGCATGTAGACATAACGTTAATGGAGACGGCTTACCTCTCGTGTGGAAGAATGCAACATGCGGATGTTCTTTCCGGTCATGATATGGACCAATTCACTCGTCTCAATGTGCCGGATCTCAATGAAATTTGGTTCGAAAGCAAGAATGTAAGGGTACGAGAGGGCGAAAGCGTTAGGATTACCTTCCCATGAAATCTTCCAGTCTGGGCGTGCGCGCCAACCATTGCGGTTGACAAAGAAAGAAAAGTCACTGTAGTTGAGCAGGAACTCTCCATTCATACGCTCGATATGGATCGGCTTGACGTTCTCCTTGCGTGCAACGAAGTCGAGCGAGGTGTCGGCCTGATCCAGAAGTGACTGAGTCTCAGTTGTTTCCAGACTCACAACTTCGAAACCACGTGCACAGCCAACGCAAAGGGTGGAACGGAGGAAATGTATCGACGACGATTCGGCGGGGATGTAGAATTCCTGCTCTGGCTGTTAAAATGCTACTCACGAGGACAGATATAGAAAGTAGACGCACCTTGAAGAGCTTCAGGCTGTCCTGACCGCTCTGGAACATCTTGCTGACCGCAGACTTCTTCTTGCCTTTCGCCAAATTATCCATAGGCTCGTAGACCTTGATCGTTGTGGACAGAGCCGAAGTCTTGACGGAGCACACCAAATGACGACCCAGTCCAATACCTGCCTTGAAGAAGTTGGCATGTCCCTGGATCTTTTTGGGACGCTTTGCGACTGTGTTCTGACTTTCGCTAATTTCCAAGGCCTCCATTGGGTAGGACGAGAGCGTCTTATTCGACAGGACCAAGAGTAGTTGATACTCTTCCAGAGTGTCCATTTGCGTAACCTGGCTCACGTCAAGAACTCGTCTAGGCCTAGCCGATTTATCCTTAGGCCAACGCTCAGACAAGTAAATGCCGCTGTCCGTACCATAGACGAGCTTCCTGCCACCGTCTACCAAAAAGACCATTAGCAAATATATCGGCAGTTATGAGGGCAGAGTAATAACATACCAACCGGAACAAGGCAATTCACCCGGTTGACAGAGGTGAAGAACTTCTCGCAAAGGACAGTCTTATTATAGAAGTTGCTGTTCCGCTCCCTAAGTTTCCGTTGTTGCTCTTCCACCATCTCGATGAATTTCCTTCTTTGCGTAGGAGAAGTGGCGTACAGAGTCTGCTCATATCCCCCCTTACCAAGATGCCTGAAAGTGATGGGAAGGCCATCTTTAGTCGTGGGCGGGTTTGCAGCAGCCTTGTTGGAGAGCAGACTAGAGGAGGGCCTCTTAGCGACACCAACCCTGGGGATCACCTCGTCCATTTGAGCAATGACCAGAAGCTCGAGAGGGATGGGCTTCCGATAAACTCGGTACTCTTCTCGCTTGTTCACGATCTTAATTCTCACCAGGAGAACCGCATGATCGAAAAGGTATGCAGTAACTTCAGAACTGTCAGTTGGCGTTTTCTTGAAAGCCATCTTCGTCAGCATCTGACGGTTCTCTTCCGTCAGCTTCAGATCGACATATTCGCCCGGGGGAAACTTCAAGGCTGAATTGAGCTGCACAAGATTGAAATGGTTCTCAGCCCTTCCACTCTCAGCATTGACGCGGGACAGGAAATCCTTGATGAGCTTGATAGCCTTGGGAATGTCTTGCTTGTCAGGATTATCGTCCGCCGTGTTCTTGGCAACCTGCTCCAGAAGCAAGGGGTACCTTGCCAGACGAGTGGTGGGCTTGGTCAGGTAACCGTTCAATTCCAGCTTCCGTGACTCTTTGAGACGTTCTGTTTCCTCAACGAACCTCGCAAAAGCCGGGTTTGATGCCTTTTCTTTCTCGAACTCGTACTTTCCGTAGAGCTGATTTGCACCGTACTTGATGAATGGATCAAAGCGTGGCACGTGTTGCAAGAAGATATCACCGACTGTCTTGACGACGTGATTCTCCTTCTGGCGTGCGTTCAGAGCCTCACATAGTCCGCCGTTGACCTTCAAGACTTCCAAGCAGTTTCCGAATACCGTGCGAATGAACTTCTCCCGTCGATGCTCAGGAATTGGCGAAAGATTAGCATTGCCTGCCGAACGCAGTGGCCTCATCCAGAAGTCTCGTAGATACTCGAGGTCCTTGACGAAGTCACGCTCGGTGTACATAATCTCGAAAATGATCTCCTGGCGTTTCTTCTCGCGGTCGTCAATGCCATCAGAAATCTCCTTGGGGACCATATTAATCCACAACTTCTGGTTATCATTATCATCATCGTCTCCGTGCAAACTGCCCTTGGAGGCAGACGAACGGAGTCCCGGCTGCGGCTTGAGGTTCAATCTAGCTTGCTGTTCTAGCCTCCTAGGACAGGCAATCGAGTAGCATAAGCTGTCGCGAGTGCAAGTCGGCGAGTAGCATTCAGTCAATAGCGTGAATACTCCATTTACCTCCGAACTGGGCGCTTCCTCCCCCATGGTTTCTTTGAACTGGTAAAGCTCACCGGGAGCATCTCGCAGACGGTGGTCATATGTCACATCGTGGAAGAACTTCTGCGCATCCAAAGCGCGTCCCAGCAGCAGAGCCAAATTGCGATCCATAGTCTTGATGATGTATGCGATCAAATCGACCGCCTCCGCACCGGAGAACGCATTCTGATACGACAATCCGTTCTTTTGCCGTTCAGCGAGCGTAATCCTCTCACGGAAGACATCGGCCACTTTCGAAAGCAGGGCTGGGTAAACTAGCGGTACCTTACTCCGACGGGAATTGCTTGGGACAAGAGTCGACGTGTTACTAGGTTTCGGAGCAATTTGACTTTGCATGCTCATAGTACGATCCGGAACAACAGTGGATGCCATGGACATGGTGCGGGAGTTCATGGAACCATCGCTAGGGGGACGAGACTTTCCGTTGACCTCATACGCATTGATCACGTCCGCTGGATACGAAGCTTCCGGGGGTGGGCTAGGGCCGGAAGGCTGTCGCCTGGGAGGAATGACCCGTCCAGTTTGTGTTGTATGAGCGTGGTCGCGGTCAGTGGAGTAAGTGGTCAGTGACATGGAGCGCTCGTTCTGATTCCTCTCCGGAACCACACGTCCCTGAGGTGTCATAGGGGCGGCGCCTGGATTATAGGGCTGTTGACGGGAATAGGTTGCCGAGGTGTGGTTGAAGCCACTGGACGGTGGCTGATATATCGGTGGCCCTCCCAATCTTGCCATTGACCTCGATCTGTAAGCGTCGGAGTTCAGGGCCGGGTGGGGCACTTGTCGAGCATAACCCTTTGCATCCGGATATTGTGGCCCATGGTTCGGCCTCGAATCAAGCCTCTGCGGCTGAGGGTAAGCAGAGCGCCCGGGATAGGGTCGGGGAGGATTCTGGGAAGGGTGCTGGGAGGTCATTGTAGCTGCGCTTCCGCCGTACGGTTGATAATAACCGTTGGGGGTGCCCGGGGGGTATCCATTCTGCATCTGGCGCGCGGGTGGTGGCGGACCCCTCTGCATTTGCGGATGGGGCACGTGTGAAGACATGGTATGGGCCCGATCTTGAGAGAACTGGGGAGTCTGGGAGGTCATCGTCTGCGAGCGTCCCGGTGCTCCGCCGAAAATCTCGGAAAATGCAGCATCACGTTGAAAAGCGGAGGGATGCCCGTAAGGCCGGTAGTTCCGGCCTTGCTGACCCCCTAAATCGGCCATGGTGTGTATGTAGCCCCCTCTTTACTCCTCACTCTGGGGATACTTCGGCGAAAGGTGGCAAGGAGATGGATCACACGAGGCGAGAGGCGGGTGAGGTAAAGGTGGGAAGAAGGGAGGGTATCGAATCCGGTCGTAGAGAGCGTGCAGAGCGTCGCGAGGAGATCGTTTCGAATCGTGGAGTAAGGAGA